CACTGCGTGTCCAACAAGAAATGCACAAGTATATGAACACGTTTTACCACGTTGTTAGCTGATGCTTAATTTGATAGAAGAAAGCCCACTCACTGGTGGTGATTAAATAAAACAACAAAAAGTTGTGAAGTTAAAAGTTGATGTGGTTCACTAGATCAAGGGTACTCATTCTTTATTTCTTCGTTTACCCTTCCACAAATTCCAAAAGTAAAATTAATCCCCTCGGTTATGCATAGTGCCAGTGAGTTATCAGTAAAATATGAAAATAACACGCTATGCTATAGTATAGATAATCTTATAATGAGAGCATAATAGCATCTATTACATAATGTAGGACGCTGTAATGTTCGACAATACTATAATCTAATATGTGGATAACATGTATAAAACAAAATCTATGGCTTAATATAAAAGTAGGAAAAAGCTATATTTTCTTGCTTGCAAAATTTACCCCTAATGCAGCCCCCAAGAAGGTTATGAAAGTGATTCCTTTATCTCAACGGCAATTCATCAAAACAAACCTTAGGTCCATTTTGTGTCCAACAAAAATATATTTACATGTTATATTCCACAAAGAACAGGAAAAAGTATATATTCTAGTTTATTTTAAGATATGGAATAAAATATTTCGAAAATAAAATTACTGACCCTTCCTCCTCATTTTGCGAGTCCTTCACCACGAAACTTTCATCCACGTGATACGGTTTAATCGATTTTTCGAACGCATTGGAGTCTAAATATTCTTGATTTTGTAATTGTTTTTCTGCTACTTCTAATTTTGAGTTTTGTTCTACTTTTATTTCTTCATCAAGATCTTCTTCATCTTCCTCGTGGTAAAAACTTTCTTCCAGTTCTTTTTCTAATTCTTCTTCATCTTTTCAAGATATTTGAAAATTTCATCTGAAAATTCGTTTTCGGCAGAATCAATTTTGAAATTTTTATTTGTGATTATATTTTCTTCAACAGTTGGTTGCGGACTTACAGCATTTTCATTATCTGTGACAATTTTTTCTTTCATTTCAATATTTTTTTGAATTTCAGAGTCAGAATCCAACATGAATTCATCCGCTTTGTTTTCGCCTATTTCAATTTTACTCGCGTCATCTTGTTTTGTGTCGGTGTTATCGTCATCTCCCGCATTGGAGACACCATCTAATTTAGTTGGTTCGATATTCAACTCGTGCATAGTTTCCAATATTTTGTTTTTAATTTCTGAACCATCAAGAATCAGATCATTTTCCACGTCGTTGACTGGAGAATCTAAATCATCTGCTTTTGTATTTGAGACGCTGTCAAACTTGACTGTTTTAACATCTGAATTAACAAATGAATTCAAGTCTTCATGTTCAGTTCGTGAACAGTCACTTTCTTGCAGCGGGATGTCATCGGGTTTGTCGTTTTCCCGAGGGAAATCTACTTCCACTTTTTTTGCATTAGAGCCAGTATTCAATTTTCCTGTTTTGACTTCTAACTCTTCTACTATTGAGTTTGAATTTTTGTCTTCCAACTGTGAACGATCACTTTTTTCGGGTGGGGTGTCATTGTCGTTTACTGAAGAGACATCCGAATCATCAATATCCGAACTAGATTCATCGCGCATTTCAATTGACTCGATATCCAGCTCACCCCCTGCTTTCAAACTTTTGTATTCGATTGATGCACGATCACTTTTCATATGTGGAAGATCGTCGTTTTTGTCGTTTACTGGAGAAACGTCTAAATCGTTTATTTCCGCACTAGAGGTAGCATCTGGTTTCATTGAGTCTATATCCACTTCTTCAATTGAGTTCAAATTTTGGTCTTCATTCTGCGAACCAATACTTTCTTTGCTTGGAAATTCATTTGTTTTGTCTTCTATTTCACAGTCATCCAAACCAAATGTTACTGTGCTGTGGTCACTGTCGGATTTAGTTTTCTCGATATCCAATGACCGATCAAAATCTATTGTCTTTTCGGCGTCACCTTTACCAACGTTAGGAATTTCTGATTCGACATCAGGCTCTTCCTCGGAAGTAGTTCCCTTTTCATCCAAATTATCAAGTAGTTTTTCCGTTTCTCCAGTATCTTCTGTTTCGTTAGGCAATGCGTTAATGTTTAGATTTTGTATTTCAGAATTCTCAAAGTCGCTTTTGTCGGGCGTTCCGACGACTTCGTTAGAATTACCATTCTGCATATCTGCGACATCATCATGTTGTTTCTTGTCAGACTGATCATTGCCTTCTAAAAGAAAGTCTACAGAATTAAGATTAGGAGATGATTTAGTTTCAGTCGGGTATACTAATGTGTGAAGACGATTGACCTCCTCACTGTCATCATCTGTTTGTTTTTTAGATTCCGTGATCTCATGGAAACTATCTTCATCATCCACAGTAATGTCATTGTCTATGAGGTCTGAATAAGTATTATCCATAACAGTATTATCGTCAATCATGGATTGCTCTGATGTAAAACTATCTGAAACGTCCGAATCTTTGACCAACTGATCCGTAGATTCATATGTAACATCTTCGACCACCTCTTCTTTTCTCAGTGTAGACTGTCTCTTATCTTTAAGTGATTCCTTAGTCTGCACATCCTGAAAAAACAATACATCCTGTAGAAATTTTCATGGAACACTTTTTGTCACCACTTAAATTGTCTGTATATATATATAAATATGCCATACAGGTGAAAAGTGACTGAATAATAATTTTAGTTTTCAGTAAAGTGATAATATTAATTGATCATTATTCCATAAATATTTTATTCAGTAGCCGTCTAATGCTGAATTTTAGTTTTATATATATGTATATATATAAAAAATTAAATGAATTGCTCATTACAAGCTCGGCATTAAATTTTTACGATGGAATATGACAATGGGTGTTAAACTAATTATCGGTGTCAATTTACTTTACTTTCTTTTTCGTTTGCTTGAGCCTCTTCGTCCAGCAGTCTTGTAATTTTATTTGCTTCGTGTTTCTCGTCGTCGACAGTTGATTTGTGGGCTTCAGTATGATCGTTCAACACAACGCGATATTGTGGTCTGTTTGATCACAAAATAAGATCATAATAACAAAATTAGATAATCAGATAATAGTAGCTACATCATATATATATAAGTACAATCGAATATACTTTTTGTCAATAAATCATTTATTATAATCCACAACGCCCTGGTATGCACATACTGAAATGTCTGCAAGGCACTACTCTGATTCTTTTGTTATAAACTTTCAAAATATGAAACTAAACTTACGTAGAATGTGGGTACGAAGGCGGTAAATATTGGAATATACAAAATAATATAATGGCAAGAATGGCCATCAGTACAGAACATATATAAATGCATGTTGTCGATGACATAGTAGATTTTGAATCCTCCGACCTGAAAAATATAATCATAGAAAATCGTTTGCAATGAATTACTGTAGACTATTTGAAAAAACAATAGATGCCCGAAAATTTGTAAAAGCAATTTTTGTAGGTCTTTAAAAAGTGTCCCGACAGTGGGTTAAGCGCTAATTTTGTCTGTTCGACTTTATTTCTAACGTATTTTCGTGCGAATTTAAAAAAAATCGAACATAGTCATAGCTGAAATTGCTGCCCAGCAATACAAAATTGTAATTCGGAAATTTATGCCACAGTGAAAGCGTTTTATGACTTCCAATTCGGTATTATTACTGTACAATAATATTCAAAATGCAACTAGTATAATTATAATACCAGTATAATGGACTGTTACAAACCGTAAAGCGTAAGCAATGTTCTATGCTTATTATCTGTACTGCTGAAAAGTAACCGAATAACACTTTTAGTGATAATATTGATCAATCATTATTCAATAAATTCAATTCTTTACCAGTCTAATGCTGAAATCTAGTTGGCTGTTTTTTTTTTCAATTTTGCTATTATCGTTTTTTGTTCAAAGTTGGCCGCAAAATAAAATTAGAACAAGCGTCAAATTCCTGTGAGTTATCGTAAAATTGAGAGATTGCTTCACTCCCTTCGTCATGGATGCGCGTTGTCATTGGTAACCGTAGCCTTCGTTATGATTAGTAATAAATAAGCTTTCTTATCAGCTGACAAGAAATGACAGCAATAAAACTGTCACATACATTGTAGTCTTCAATTGGCCTCTTTTCTGGTCGATATACAAGGAGATATCACATCGGTATAAGACATTTGAATTCCCTATGACGACTGATTGTATTAATTTGAACGACAAAAATCGTTTTTTTTTAAACGTTCACTAAACCCAAAGATAATAAAATCTAATAGTGACAGTGTTGTAATAGAATGACAATTGACAACAATGTATTGATATTCAATAGAAACGAATCCTAATATGTTACAAATCGATCTTATGTATGTATAAAAACAGACTCATAAAAGGAATTAATCATTCATCATACCTACGAGGTTTTTTTGTTTTTTTCTTGATTTTATCATCGTCATTTTCGTAACGAGTGGTCTTGTTTTGTACAATATTCTGATTAGCTGGCTTAATCTTAGCAGCTTTACTTTTTTTCCCCATTTTCAAGTTTTTAAACCAAAGCTACATATAGACGACCTTTCTATATAAAACTCTACCCATATGTCTTGCTGATGATTGTACTTGCTGTATTATATGACACGTATGTCTAAATGATCCGTCAATTTCCTATTTGTCCTCCGATTGGTGTTTTGTAGTGCACTTGTCGAGGCAAAAGTGCGCTCTTATTCGAGACCATTTTATTCGTTCAGAATTCATTCTAAATTTTGAATATAGTCCCCAGCATCGATCATGCTACACAAAACCCATCTGAAGGTGAAAACTATTTATAGGAAATATCAGAGATGCTTGATTTTTCGAAATGTCTATGAAACTTTTCTGCGCCCAAATAATTGTAAAATGGATAATACATCGATACGCATTCCGATGTTAACAGTAATAACAAAGGAAAAATAAATACTCCCAGTGATCATTTTGCGATGCTAAAGCTATAAAACATTGAAGTGATCATAAATATACAGTGCAGTAAGCCTACTTCTCTCATGATTGTTTTGTTGATAAACAAACCTAAATTTAAACATGCAGACAAAACATATCGTAAAAAGGTTGTATTGAACATTTTTGTAAGTGTGACCAAAATCAATATATAACCCAAAAGAATCCTGTAATATGAATTTTGCCTCAAGCTTCATACCCAGTGCGATGGTCGGCTCCTTGGTGTGAGCATTAGTATCAATTGCAAGGGGTTCGTACTTTGAATAATTAGGGCAAATACAGCATTCTAAGCAAGTATACAAACGAGGGCTTGTGAATATATATACATTAAAGATTGCATGCCATATAGTACAGATTCGTCAAGTTTTCTATTAGATTGCGATTGAATAGTAGAAATAGATGAGGACTGAAACAAATAAAAAATATCACGCCTTGCAAAGGAAAAATATCAGGGTTTTGAAGTAATGTTGTTTTGGCATCAGTCAGGTCATTAATAATTAGCTCATCTCAAGCTATTGTTAATATCGTTTTTTATGCTCTCAAACTGATAAACTTGCTATTGGACACGAAATTTACATGACCGAGTAATCGTTGTAAATAGGTTAATTTGATCCGAATTTAAGCACTCAGACGACGTAGACATTTTACTTTCTTTCTCAATATTTTCCTTTTTTCACAATTTCTACAGTAAGTACCAGAGAAAATGTCTTGCTAGATAAATTAGGCATCGCATGGACCAAATAAATGTTTCATCCAGTAAATTAAGTGTCACATGGACAATGAATGGTCGAACTATCGTTGAAGATATTGTATTCGAAGTTTGGCACTTTGAAGTTTCATTTGACCTTTGTGACGCATTTCGTCATATCTCTCTCGTTTTGACATCGATTGGGTGACTTAAACTTCGCATTTTCAACTTGATATTTCCCGATTTCATTGTTCATTATATTGTACTTCTCGGCCTTATTCGGATGAGCATGAATAAATATGGCAGTCGATAACCAAATGACTGACGGTTTTCATGTGACCCGATAAAACGAGTATATCTAACTTCGGGCATGTATATAGTTAACAATTTCGACATATAAATACAACCAAATAAGTAGAATTTCACATATGCATTTTCAAGGTGTGGGCAAGTACAAGTAGCAGAATAGGTACAGATACGGTTAACATGGTAGTCCCATTGCACTCTTGCTTTCCATCTCCAGTGTATCCTTCATTGCACGTACAAGTATAATTTCCCGGTATGTTTATACATTCCGCATTTTTGTGACAATCATGAGATTTGCTGCATTCGTTGTTGTCATTACATTCAGTACCATTTCGTTCATAACCATCGTCGCACACACAAGCAGAAGACGCCCCAGACGTTACGCATTGCGCGTTGGTGGGACAAGTTTGTTCGCCACCACACGTGCACTCGAAACTCCCTTCAATATTGCTGCATGTCAACGGTAATGAGCAATTGTGAAATCCAGTTGTGCATTCGTCAACGTCGACACATTCTTTTCCATTTCCTGCATATCCAGAACGGCACGCGCATGCATAACTTCCCATAGTATTACTACAAGCGGCGTTAGCATCGCATGTTCCAGAGATGGCACATTCGTCCATATCAATGCAAGTTGCGCCATTTCCTGTATAGCCGGCATTACACGTACAAGTGTTCAGCACACAGTCTGCTGTGTCGGCACAAACAGTTGATATATCTCCACAGTGACAAGTATAATTTCCATCGTTGTCAGTGCATGTTTCACCTGTTTTACAAGGTGACAGAGTGGCACATTCATCGATATTGACGCATCCACTTGTTGTTCCTTCGTACCCGGTATTGCAGGTGCAGTTGAATCCCACGTCTGTTGCAAAACAGACTGCGTTGTTGTCACATGTTTGACTTGAAACGGAGTTAACTAAAACAATAAGAATATGTTACAAAACGGCATTAACGAGTGCTCCTGACAGTCATCAAGGATTTTATTTGATAATCATAAAATGTACCGCCTCTTGATTTCTCAAAATTTGGCGGCGGCGTTTAATTCATCTATATTTATTATATCAAAAGAATGCCGTTGTTTTTGGTTAACACATTTTATATCTCAGGTATCAATTTCTGTTTTACAGAATCAATGAGAATCATCTTGAAAAGTGTGTCCGGGACCGTTACATGTACCCAGTGATGAGATTCAAAATTTAAGAAAGATTCTCTTTATATTGAATTCACTAACAACAGGTTACATTATATAATTTTTTTTCAAATGGCATTATTCGCAAGCTGAATATCACCACTTTTCAAGAACGAGTTGGCGTGAACCCGTACGAACTTACTCCCACCACTGCGTATGTATCCTATTTTATTACAGCTAAGAACATTCTACTGCAAAATGAGAATTGGTAGCCTACTTCAAAATTATAAAGGAAAACTGTACCTGTGAAAGATAGAATAAATAAGAAGCAAATTTCTTCTCCGAAAAAAGCGTTGTCGAGTCATTACTCATCAGTAAGTAGTGTTATTTACAAGTAAATTATCCTTGTCCGTCTGCGAATATTACCATGTGGTGAATAATATTTATACAATGATATATAGACTGAATACTCCTTGTACTAAATATGTTTTGAGTTTAGTTACAATGAGAATAATGGTATAACTCATGGTTGAACAAATCTGTATATATATATTAGGATAGAAAGGACTGGTTTCGCTATTGGATCAGAAAAGTTACCAAACCAATTTTATACATTGAAATGGCAGAATGGCGCCACGCCCTGTTGATTTAGGTTTCATTCCTTCGCGCTTTAATTGATATAAATTATAATTAAACATCGAAAAAATGCATTACTACTGTACTATATTCACGAACATTACATGGTGCCACGGCATCGTCTATATATCTCCGGAAATATTTTCAAAAGTTGAGGGGGCATATCAGTTATTTGAACGCTTTTATTTGGTATGTGTTATGTGGCGAAAATATATCGTTTGAATTCATACACTGTCACAATATTCGACCATTTTAAGAGTACCGTAAGCTAAATACTCAGTATTTAGAATTAAAAAATATTCACAACTAGGCATATATATATATTTGTTTTTTAGTTTCGGGTGGGTATTCCATTGTCCATGCAAAACCTGTTCATACCGGATGCCAATAACTAATAAGGATGACTGCTGTGGTCATGTTCATGCGAATATTTAGGCCGGCCAAGCCTGGTCCCGTCAACCTTAATCTACCAAGTTTTGCTGACAATGTCGAATCTATAACTTCACTTACTCCTTTATCAGATGTTGTTTTTATTCAATGATTTTATTGATCTGTCTGATTTCGTACACAAATCTCATTTCTGCTGAACCATTTTCTAAGCCTAATATTATATTTCAAATTTCACACACGAATCGGAAACATTGTTTTCTGCCTCGAAATATTGAGAAAGTGAGCTTTTTTTCCTTAAATCACAATCTAATTCCATCGATTTTGAACTACTTTAAAATAATGGAAGCATCAAAATTACAGTTTGTTAAAAGCAAAATCCCTTGGAAAGGCATCCCTGATTCTGATGATAAGTACTAATCATATTTAACTCTGACTGTTGATTGTTTGTTTAGCGTTTCTTCATTTTTTATAGTATGCACTACGATTTATGCTGACTCGCAACGCAACAGTGTTGTGAGTCGCTTACAACCTTCGTCATATTTATTGAGTACAGTACTGATGCTCAATAAATATCTGATCGTCTTCAAACTCAATAACCCAAGACAGACATGGTTGGAATAAAATACAAAAAAGAAACTAAAAATATTGACGTAATTCGGAGACTGGTAGTTCAGTTTGATCGTTTCCCGATTGCTATGAATACCTTTCAGACGATTGCGCTACACCCAAACAATACCTTGAGTAATTTTATGGGGAGATCACCTTCGATTCAAATTTAAAATATGTTTCAAGTTATTGTGCAATAAATACGTAAGGAGTATGCTACTACCAAGACTCCTTGAACAAATATTAAAATGTTCCTCTTTCATTGTTTCCTGAAACTATTGTATCACCCCGACAATGTTTTTTCTGGGTTGATCAAAGTTCACTTTGACCGATGGATCAAACATACAGCGTTACCAGCCTATTTAACGCGTTGATAATTTTAATAATCTAATTAGCACTTCACATTTATACTACAGAATAATAAAAATGAGAACATGACATACGAAAATGCGCTCTAGGTTTTTTGCGAACTCTTCCTTACGACGTCTAAATCAGTTTTAGCGGATACTAAGTATATGTTTTGTACCGTATTTTGCGGACAATAAGGCGCACAAAATTCATCGTGCGCCTAATGTGTGGCCCAGGTAGTGCTTTATTGCCTACACTCAAAACCAGTATCGGCACTGTTGTTTTTATAAACAAACCGCTGCATTACGTCATCTTCGAATAAAATAACCATAAAAAATAAATTGAAAAAGTTTTTTCTTCTGGTTAACGAGCTTTGTAACCCGATACTCTCAAAAACCGTTGCGTCCTGTAGCCTTATGTATGGACAAAACCCCAATTTAAGCAATTTACTGACGGTGTGCCTTGGGTTAGCGCAATAAGGTATTCAAGAACCTGGGAGAATAAATTTCGAATGTGAGAATTGTTACGAATTCATCATGAAATCCTTGTACACAAAAAATCGTGAATTGGTTATGGTGCGTGCAATAGAGGTTATTTGAATGTCATATAGTCGTGAGCAATAGGCATAATTAGAAAATCTTTATATGCATGCGAGTCTTGGCAATTGGTGGAGATAATGGTGTCCAATTCTAACTAGTCGAAAAATCCAATGATCGGAGAGTGACACAATTCTCTTTGTATAATATCAAAATTCTCGTTTCAAAGAAGCTTTTTCATATGCTTTCACCAGCCAATTCACAGTGTATATTCACAGTATTATATTTGCTGGTCAGAAGAGTATAAGAAATATATCTTTTTTTTTTGTCAAGCATTTCAAACGACACACTGTAAAAATTACAATGAATAATACTATCTTAAAATTTTGTTGTTTAGTTTTAGAATCTAAGCTGCGCCTGCAAGAAACTTTTTCCTTTCATAAAGCTCGAGTGCCTCTCTATAATCTCCTATGGCTTGTTCTCTTTTGCCCAGCTTTCCTCTGACATCAGCTCTCTTCTTTAGTGCTCCATAGTCACTCGGATCAACAGTGAAGGCTGAAGAGAAATATTATATTAGAAACTGCGCACTTCAAATCCATTTTTTGTCGAAATAATCGCCCCAGGTCCTCGACCAAAAGAGAAAAAAGTACTAATAGAACAACCACTGAAGCAGTGTCATTTGTATTTTTCTGACGGAAATGTCAGCAGAGAAAGTTGAACTTCTGAAAGCTTCTTTTACTTCAATCATACATATTTTTTAATAATCCAATTATTGGGCAAATACTTAGTATATTGGAGAATACACCAAAGTAGACACCTGAGGGCATGTCTTTTGTCAATAGAAAGAATTCAGGCCAGTCAAATACTATTTAACTTCATTTCGACTCGACAAGTTTTAAATATCAAGACATGATTTACGCTTAGCCTTTGCTACTGTTGATTAAGTTGAAGTGTTTCAACCAATAGCAAGCGCGAGGCAAATATGAATTAATTTCATCAAAGTAACAAAATTTAGTTTTCAGTCATATGATGATATATCTAACTATTGCAATGAACTGATTGCAACTATCGGCTCCAGAACAGAGCATGTGGGGGTAACGATGAATGAACAAAGAATGTGTATTGTGCATAACAAAACTGACTCAAAACAATTATTACAGATGGCCTGGCTCTTACCTGGCCAGGCGCAGTGGCCTAGTGATTAAAGCATTAGACTAACTAACTTATCACATCGCAGACCCATGCTCACAACCTACCTCATCCAAAGTGTAATAAACTGGGTAGGCGATGCCGAACCGGAAATATACTATTTCTTCCAAACTATAGTAGCTCTTTACCTAGCAGTAGCTGCTTGTTCAGAGCCTTTCTCAGAGCAGAACGCATATAAATACAGCGTATCGGAAAATTATGAACATTAGCAAAAAATATACACAGGGAATGGTTGGTCAGGAAATGGTTTTCGGTCATTTGCCTTAATCAGCAGTGAGTTCTCATCACATACGCCAGTGATTCCGAATCTTTTATGGCACATGGCCCCCTTTCGGAGGATTTAAGCACTCATGGCCCCCTTGTTTGTCATTCCAGTATTTAGAGTGTTATTCTGATTGGTAGATTCCAAACCCCATTATTTTCAAACAATTCATGGTCAACAAAGTGAAAACACCCTGTGAATAATCTTATCAAGCAATGACATGAGGAAGAACATGGATTTTTTTTTGGAAAAAGTAAATAAGTTTTGCGCTTCACATTGAGGCCCCCGGTTGGAAACATTCTTCATTCTCAAAAACCTCAGCTTTGATAAATTTTCTTCTAAGTAAGTTCAACTGCTAGCTACTGACATTTTGTGTGCAAGGATAAACTATCTTAGCTTAGCACTCTTTCAAATTTTAGTCTGCGGCTGGAGACCTGACTTTGAGCAAACTGGTATACTTGAAAAACAATTGAAAAAACCTGTTGTGTAATCCATTTCTGCTTCTTTGTATCTCTTCAACATGTTCAATAAATTTCCCCGGTTGTAGAAGGTATGAGCATTTGTATTGTTGTATTTAATTGCATCATTGAAATCATCGAGTGCTCGCTGTAAAACAAAATAATACTGTTGTGAACATGGTTTCGTTGCTTTTCAACCTGAAAACTGTTTAAGAGAATTGTGAACAGGCTGCCAATTGAATTATACTCGTGAACAAATTGAGTATAAGATTTATCTGAATAGAGGTTTGGAGTACTGAATTTTACGGACCATAAGGCTCACTGTCAATAAATTGCTTAGATTGTTCTTTTCTATACATAAGGCACATCGGGTTATAAGACAAAACCGGTACTGTTACTGGTTTTGAGTGTGAGCAATAAAGCGCTGCCTGATCCATACATTAGCCGTACCAGCTTATACAGCGCACGATCAATTTTTGAGAAAAAAAATGATTTGAAACGTGCCTTATGGTCTGTAAATATGGTATTAGGAATCAAAATGAATTACAACACAAAATTCTGGGAAGGTAAATCATTTTGATATAGACAACAATAAAGGGGCACACCATTAAGAATAAAGCAAACAGAATTTATAAAGTTTTCTCCTATCTTACTTTAGCGACAGAATACAAAACAACAAACTGGTCAAGAGAAGTGGACTTGATTATGTTGGCATTGCAAGTTAAATTCTCTGGTTCAAATCCCATGCGAACTCTCTCACCCAGGATGTAAAAAATTAGGTAGACGGTGTCCGTATTCTTCCAAAATCGGTATTTTCCTACATATCAGTTTTAATACAGAGCCTTGCTCAGAGTGGGATGTGTGAAAAAGAGTTTGACTATTACATGAATATGATTAATCTGAAATATTGTTTCAGAGGAATTTTCACACAAGATTTATATGAACTTAAACTTAACAAATTACTATGTAGATTTATTAAGACACAATAGGAGATAACAATAAAAGAATCAATAAATACCTCAGTATCATTCAATAGAACACGAGCAATACCACGATTCGTTAATGCTGCATCATCTTCAGGAGTTATCTGGACCGCTTTATCTAGATAAGCTAATGCTTCTCTGAACCTGCGATCTCGTAGATACAGAGCAGCTGCATTGAAAAATGCAACAGAATAGGATCCATCTAATTTAACCGCTCGCTAAAATGAACAAAAAAATCGTTATGGGTTATCAAGGTATTATGAATCAATGTATCTTTAAATACTGATATGCAACTTTTATGCTTATGTCCAAAAATGATTTGTCTCAATATGTGTCAAGAATTTCTTTATAACAAAACATTTTCGAACATGGAGCAGACTCATGTTAAATTTGTTTTTCTTGTTGTTTTTATTGAGGTTGCGGAAAATTGCTTTTATCCGTAACTACTGGATCAATCGATTTCATTTTTCGTCATCACTACAAGTTACACACAATCAAAAAACCTTCAAATTTAAGCGATACCTGGTAATCAGACATGGCACTCTTGACATCACCCATATACTGATGGATTACTCCCCGAGCTGCATGTAACCTAGCTGTTGGATTTCCTGCCCTGAATGCGGCAGTGATATCTTGGAAAGCTGCATCAATGTTTCCGGCTCGTAAACAAGTGACAGCTCGGCCTTCTAACGCTTGTTGTGATTTCTCATCAAGCTCTATTGCCCGAGAAAACTGAAGCCATGCTTGGTGCAGTTTACCGATGGACTGGAAAAAAGAAAATAGTTATTAATGTCTAAGTCAGGGGTTCTCAACCTTTTCTCTGTTAAGTACCCCCCGAGTCACAAAACAATCAACGCGAACCCCAAAATCACAAAACAGTCAACGCGAACCCCCAGTAATCATACACCAAACTAAACTGTGATATATTGACTTACAATTTGCTGCAACGATTGCCAAGCCGTGCATTTCACATTTTTGCGTCACAATCATAACAACGCAAGATCAGGGAAAATGTACGCTAAGTTTCAATTGGCACATATTTTTCTCTTGTAGTTACTTTCTTTGTTAAAGGATATTAAAAAAAAGCAACACAGGAAGAAAATCTTCTCGTGAACCCCTGGGGGTTTGCGAACCCCAGGTTGGGAACCCCTGGTCTAAGTTCAGGCTGTGGAGCACATTTTACATTGATATTTGAGCAGGAGCGGAAACTTCTCTTCAAAGCTCTTGGAGTTGAAGTAAGAGCCAAATTCTACATGGCAGTCGGAATTACAGACTTTTGATAGTAATAACTAAAGTCAGCCTTTTTGACAGAAAACTCGAATCACATTACGTTTACTAAACATTCTCAACAGACAATTAAAGTAGGCTTGTACCTTGTATACATCATTGTATTTTTTCTGGAGTTTCGAGTGTGAGTCATTGTTTGAAAAACTCAAGATTTGGAGTTGGGTGTGAATTTTTTTCAACCCTACATTCACAGATATGGTTACCAAGATATTCAAATCAGTCAGCACCAGATTAAATTTTTATAAAGAAAGTTAAGCAGACAAATTTATTTTCGAATTCTTCTACCCAAAATCCAGCATTGTACAATGGGAGACAGTGATCGAAAAAATACAAAAGGCGACAACAACGTAGGAAGTAAAACATAACAAATAATTTTGTAGGATCGTTCAGACTTTATATTGTAAAACTAGTATTAAATTAGTAAAAAAATTGTAAACTTTTTACAAGTCCTTTCTCGTGAGTACACCAATTAAATTCGAAAGAGTAGTATCTTAAAATAATACCGTTTTTACAAATCACAAACCTGAAATATTATTTCCCATTTGCTAGTGTTGAAAACAAAAATCAATTTTATCTAGTTATTTCAAACCAAAGAGTATAAGTTCAATTGTGCGCAAACGTAAATTCGAAATTGAAAAATACGAATCAAGAAATACCTGAAAATATATAATATCAAACCTGCAAGCTGTATCCTAAGTTAATTCGAGCTGAAACACAAGTAGGATTTAATTTCAATGCTCGTTGATAATCATATCTCGATGAAACGACATCTTTAGCATCAGCGTACGCATCACCACGCCCAATATATCCAGCCAAGAAATATGGATCAACTGACAAACATCTGGTATAAGATTCAATTGCTTTGTCCAACAACTTCAACCTGTATTTGGTTAGAAATATTGGATTTTATGTTTATGATTTCCACTGCTTTTCAACGTCAGTAGGATTACGTGAGGAATCCTGCATCCCAAGTATATTGAATTTTTCAACTGACAATAATAAGTATCGAATAACATATATATAAAATTTGAAACAACAAGCAACACCATAATCATCTTATTTTGGCTGCAATTTTCAAAACCCCGAATCTTTACTGTGAGCTCTCATCCCTTTACCAACAGTGTAACCTCTAGACTTAAAAAAAATTTCATGCAAAATTTTTTTCCAAAAACTTCAGCAGTGTCTATGTTTCATAGCTGTTTCCCTGATCGTATAGACTTAAACAACTGTCAATTATCACACTAATCAGCATTTATTAATATGTAATGCATCACCAAAAATCTATACAATTTCAGTATCTCTTGGATAGGATAGGATTTACATATTTATCCCGGGGGAGATGAAAGCCGATAAGACGGCTTATCCATATGGCGAACCACGGCCTCTCGTCCGGTTACCATTCCAAGTCGGGTATGGGATTAGTTTTTTACTGTATTGTTTGTTTTTTTCGGAAGCATGGACTTGGTGGTGGAGGAAGCCGTAACCGACCAGCGGTTACGTGAACCACCCAACGACGGCGAGGAGTCCAGCAATCCTCTCGCACATAACCATCCCTGCACGGGATTCGAACCTGCGAACCCACGCAGAGTAATTAGAGGTGCGATGGCGAGCGTATTCCTAACGCTTAGCCCGTTGAGCCACACCGCCGCGCCTTGGCATTACATTGGTCACTCATATCTTTACTCAAATATGAATCTTCTTTGTTTCTGAGTGAGTCCGTATAAACATCTTGGAATGAATTTCTTAAAAAACTTGCACACTGCTTTTTTACAATTTCAACAATTTAGGATAGAATTTTCATATTGACCCTGGGAGAGAGGAAAGACGGTGAGAGACGGCTTAATCATCGCCGAATATGAGAATAGTTATTCAGATATTCAGTAATCCTCTCGCACATAATAATGATTCAAACCTGCGAACAGGGTAATCAGAAGTGCAATTGCAGGCAAGTTCTTGACGCTCGATTTTGGTTATTAAACTTCACAATAAAAACTTAAATTAAATTTAATAATCAAAGCAAATAACATACTTGTGATAACATAGTGCCATAGTGTGCAGAACTTTAATATTTTTGGGTTGCATTTCTGTAACTAATTCAAAATCTAATGCTGCATTGTGGGCATCGTCAAGATCTTTCAAATAAAGCAAGCCCCTGTTGACACAAACTCTCAGTTTCAAAGGAACCACAATTTGTTTTGTCTTCTTTTTATTTTTATCATCTTCAATCACCTCCGGATTTGATTCATCTAGCATTAACACAATGCTATAATCCTGACAGGAAAAAAGTAACAGTGATTGACTTATATGTAAAAACTGTCTCGATAATGACTAACTTGGCTATGCATCAGAAGCAAGTTTTGAAATTGAAACTTGCTCAAGAATTAAAGACTTGAAACCTGTTGAGAAAAGAAGATATGTAAAAATATTGCTGGACTCATAGTTGTGGGGTGATTCATGGGTGCTCCCGTAGTATGTGAACCCAGATGGCGTACCAGGTTGGGGTTAGGCCATAATTTTATTCCAATTTTCCTCATTTTAGTTCTATTGCGAGTTCGGGGACTCGACAAGTGACTCCCCTGACTCGACTCTAGGGTATGTAGACCAATCGTATAAATACCTTGAGTGCCTCACGATACTTCTTCATTCTTTGAAAACATGTGGCCCGATTGAAATAAGCAAGGGAACAGGTACGTTCCAATTTAATAGCACAAGTTAAATCTTGTACAGCCAATTGATAGGATTTGATGTGAAATTTCAAAGCTCCTCTGTATAAATATGCTCGAACACTGGTCGGACGCAGACGTAAAGCTTCATTGCAATTTAAGATTGCCTGAAAAATTGAAAAGTTGATAGTTTAAGTATTAATAAAAGTGTCAAAAACGTTGTATCCTACTTGTCCCAAATTCTTATTTCATGTACTGCCAACATAGATATGTTCCATTAACTTGTTACTTATTTGAAATTCTTTAAACTGTATTAAACAGGAACCCAATCCCCTTCTTATTCTAGCCTATTGAGGACCAATTTGATTCACTTCTGCCGTGCCAGCTGGCCCACAACAATAACATTAAATATGCGTGATACTATTAACGTTTTACTTTGCTATATCTTCCTTTTGTTCCATAGAATGCAGCTCTACTGAGATAAGCTTCAAACAAGGTTGGATCAAGTGCAAGTGCCCTGTTTAAATCTTGTACACCTTTAGAATGATCCATCTTCAGACGACATAAACCACGATGATAAAAAGCAAGAGCATGACTCGAGTTTGCCTGTAAAACGAAGTACAGATTCAAGATTGAATTATAGATCTTTCTACAAACAGAAAATTTTTCAAACTTTCTATTTTATTTTTGGATCAAATTATTAATAATTATTTCAGTTATTAAAAAGCTTTCACCGTCAACTAAATCTTCTATCTCAAAATTGAAAAAATTTAATAGACAATATTATTATAAAATAGACAGTCGGTTTATTTATCACAAGGCATCTGATAAAATTTTAAGAATCGGCATGACAGTTGGCACATCATACTGGCGCTTGCAGTCACACCTATGATTACCCTGCGTGGGTTCGAAGATTCGATTTCTGTGGGGTATAATGTTTTGTAAGAGGGTCGGTGGACTCCTCATCGTCATTGGGTGGTTTACTAAACTGCTAAAAAGTTAGTTTTCTGTAAAAAATAGTATCCAACAATTCCAGCCTACCTTCAGTGCATTATTATATGAACTCAATGCCCTTGAGTGCTGCTCAAGTTGAGTGTAACATTGACCGAGTAGAAAATGTATTTCAGAAGATTCCTCAGGACTTGATTGGTTCTGACTAAATTCTGATTGTGATGTCATTGAAGAGAATGAATATGACCCAAGAAGATCAAGAGCATTCTTGAAATTGAAAATGGCATCCTGCAAAAAAGGTTGAATGTATTATATAGTATAACCAATGATGAAATTCAGAATTCTAAGAACGGGTTCTCTTTTGTATTGAGCTTACTAGCAACAGGTTCCCTCATGACACACTATATTAACATGACACGCATAACATTACTCTCATACATAACTCTCGAAATGCCAAATATAACGCTAGTCGGTGTTTAATTATATTCAATTTATTGAATGAGAATATATATTCAAACAATATTCGTCTAATACTATGGACCTCAGATTTGAATATGAACTTGCAGAACCCCAAGAATGTACTTGTGGCGGTGGCACAGAATTCTGCTTTGCAAACACTGGTGTGAAGTTATTATAATAATCATAATTTGATTTACAAAAAAAACTTTTCAAGTATTTTGATATTTCCTCATGATTAGTAACCAAAAACAAGACAATGACTATTCACAAGAACAAGCTGCCTTACGGCTTTTGTATATTATGCTACAGTTTTTATTTACTATATTATCTCATTGTATATGATGAAAATTATTCTGCAATGATAAGTCTCAACAAACCTTGAATTTCTTGGCTTTCATCAAAGTTTTGCCGAGGAGAACATACATATGAGGAACAGGTTTCACTTTACATGCCGCAGTCAAGCTATTCACTGCTATATCGTGATTTTTCAAGAAAGACTGAACAACGGCCTGTTGAGTAGCTGAAGTTGAAACAATTCCCTGATAAATAAATGTACTTTGTTATAATAAACACGCCTCAGTTACTTGAGAATATGCTTTTTGCTAAGCATTAGGAAAATGCTTTATATTGCAATTAGGGCTGGGCATTTTCGAATACCTGATGATTTCAGCATCGAATCGAATAATTTTTTCGAATCGAATCTCGAATACTTTAGAGATATGAAATTGTATGTAACTTTCTTAGGACCCCAGGCACATAAATTACTGAAAACATAGAATACATCACTCAGGCAGATTGCTGAGCGTTCACACACAATAAAAAACACGTTTTCATCAATAACTCGCTACAGAAAAGAGTCATATGTCAGAGTTGCGTTGAAAAAATATGGCTCCAATACAAAATTTAGCTCGACCATTGGCGAAGAGAAAAAACAAGATGGCGGCGATTCGAAATTTATCTCTGAACCGATTCGAATATTTTCATATTCTATTCGAATATTTGATTCGAAATGCCCAACCCTAATTGCAAAAGTGTGTACCCGGCACAGGTCAGTAGATTTGATTCCAGTGGGGGAAAATCATATGCGAGAAGATTGGTGGACACTTTTCTGCCGTAGGGTGGGTCATGTAACTGCTGTTCAATTACAGATTCCTATGTAATCAAGCCCAATAAGCATTCGTTAAGTTAAACATTACAACAGCTGATGTCACTGGTCACTAAAACAGAGACTATGGCTTTCCATACGTTTAAGCCTTGTGACTATATTCTCTCTTACACTGAATAGTTCAACTTATAAAAACTTTCAACACAGCACAAATGCTTTTCGAATAATCCTAAAATAAAACATATGCCATACCTGATTGGGTACTCCCGTGGTGTGTGTACCAGGTTAGGGTTAGGCTATAATTTTATTCCGATTTTCCTTATTTTACTTCTAATATGAGTTCAAGGACTGTCTGTGTTAGCCAACTGAATATACCCCCTGCCCATAGGCTTCTGTCCCTTAACACAACTTGACATAAAGTAGGCAAACAAAACTAGTTACCTCCATATCAGTACACATACTTCTTGAGCGCCCTCGATTGCAATAAACCAACTTTCTCAGTTTCCGCTTGAAGCTCAAAATGCAGTATACTATACAGCAGACCACAATAAAACCTACCAAGTGATAATAATTACACTCACTTCTCCTAAAGTTGCGATGTGACGTACACAGAATCCTGCCAATTTCAGTTCACCAAGCTGTAACAGTAATTGTCCACGTCTTAAATACAAATGTCTGTCATCTGGTCTTTGTACAATAGCTCTTGTAACATCATGCAAAGCTCGTTTATATTCATTTACTTGTTCATATGAATCTGCTCGACACATGTATGCCCTGAAAGTAAAGAAATAGAGAGCCTACAATAAAAATAAAAGCGATTATTGATTTAGCTTTCCAAAAACTGTTGGTATGCTGTGAAGCTTGGCAATGCGCCGCATCGTGTGAGCGCTAGGAATGCGCTCGCTATCGCACCTCTAATCACCCTGCAATTCAATGCTGGGATAGTTATGTGCGAGAGGATTGCTAAACTACTTGTCACCATAGGGTGATTCACATAACCTCTGGTCGGTTACTGTCTCCCCCATCATTCAGTCCACGCTCCTGAAAAAAAATAATTTGCTAACTAACCCCATGGACTGGTAATCGGACGACAGACCATGGTTCGTCATATGATTAACCTGTCTTATCGGCTTTCCTCTCTCCCAGGATAAGTATGTAAATCTTTTTCTTGTTGAATATTGATAACTTGCAGAAAATGGTCCTACACAAATTTTTTATTCAGTGTCCTCACACCTTCACCCCAAATAAGGCAGAGCAGCCATTGATACATGAAGTTCTATGAGTATATTTAGAAAGACCAGAATCTTTCCGCTTCGAAATTGCTTAACCGATTTATTACACAATGGATGAGACTGAAATTTTCAATATACGATTCCAACATAGGTGGGTCCACTACCACAGCACCTACTCCATCATAAATTTTGGTTAGTTTTGTTGAATATATTTTGCTCAATTAAATAATATAATTCTGTCATAATGGCATACTAAATTGATTTTGATTGGCAAATCAGTATTTGAAATGGGAATTCAGATTCGAATTTGAATAGACTATCTTAGTACCATATCTGGCACGGACTGGTAACCAGACAAGAGGGCCGGCCATAGTTCACCATATGTCCTCTTATCGGTTCTCCACTCCCTGGGATAAATATGAAAAATCCTATCCAATCTTCAATTGTAAATACCTTGTATATGTAGGGTCAACATTGATCGCATTAGTAAAATGTCTGATCGCTTCCAAATAATTTCTTGTAATCTGATGATGCACAAGACCTATGTTAACATGGGCACAAGCTAATCCGTGATCAAGTCGAAGAGCTTCTTCAAAATCAACAACTGCTTCAGGATAACGCTTCAACTCAGTGTAGAGAATACCACGGTGTAGAAGTGCCTGTAAGAGATGTAGAAGGCAGTTTAGAGAATTGCAAATGTGTTGTGCGATCCCAATTTGAAGTTGAGCATTTGGGTTTGAGAACGTTCATTCTGCACTCTTGATTGCTCTGTATAGTAGGTATGAGTTCAAATTCCAAGATAATTATGTACAAAAAAATTTTGGCATGATTTATCAAGACCAGAAGTGACTCGAGTTAAATAAATATCTTCATCACAGAAGACTAACGAAATGCATTAACCTATACATATTAACATATAAATTTGATGCCGTAAAGATCAAATTGCCAGACAAAGTATTCAATGTTCTATTAGAAAAACAAAATTGAATGATAGAAAAGTTTTTTCTATTTTCAACACTAGCATTTATTCCTACGATTCCTGCGGTTTATTCCTACCTGCATATGACTAAAAAATCTTACCATTGCATTATCAAACGTGTCATTTATAAGTAAAGAGCAGCTGAAGTCTTGGAGAGATTTCTCTGGAGCTAGAGTTCGTAATAAACATGCTCTATGATAAAAGCTCTCCAGTTGAGTGGGTCAAGATGAATGGAAGCCGATAGATCAGCCAAAGCACTCTCATATTGTTTCATAGAAGCATACGCCCTTCCTCTGTAAGTCCTGTGTAAGACATTAGAATAAAAATGCTGGTAACATGCGCTACCCGGATATAGTTTGGAAATTACTAAAACTTTGTAGTGAAAACCAGGCAGTAATCAATAATCAGTATTTTATTTTACCACCATACCAAAATACACACTGTACAGTGTACAACAACGTTTCCCAAAGGGTGCATTCAATACTAATTGACAATAGCAGAGAACATTATTTTGATTTCAAGCATACATGACCTTACAGTTAATAGCTATAAACAATCATGTTTGGACTATTAACAAATAAATTGAGATAAGAACATGTTACTGTAGAAAGGTACTTTGGTGTTGGAAACAAATTTGCATTGCAAATATTTAAATTCGGAGAAGACATGAACCGTAAATTGCATTTTGAGACTGAGGAAGAGCATTGAATTTGGAAGTTTAGTAGAAAATGGTTTTGGCCAGCTCATGTATAAATTTACCTGGCTAATGCATTGTTAGGTTCCCTTTGGATCATCAGAGTAAAATCAGCAATAGTACTGTGCCAGTTTCCGTGTGAGAAATGGAATCGTCCACGTTTCAACAAAGCATCAGTACGGGAAGGATTAATTCGTACAACAGATCCATAGTCTTCTAGTGCTAACAACATATCCCCTGACAATCAAGAAAAAAGTTAATAAATTAAAGTTACACTGTTTTCGACATTGGCCTCATTTAATAAAACTTGAAAACCAAGAAATATGACTGATATTTAGTATGCTATGATGATCATAAAATTTCAAATCCTTCAGATGATCATTCCTTAGTACAGGGCTGTTCAAACTAGGGGTTACGAGCCCCGTTGGGTTGGTTCAATGGGAGTCGCGATACCCATTATCAGATTATTTCCAAAACTAGCCATACTTAATCTTGTTCGACACTAACTTATGTTAAAACAAAATATTGACCAAATTTGAAACCAGAACTGAGAACCACCATCACCAAAATAAAGCCAAGATTCGATCATTCGTGAACATACAAGCACATCAGTCTCATTAAAGTTCCTGAGGGACACGAAATAAAATGGGCGTTCCAAATGGGTTGTGGTGAAAAAAGTTTGGGAAACATTGCCTTAGTGTAACGTTTCATACATCTTAGTTTAAAACAAAAGTGGGCAAAAGACGGAATAGGGTTTTCATCTAAGAAAGCCGATGAGGCGGATTAATCATATGCCGAAATATGGTTGACAGTAGATTTTGATATTGAAATAGTTGACAGATATTCGTTTCAGATACATGGACTTGATGAAAGAGGGAGTCACATGTGACCTGCGGTTATGTGAACCACTATACAGCAGCAAGGAGACCAGCAATCCCCTTGCACTTACCGTATTCGCTCGTTTTGTAGCTCGGGCCCATATTTTTTTCAACCAACTCACTAACTGGGCCCTTATTCAAACCGGCCATTATTCAAGCACAGGCGCTTGTTATTTTCGATTTTCGTTATAATAATTAATATATTGTTATTTCCAGTTCTCAATTAGTGCCTAAGGCGTGAGTGTTATCTACCGGCGCTTAAAATTCAACAGCGTTGTGACAAAAACGCTTCTTATTTCCTATTGTTCTCTACGACTGAAAAATCAGCTTTTACATCGGGCGGGTATTCAAGCACCGGCTCTTATTTAGTTTTATGTTCTGTTCACACGGGCGGCTATTCAAACGGGCCCTTAATCAAGATCGGGCGGCAAAACGAGCATATACAGTAATTATATCCAGCAGGACTTAACCCGCAGATTGATCAGGTATGGTGGCATTTGTGTTCCTTACGATCAACGTGATGAGTCAGCCTTTGAGTTATCAGAATTAAATATATAGCTCCTTCTAATATAAAGTTGATATTTTACCTTTCTTTTCATACAATTGGGCACGTTGAAAATATGCTTCCTCATCATTAGGACTGAGTTTGACGGCTTGAGTATAATTTACTATCGCCATCGTAAAATCACCAAGAGAAGCAAATATATCTGCCCTCGATCTGGAAGAGAAATAACGATGATAATGTAATAAAATGAAAGCTAGTAACTACTTAACATTTCAAGATGTAAATGAAAAACAAATAGGCAACCAGTAGGATTCAATGTGGTATGCCATTTGTTTTACAACGATTGATCCTGCTGGACCTACACGATAACGGAAGGAAAAAAGGTTGAACCCAAATTCCAATAGGATAGAATTAGATTCCTATTTCCAATTGATTATTCTAAATAAAAAAATAAATAAAAAAAACAGCAAACCTATAAGCATGGACATGTTGCTTGTTTAATTTTAGTAAAATATTCAAATCATCCAATGCTTCATGAGATTTGTTTTCGAGTAACTTAATAAGATGACGATGCCAATATGCAGCAGATAATCTTGGTTCTAATGACAATGCTTCGTTCAAGTCTTCAGTAGCTAATCTGAAAATATACTTAGAACATTTAAATTTGTTTTATAAAAACTTATGCGAAATATGTGATTTCACTAATTAATTGATAACTCGCGGACGGACGGACGGACAGACAGACAGACAAACAGACAGACAGACAAATACCTATCAACATACTTACCAATTAAAATCGATAAGTAATACGGGATTTATTGACAGTGGGCCTCATAACCCGAGATATCTTACGGCCCATAAAATACAGTAATACACTACATTCAAATGCGGATTGCTAGGAAAAACTTACAATTGAATACAATGGCTTGCGGGCAAGCTATGACATATCACTCAGCTTTCTTTGTTAAAGGAGTTTAAGTCAGGATTCACATAGTTAGTACTAAAGCATCTAGCAGTAAAACCTCATCTTTCATGCATAGATGACTTTAATACATAAAGTGGAGTGGACGATATAAATTCGAGGTAGCAACCAAATATGGCTGTTAGTAGGAAATACAATAAAAGAAAATAGTTCTCCATTTAAAGGCAAATGTTTCACTAAAATAATAATATTCTAATATTTCAATCTTATTGAAAAACACTTAAGTTTAGTTGTATATTTTTGTTTTGTAACAAATTAAAAACAAATTTTTATCAGATGTTTTTTCTCATTGTGAAGATGTGAAGACTTTGCTAAATAAAAAAAACGAATTAATTTGACAGCAAAAATCAATCATAGATTAGCGTATGACAAAAGTGTATTTACATGATATTAGATGGACTATCGAATACAAAGGATAGCAATAATAGATGAGTGTGCAAGAAAAGAAAACTTCATCATCGATTTCTCACTTAATTTGTCCTAGTTTTCTATACATTGCTCCTCTTTTTGACAGCAAAATTGCTTTTGTAGAAGTTTCAGTTTCTAGTAACGTTTGTATTTTTATTGATATCCTCTCTACCTCTTTCTCCATCACATCGACTGTTGTTTCTTCATCTAAAATATTAAATACAAAATAATATCAGATTGACGTTATTTTGGACTAAAGTTTGCATTAGATTTCGCAGGAGGTTCAACAGGAAATGAGAGTGGGAACCATAATCATGATATGAAGCATGCAGCATTGATCAATTATTAGAAGTCTGGGTTTGGTAAGGGAATGGTTGAAATTTTGGGATGCCAGTTACAGGGCCTTGGTTTATAGAGGGAATCTGCAACCAATCACCACAACACAACATTACGCTCATCTGCAAGTTCTGAAAATACAACTGCCTTTGCTCATCTGATAACCAGTGTGGATTCACTGGTTGTGAGAGATAATTATGTGCGAGAGGATTGCTGGGCTAGTCGTCACTGTGGAGTGGTTCATGTGAGCAATGCTATCTCATGGCTTCCTCCATGGCAGTATTCGAAACACTAGCTGGCTATTTTCACAGTCAACAGGAACAGGTAACCTTTCAAGACGCAATGGTTCACTATATGATTAGGTAAGTCATCATATCAACTTTCCTCTCCTCCAAGATAAATATGATAATCTTTCCATATTTAGCTCAACCAATTGATTCATGGAGGAAATAAAATCCCATTTTCATATCTAGCAGGCTTTACAATTGGTGGTTTTAATTCTAGAATTCTTCAAATTGTCAACACTAAATATGCAAAATTTGCAAAGTTTTGCTAGGTTATAGTAAGGTCATCATATTATGATATACCTTCATCTGTTTCAAGAATCTTTATAAGCCAGGTCACATACAACATATAGGTGCGAAAAACATAGTATGAATCAACAGGATAGAAAGAACAACAGCCAGTGAAGCATCTTAAAATTAATAAATCTTATTTTACCTGCGAACTGATAGTCATCTGTAGCAGTGTGAATAACAACAGGTTGCAAGACATCTGGTATTTTAGTTGGAAGTTTGGATTTTTCAGCAGATGACGATCCTGATCCTGGATGGGCGATTGCTGCAGATTGCTTCTGATCTTCTGTATAAAGTTAACTCAATTAGCAGTGATAAACTAAAAAATTAGTTCAATACCAATTATGGACCGTTTTATCCAATTAATCTGTTATGATCGATGAACCTCAAAACAGATGAATGTCGCGCAACCATGAAGCAAGATAAGAACTGTGAAGTTGAAAAAAATCTCATTAGAATCTGAGGTATTCAACACCTGACTATTAAATAAATACATAAATATTTACTAAGACGTTTGACTCAAGTTCTAAAAAAATTTGAATGTGATTTCTATTCCAGATATTGGGTAACAAATAATATACATAACAAAATTGAATACAACTATTTTGTAGTATCCGAGTAAATCTATCTGAAATTGTATTTATGAATCGAATACCAGTATGCTTATGCCTTAACTGGTCACAATACCTGACTGACTAACAGCAGATGTCAAGATTTTACGCTGTGATCATTTTCACATATACAATTACTATATAGCAACACTTCAATACAAATATAAAATGAACAATAAAATTTACAGGAAAATAAAAGCAATTTCTTTTAGGTTTTTGTTGAAAAAACAAGCGACCCAAGCTAATTTTTCCATAGGTTGGGCAACACTGTTTCACAAGAGCATATATAAATCGCAAGACTGTGGAATGTATTGTGTAATATATCATGAACATACCAATTGTTTCTGATTCCTCTGGTTCAGATGAAGATGTTGACCAAGAATCATCATCATCAGCAACTGATGGAGGAATTACCTGAAGAATATGGAAAAATCAATATGAATCTAGGAGAGAATAAAAAAAAAATGATATATTCCAAATTAAGCTCTCATCTGCTTAACAACTAGAATAAAGTTTAGAAATATCCACCAGGTTTGGTCTTTATATGTATTGATGGAGAAACAGTCCTAAACTAGAAAAAAACTAAAATTATCAATGTCATGGTATTTCATGAAAAATTTGAATTTGTGTTCATAGTGAAAGGTAATCACCACTCACCAGTGCAATAGTAACCTGTACCCACCACAATCCTTTAGTTAAGTCTTCATTTCAAATATGTTCACAAAATGTTTTGAGTTGATCGGTTTTGGAAATGAAACTTTATGTGAAAAACATGATCATAAAGATTATGTGACATATTTATCTAACGAATGGAATCGACTGTAAACAATTTACAAATAAAACAGAAAATTAATTAATCTCAAGTTAATTTTGATGGAAAAAAATTTCAGCTTACCTCATCAAACCATTCATTCCAAATTCCTCTGACCCATTCTCTAGTGTCATCTGGTCTAACATTATCATGCAGGTCAATAAATTCTTGGAAATTAAGATCCCTTGGAAGACTGTCAGAAATTCAAGTAAAAACATAGTTTAAGAAACACATTACAATTCTCTGTTATTAATATATAAACACAGCACATGCACAAGATCCTACATACACATAAAAAATAACATAAAGAATTTTTCTTAAATAAGAATTTGAGAAGTTTTTTTCCAGACTGGAATTCTATCTGAAGTATTACGTTAACTGTTATCTATTGAGATCTCCTGCACAATGCTCACCCCATGAATAGCTCTCAGCACAACAGTGATCATTCACTTTCTATAAGTACTCTCCCACTTATAGATGAAGCTCTGACTTTGCTTGAAGCAAACTTGCATAAGAAAACATTAAAGCCACAATAATACACTACCTTCGGCTCAGGTGACTGTGTAAATTAGTGCGATGCGTACTGCGTCTTGTTAGTGGTCTTTCTTCAGCTTTTGGAAGTTGAATTGGATCAATCGTATTGAGCGATCTGGATCGTTTCAATGGGACGGGAATATAGGATGCCAGGATTCTACGAATTTCTTGAACGAGTGGAAAATTTTTCTTGATACTCTGTGAAATTATAAGTAGAAACAAAATAATTACTCTAATAAACCACATTAACATGAAACTAAATCACATCAAAACTAACAAAGATTTTTAATGTTTGAAAAAAGGCAAAAATTACAAAATGGTAACTATACAAGCGCTATGGGTAGTTAGCTGATTGCCTGAACCAATATTTCCCTGTGATTTTACTTCTGTTCTTTAGTCCTGCATTACTACTATTATTACACGTTATAAACTGCGTAAGTTGTGCAGAAGCGATTTGCACATTACGCTAGAAAAAGATTGATTGAAGATTAAATAAACAAAGTACTTTTTATGCATAATGCGAGCGAATAAAGGGTTCCAAGTTGGGCGAAGGAAGGATATTAACTGAAGGGTCGGTACCGCTGGGTAGGTACTGCATGTATAAGAGTCCTAATTATTCCGATGAGTAATCCGAGCCCACCACCTTATCCTAATATTGGGAAGTAGGATAGCTATTATAGTGCAGGACGTTTCGAGTGCTGAACTCTGACTGTGTTTGTATGGCAGGTTACTAATTTGGGTCCATGGTGTAAGCTCGTTAGGCGGCTCTTGTATGAAGCCAAGAGTCAAAGTGAAAAGCATAAAAATTTGCAAAAAAAAATATCAGAAAATATTTTCAGTTTTTTCAAACTTCGAGGTTCTTTACATAAATGTAGCTGCTTAATTTGAAATAAAATTGTGCAATATCTCATAAAAACACAATATCACAAGCTAGAGCTAAATTCAACTTCAATCATTAAGGAAATCGATGACAGAATTTTCTGCAATATCTCTTTTTGTTACCTTCTTTCTGCTTTTTCTTCTGTATGGAATATAATCTTGTCCACCTTGTCTTGATAATTCAGCTAAACTCAATCTTTGTTCCGGTGGAAGAGGTTCCATCATAAACTTGGTTGATTTTGTAGCCTGTGGTAACATAAAATGACAGATATTTATGATTGTGATTGGACAAGTGTGAAATGATGATAAATATTTTGAAAAAATATAGAACAATCATTCTCAGAAGGGAATAAAAACAACAGTGAGTGATGGGATACAGTGGGTGCAAATAATTTGATACATATGCAGGAACATGAAAAAAGTGAGATATACCGGTAACGTTCAAATAAATTTGAAAAATGTAGCCCAAGAATACATATTTGATTAAAATTCCGTTAACCCAGACCTGCACAATTCAAATGTACAGGACCGCAACACACAAAAACAATCGCACACAGGCCGCAAATTATCCTGATTACCGTATAACCTATGTCAGGGGTCAGCAACCTTATGTCGCTCGCGGGCCAAAATAAGGGTTGCAAGTCATTGGCGGGCCGCACATATTTTTAGAAAGTTGAAAACCGAACGGATGATACTTTTTATAATAAAAATCAGGCAGTGACATTGCATTGCATCTCACAAAAAATTCCATTTGAATATTTTCGGCACCACTGAACCCTTTGCACTTAGCATCAACTTCTCTGCGTTTTGTTGCCATTTGTCTAATTATAAATAAATTATAGGCTAATTAAACGAGTAATTGTGAATTTTATCCTTGTTAGATTATATTATAATTTAATCTACACGCGTCTCGCAAAAAATTCTGTTACACAAAGAATATAATCATCAAAACAGATGTATAATTCAGAGAAGTGAAGCGTCACGAGCCGGATTGTATTAGTCCACGGGCCGTATCCGGCCCCAGGGCCGTAGATTCCCGACCCCTGACTTATGTGATGTCATATTTTTTATAGTAAAATATAAACAATGTAACTCATGATCAATTAGCCATCAAAATGGGAATCTAATTCACTTACTTATAATATATCTAAAACTACACACAAAAAGTAAGCACATCCAATAATATATGAGTTTCTATTTTTTACATCCATACTGTCATATATCACCTTTATATCTTGTACTTGTCCAACTGATAATTGTTGCGCAATATCATGTGTCGGCATAGCACTTGAATCAGGCATAGTTGCAGACATGAGCATTGTTTCTCGTTCTTTTTCCATTGCTTGCATTCTTTGTTGTCTGAGTTCTTCCATCGCAGTGGAATAATCAGAATTCATCTGTTATTATTATATATATAATCAGGCTTACCATAGGTCCCGGAATTTAGCCGGGGCAGTCCCGGTTTTGACAAGCTGTCCCACCACCCTGCATGGTAGACTCAAATATTCTGGTCATGCAGTATTGGTGTCAAATATTTTTTTATTTAATATTCAAATGAAATTATTAATTTTAACTGATTTGCGACTCACTTCACTAGTTCTGTGAGAGAGAGTGAGAACTATCGTATATTGTTATGTCATAATGTGTTTAATACGCCACTTCAACATCTAACATTAGCTGAACCGCCGTTAAATTATTTAAAATGCATATTACCAAGCCTCCGAATCAAACTAAGATTTGTCGAATACGAACTGTCCTGGTTTTTTGTTTCATATATATGGTAAGCATATATATAATAAATACATGGTTAGAGCATTAAACTTAACTTCATTGGTATCACAGGTTACAAACTACCCAACCCAGGACAGGTCTAGTAATAAATAATAATGAGTCAGCAATGTTGAACCGAGAAGATTCCGTTCCTTCTTAAAATAGTAGGTGTTATATATCATTATGATTTCAGTGAATGCTTGTACAGGACCTTGTTCAGAGCAGTCGGCATGAAAAACAGTATATTGACTGCGTCGGCGTACACAATTTATTACACCCCGAGTAAGGTAGGGAGTGGATCTCAACCAAGAATTCAGCCTGCGATAGCATCATAGTTAAGTCTAACTTTTTAACCAATAGGTCCCCTATGTCCAAACAACAAACAACAGTTAAGACCTGTCTCTTCAAATATTAATAATTTCATATTAGTTTCATGATTGGTATTTTTTACTTATTCAATCAAATCTGGTCTCTCACCCACTATAAACAGTCGTTTACCATATAATTTAAAATTAAATTTGCAAGTTAAAAGCAACATCATATGTAGTTTCGATACACATATTGGATATAAATATCTACTTGATTTCAAATTCTGACACAAAAAAATATTACACAGTACCTTCACAATTGGTTCTTCGGTCGTTTCAGCTTCTGAAATATCCGGAATGGAATTTGATCTTCCAAGATTGACAGATTCCTCAATATATATAGATGATTTTCTTTTTGAAATTTCTGAAAGATCCTAGTAATAAAATGAGTACGGTATTTTATTTTAAAAAGTCTATTCGAATTTCGAAATAGTAGATTATTCAGTTTTGGTTATAACTTGTCCATAACTTACGTCTTCCGATTTATGTCTTCTATTCAAATAAAGTAAGTTAAACTCATGTTTCTTTTCCTCAGAATCTGCTTCTGTTTCTGATTCACTATCTTCCATGTCGAGTTCCTACAAACAAGAAAAAAAAATCATTTCATTTTTTGAAGTTCAGAATACCTAAAATTGGCACAATACAGTGGTTCTTCTTCTCCATTTCATATATCTGAATATATATCTTAATAACGCAAAATCCAGTCAAATGGTTTTTGATCAAACGTAACAATGCATTCTCATACCCCAGAGACAGTTCTTGCACTCCCAATTAAGAAACCCTGGCTTAATAGCTTGAGAGTTTGACTTGTGCTTCGTACTTCCGTTAAAATTAAGCGTTTGTACGCAATTTCTACCACTCCACCTGAAGTGTAATAGTTGGATAGACAATGTTCAACTGAAAAGATATCGGTCCTTTCAAAATTGTTAACCCCTTGCCCATCAGTGGCTGTCTATTCAGAGCTTTGTTCTGAGTGAAGAAGTAATAAGTGTCATAAAAACATTTGGTCGAAAACCGACTATAAATAGTTGCTTATACAAACCGTTTTTACACCATCCACAGATCCAGATGCTATTTGTGATCCATGGTATTGGGGAAATAATGCAGCTTTAATTGCAACTGGAGGTAATAACATCTTAGGTGGAGCAGGATCCCATATCAATCTCCATATGTTTGATTCCCTCCCAAAACAACTGAAAAATAGTTTGAAGAAAACAGGTGAAAAGACAAGTATTACACTAGCTATTGAAAACTCAAATTATAGTGTCAAGATTAAAAATGAAGGTAGAAATAATTGTTTGCAAGTCATTCGAAAAACTGATCTTTTTGAATCGTATTTTATGGAATATTTAGGACCAATGCAGTGAATACAGAACAACTCAGTTAAAAGTGGAGAAGGCAAAATTAGAAAAATTGAAAAAGTATGCGAAACACACTATGGTTTTCCAGTAATTCAATTTAGTATTCAATGTAGGAAAGGAGGAAACTTCATCGACTTTGAGTTACCTACAATACAAAGTCAAGATATAGGATAAGAAAATATATTTTATTCATCAGAGTATAACTACTCTAAAGAGTCTTCTTGATGGAAATCATAGGCAAAATATGAAAATGAATATCAAATCCTAAACAAGATCATAAAGTATGAATAGGTATGGCTATATGGTCCTAATCACTATTTGAATGACCTACCACATATATGGTATGTTGAGCTGCCGAATTTGTCAGGAGAACCAGACAAGACATTTACACTAAATCCAAACTAACTATTTAAATTCCTTTTGTTCAAAACTTAAATGAAAATGATGCATCAGCAAATATGGGAGTACAGACATACGTTTCTCCCTGTTGTGTCATATTTTTGTTTTCCAACACATTGTCAGCGAGTTGTCTCCAGGCATTCATATCTAAAGGATCAATTTTGCTTGTATCAAGTTTAATTTCTTCTTGTTCAGATGGAATCTGATGACGGGATAATGCTGTTTCTTCCGATGCTTGTTGCATTACTTGTTTATTATATTCTTCTACTTCTTGCCTGAAGAAATAGTTGAAAATACTATGGGTTGCATCAATGAAAGATAGAATAGAATTTATAGATTCATCCTGAGGGAGAGGAAAGGTATAAGACGAATTTATCATATGGAAAACCAAGGCCTCTCGCCTGGTTACCAGTAACAGTACCAGCAGTCGGTTATGAGATTAGGTAATCAGTTATTTGTTCCAGATGCATGGACTTGATGGTGTAGAAAGCCGCAACCGACCAACGGTTACTCGAAACACCCTGAGAATTGGTATTATCTTTATTCTGATATGGATATGGTCCCATATATTCAACAGCATAGGTAAGTGAAAGAACATAAGACTTCTAGATTAGTTTAAACAAGGACGTGATGATCCATCATTGATTGGTATCAGTATTCTAAATTATTCCTGAAATTAGAAATTCAAAATGCAGAATAAAATAAATTATAAATTGATTTGAATATTCAATTCATTTTGGACATTAATGACTTACCAGTAAATGAAATTTAATTTAGAGTACAATACTAAAAAACTCACAGAACGGAGGGAATTTCTTGATTCAGACCATATTGACTAGCAGCACTTGTGTCATCTGCACCAGACATTGTGTGTGCTTGTGACGGAGGAGGTGCAGGTGGAAAATCAGTGGCATTTTCCTTTGTTTTATTTGTAAACTGGCGATTAGTTTCTAAAGCATTTCGTCTTTGTGCAACAGCGTGTGTTAGTTGTGAAATAGCAGCATCTGAAGGAGATACGCCAAATTGTGAAGAAGAGTTTGCTGCCAACAAACACAAATGATGGATTCGACCGCCGGTTGTAATTGTTGAAGATAAATCAGCAGGATGAAATCGTTCAGTAGCTGATCCAGATGATGTTCCACTGCCATAATAACCTGAATATGCACAAAAAATTATTTTTAAATTGATGTTTCACACAGCTTTCTTAGTGTTAGTAATATGCTTTCTAGCATACCACTGAGTATGTATTGTCAGATTTGATTTTCATGTAGAAGAGGATTGTTAGACTCCTCACCATTGCAGGATGGTTTACATAAAAATCAGTAAGTTATAGTTTACTTCCAATCTAAGCTCATGTCTATAGAAATATGAATAGTTAACTATTTTCATGGGCGATTCGAACTAGTAAACAGAACGAAAAACCCGGTTTGCTATACCCGGTGGGCCATATACCTTAATCAACTTCAGCACTGTAGGAAAGGCAAGAGACGAGAAAGCGGCTATCGCTTAGTGATAAAGGCAAAACAGCGATAGATTCAATGCAGCGACAAGTTCAATATGTATTTTTACCCATGTGAGCACATTTTTAAACCTAAACTGTCAGATTGGGATTTTATGCTCGATGGGAAATGATCTGAGTATTGACAAGGGCCACACTACATGGCAAGTGGGCTAGCCGAGTTGTGGCCCCCGAGCCACCTGTTGCACACCCCTGGTCTAATGCTTCAACAACTAGGCCATGTTATTCATAAAATCAATTACCTTCATCATCACTGGTAGTTTGATATTTAACGAGTGGTGCAGGTTTCCCTTCAACACAAATGATATCTTCATTTGTTACATCCAGCGATCTGTTTAAATCACGAAATGCTTGAGCTGCATCAACATAATCATCTGAAAACACAATAAAAATATTTTAGATTAAAATGTTTGATTTTCTACTTGAGCTGTTAAATCTGTTCTTTCCAAGGTATGTTAATTGAACACAAAGTTGAACTATTGATCGTTTTTTTATCTTATCTTATTGTTGGGAAAAAATCGCTCCTCTTAACCTACTGGACCAATTGCTTTATAATTTTCAGTAGTTTAAGCTCGTTGTTGTCGCTAGAAGGCTATCACTATTATATTTATTCCAAAAATATCTGTGAAATTCGTTTTTCTCTTCAACGTTTTGTGTGATGCCGGCATCAAAATTAAAAATTGCGCGCATTGGTTCCGTGATAAAATCTCAGTGATCTGGTGGTCAGACTACCAGTATTGCGCAAGATTCGATACTACTTCGCTTTGGCCTTTGTGTCCACATATTTGAGCGTTTATCTCTCGTTTTTTGAAAAGAATTTGCTCAAATCAAGGTAAATCACACTAAAGCATCCACTTCTTCGGAATTCTAAACTACAGCATATACTCAGTCATGGGCTATTCTATACCCTATTAACTAGTACTCCAACTTGTGATGAAAAATGATTAAACAATATCACTAACAAAAACAGGACAGCAATGCTTAAACATATGGACACAAAGACCAAAACAAAGTAGAACAGGTATCTAATCTTTTACAGTAGACTACCGGCACCACAGTCTCCATGAATTCGACTGACCATCAGATAGCAACAATCGCAAACGCGCAACAGGTCACACGGTGAGTGATTTTAAATTTTGATTACGACATCACATAAAAAAAACGAATCCGATAGTGGTCACAGAAATTTTTGAAATAAATGAAAGTAATTACCTTCTCGCGACAACAACAATCTTTAACCACTTAAAATTTCAAAGCAATTGATCAAGTAATTGGAGCGAAAAGAGATTTTCCCTAACAACAAAAACAAGAAAAATATTTCTAACAATATCAACAACAACATAAAACCAAAACGATCTACAGGTCCACCTTGTGTCCAAAAACATCGAAGCTTATATCAAGCCACGAAAAATATTCAAACTACACACATCTACTCACCAGCATCTCCACCACCAAGTACTGGAGTCGAAAATCCACTGTAATCTGAATCTTGCTTCCATCTTTGTGCAGTTTCTGATGATTTTCTCAGTAATATTGCAGCAACATCAGGGATACCTATGGGAGAAATTATGTTGCGTTCTATTGCAGACCTTTCTATTGTTGAATATAGAGTGATATCTCAGTAGTCGAACATAATTTGTTTGAGATTGGTTTGTGACTAGTGACTACCGATTTGTTTGAGTACCAAAACTTTTTTGCAGAAACATTGGTAAATATTTTAATATGTTTTTACGTATTCCGAAATACCCAAAATATTACAAAATCGTGGAAATGTGGACTTTGCTATATTGTGAAACGAGGTCAGACAAGCGAACACCATTCTCGTTTTTCGTAATAATTTCATTTTTCAACTCGATAGTCACTGTTTTCCTCCCTATATCACTATTTTTCTTCAAAGCCATTATCAACAGCAAAAAAGAGCACTAATCACAAAAATTTCTCAACACATGCAAGCAGCCGAGATAGGATCACTGTATTTCAAGATCGTATTGACTAAACTGCTTCGAGTTTCCCAACAATCAGCATTAGCTGGAGCGTAAAGCACCACCAGAAATCTATAAATTTCAGTAGCTCGTAAATTTCAATGATAAGTTTTCTCAGGAATAGTTTTCTTTACTTTGAGCGAGTGTACATGAAAATTAAAAATAGGAAGAAACCTTTAGTATAGTCTTAGTTTGTCTAGAAAAATCAACTAGTCCACTGTCCTCTGTAAATCATTAAAAAAAATAGTCACAAAGAAGAGTACCCGCGGGAGCAGATATTTGACTTGCAAGCGTAGAAACAGTATCTGATACATCAATATCTTCTTCTGCATCAGACGTCGATAATCGTTTGCGATCTTTTTTTGTTGGCAAAACAGGAACTTGAACATTTTCTTCTTCAACTGATTTCATTTGTTCTTCCTTTAAGAAAAACAGAAGCAATTGATTCAACTCTCATTATTGGCTTAGTAAAAAGTATGAACCTGCAGGCACCGGAATATAGGCTTCATGGTTAGAATAGTTCTCTAACTATGATGATATTGTGGGTTAAAATCTTAGGTTTAAATCTTGTACCCATCAACTTAACCTGTATATATATGATAGTCGCAAGTAGAATGGAATAAGATAACATATCCCAGGGGAGAAGAAAGGCGATAAAACAGCTTAATCATATGACAAGCCACGACCTCTCGTCCGGTTACCAGTCCATGTCGGGTATAGAATTAATGAGTTATTTGTTTCTGATGCATGGACTTGATGGTGGAAAAAGCAGTAACCGACCAGTAGTTACGTGAATTACCCCACGGCAGAAGTGCTGTGGCGAGTATATTCATAATGCTGAGCTTGTTCACCACGCCGCCAAGCCATATAATATCAAAATATTTACAATATCAAATTGGAAAGATTCCAGTTCTTCCAAAAATAGTAGCCATTTTAGTATCAGGTGTGGTCTGTTCAGAGCAAAGGTATAAAAATCATGATGAAAAATATTATCACCGATCAAGAAGAAATTGTTTTAACATATATAAGGCATGAATAGTGAATGGATATCGAAATAAAATCTATGCATTAATGCCATATATTTGATGCCTTTATTATCCTTTGCTTTGAAAATTAATGATCTAAGCACAAAGCACATTTCACTGAACGTAATAAAAACGTTTCGTTATATTATGTTTATCATATTGTGGTATATTACATAATTAATGTACCTTGTTAGTCCACTCTTCTGAATGACCCAAAACTTGCTTCAATAATTCATCAATTCTTAAGTCAGAAGAAGATTTAACTTCTGTTCCTTCCCGAGATGTTCGAAGCGATTTGATGATGTCATCAACCGACCTTATGAAACAAAACAAAAAATAATTTATTTTAAATTGCAAAAGTAACTACAATCAAAGGAATAATAAAACTGAATGTCCTATAGCAATGTATGAACACGTGATAAACTACTGTAACTAATAGAAAATTAGGTATAGAGGTGTTAATGTGTGCAGTGGTTAGGTTGTTGAAGTGTTAGACATAACTATGATGGCATCGCATATTGATATTTCAGATTCAAATCCCAAGCCACCGCTTCACCCAGTGTGTCATAAATTCAGTAGGCAATGTCAAACCGGAGTGATTCGGTGCTTCCAAAATAAAGTTGATCCTCGCATATCAGTGGCTGCTTGTACAGAGCCTTGTTTGTAGTAAAAGGCAAAATTAACTCATATGAAAAAATTACTAAATTTGAATAGATTTATATAAGTGATTGATATACCACCCCATATTCATCAGAACTATGTGAAGATTTTGAATATAAACTGCAGTTGAGACATTTGGAAACATTATGATAGAATTCTTTGTCTTAAAAGCATTTGCTGTTTCTATATAGCAGCATTACACTTCCATGCATTGTACGAATCACTACATTCAAGAAATGAAGTTATTGAATATTCGTATTTTTGTTCAATTTCATAAAGTATATATAATTAAAAATAGCTTTGACATTTTAATTAAGTTCTGTACAGTCAATTGGGGGAACCTTCAATCAAACTACTTGAATAATATGATGATGATTTATTCATTTGCAAATACAAACCTTGCTGATCCAACATCTCTTACTTCCTCAGTTGTAGCAAACTCAACTTCTCCTTGTTGTTTGTCAGAGGGGGAACTTGGTGGTGCTTCCAACTGCTTGCCTAAAATGAAGCAAACGAAGTTGAAACAGATTTAGAAATACCAAAGACACAATATGAACTCACATTGAAAACAAAAAAGTATTATGAGAATGCTCGATAAAATTTTAAAAACAGATCATAAAGAATATTTCATTCACACAGATATAATTGGAATGCAGTGTCTTAGGGCAGCGGTTCCCAAAGCGGGCGACGATTTGCTAAGTGGGCCCCGAAAATTAACAGAATAGTTTTTTTCCCTGTTAATTTGGCGGCGCATGGATAAAGTTTGGGAACCGCTGTCTTAGGGTATATGTATATATAATATACTGTGGGGCAAATGGTTAAAGTAAGCATAGGAGGGAGGATTCAGCTTTGTTATATGTTCAGATAGATAAATTAGGATTAGAGTAAACATATATGAGATTCATACAAATGGTGCAAGTGGGACAAGGGTGGGGCACAACATTTTATAGACACCCATTGGAACGCAAAATCCAGTAATTCCACCTATTTCAAACATAGAGCATACATAGTATAGTGTAAAGTATAACAGAATCAAGATAAATCCAATGAAACTCATATAGAAAATCTCATCACCTGATACTTGTGAGTTTGCAGATATAGCATCCATACGAGATGAATGTCTGCTCGACGTTCTTTTGCTCGTTCTGCTGTTTGGTGGAGCAGGGATGAGTGAGGGTTTTGTAAAAACATGACCTTTCAACTTTGTCATTGGAGTCGCTTTTGGTTTTCTTCTTTCTGAAAAACTAATTTTTCCAGTAGTACCAGTACTGGATACAATAGCAGGCATTTTCTCAGGTTTCAATTTCGATTTTTTCACTTTATTAACAAATTCTATTTGTTGTTCATCCGGGTCTTCGTTATCTTTTGTAATTTCTTTATCTTTGTCCTTGTCGATGCCCAAATTCGACTTTCCTATCACCATAACACCCATTTCGTTAACTTGTGATGTTTTCCTGATAGGAATCACTCCAACGCTTGAGATTTTGGGTTGAAGTAAGGTATCAATTGTTGTATCCTTTTCTGGTTTACAATATGGGTATTTATTACTCTTTTCAAAATTGATATCTTGACTTCTTTTGTCTAATGGATTGTAGTGTTTCCACTGTTCGGCAAATTTAAACTTCTCCATATTTAGTATGTTTGATTTAAAACTGTGTAACAATAAATTGTGAGAGCTAACTGTAATGTCACAAGAACATAGTTAGTAAAAGTTAGAAAAAGTGTGAAGTGCTACTTTGGTAAGAGATGTCAGCGTTTGTGTGATCTCACTTAGGGTTAGGAACTGAATTCTATGAAAATGACATAATGCGATTGAAATCATGTTAAGCCATTGGCCACCAAATGTTAATTCATAATTAGTAATACTTTGTTAGGTTTATTTTATAAATCAATTTTAGAGGGAAGAATCATATATAGTTATCCTGCTTCAAATAGTAAGTCCTGACGATGTCATATCAATCCATATTGAGAATTTCAAGGGTAGAATCACATTTTCGTCTAATCAAAGTCAGACTCACTAAGACAAGTAGTTTACATCAATAATAAGAAGAGAACATTCATATTGGTTTAAATCAGTGGTTTTCAAACTTACAAAACGTGATACCCTTTCTCAACTGTAAAAATACCTAGTTTTATTTTTATGGGTCACCATCACTTACTATATTCACCATTTTTGACAAAAAAGGCCAAGTAAAATAATTACTCAAAAATTGTACTCAGGGAAGGGATCTGCTCATGGCTTCCACAGAACCGCTCTCTGGCAACCTAGGGATGTCGAAACCCTGGTCTAAAGGTAGAGAAATCTGTTCATAAAGATCCACTGACATAAAAAAGAGGAGCAATAGTTGGATATATTTTACTCCGATCAATAAATATTAATTTTAATAAAACCAAAAATAATAATGTATGTGTGTATGTATGTTCATTCGTCTCGTAAAATCAATATAAAAGAGTTAGTAATTATCAATACTGAAAACGAGATGTATGCACAAAACCATACTGGCCTGAAACACATGAATATGTGGCATGCACCCCTTACTGCCTTATGAATGAATGATGAGCATAAAATACAATAAATCAAATTCGTATAATATGGTCCTTTATACAGACAGTTGTACAAGGAGGATGGGTGGGTGTGGGAACAGGGGTAACGGTGGAGTATACAAAACTGTTTGTTCATCCGAGTTTGTAAGACAAAAAACAACATGAATACACTGCATGTAAACATAATAATAAAATTTTGAATTTGGACATAAATACAGCACCTTTGAGTGATGATATCATATACCATAAATGGGGGAAATAGTCAAGTTTTCAAGTCAAGAGTAAGTGTGTGCATATATATGGAATGCACCACCCAAGAATGAGTGTTTTAGTAATAGCCTATATTTTTATTCTAGCAAAAATGCATTCCTACAGGTCTTGGTGAAATGCGAAATAATGAATTCTCTCAATTTATTCGCTTTTTCAAGATACTTTGTTCAGTTTTATTTATTTTTCTTTATCAATCATGTGGTGTAAACTAAATTTACTGTACAACTTCAACCCAGTAAATATAACTGCATAACAATAACATACCGGTACCTCATTAGCTTATTCTACAATTTTAAAACCTTAAAAGAACAGAAAATAAACCACTTGATAAGTTAATTCATCCCGTCTAATGATGTAGCTAAATATCAAACAAATCTAAAGAATTTGGGTGTATTTAACCAATCCAAATGCATGCTATTCCATATCAGCGATGATTATCTGCTTGTGAACAAACATCCGGCTTGTTTTTACAAATCTGGCAACTGGATTCCCGCTTGTGGGTTGTCACGGAAACGACTTTCTGAATGAGAAATAAAAATCTAAATTAAAATACGAATCTGTCGAGACTGACTTTAAATTATTAGAATGAATTTCATATTGTAGTAAACATTACTTAAGTAATATATAGAAATATATTGATATCAGTATTGTTATTTTATAGAAAGTATGCATGTTGCGCTCCAGTGAACGTATAGTCTTCACCTGTGGCTTAATAGCTCCACCTAGTCGTTTGTCCTATCGAGTTATCGAAAAACCTGGTCTCTCAGCTTGCGTGGTGGAAGCGAACTTGTTTGCTTCTTGTTAGTTCTATCCGTGATCGGCTTGATGCAGCTTCTTAAGTGTGTTTTGACGTTAAATTTAGTGCGATACCGGTACTGGCGCAGCACTTTTATACGGATTAGAAATAAGTTAACTGGAATAGAATTAAGATACGATCCGGTCAGACGTGGTTTATGATGTTTATCTGTAACACCTAACAGTTGATGTTTCATGCCACACCTTCCATCCTTCACAAGCGGCCAGGCATTTACTTTATAGTATAACACTGCAGTATTAGACAGCATACAATTATAATAAGATTATATCTGAACTAATTACGATTTATTGAATAAGCTGAAACAAATCTCTGCTATAATTTAAAAACATGTAAATTAATGTATATTTCTGTATTTACTGATAAACATGGGAAACTTTATCTGGAATCAACAATGGGATAATATGAATTGCTGGATAATACTGGATGATGTTTACGAATATATTTGTTTATTATATGTAACTATTTCTATGTTTATTATTTTTTCATCATTTATTTATTTTTACAAAACTGTTATGAATCCACAACGTGGAATAATATCTCAATTTATGTATATCATACTTACAAGTTACATATAGGCCTATAGCATAATCGGCCAGCTTATCACTATTTCATGTCAATATGAATATTCATCAAACTCTTCTTTATATACTCATGAATTGTTATCAACATAGTATATATTTAGTTTTAATTGATATTCCCTGGTTTTATCGAGCCAAATTGATGCCTGCTATTTTTGAATGTAGTGATTGAATGAGCCATGACTGTAAAATTAAAACTTGGCATGTTTGCATTGGAGTCAGGGTCGTAATTTTAAACTTGTCGGAGTCGAGATATTAAATTGCCTCGAGTCAGAATTTTAAACTTTAAATAACGATAAACAAAGTCCAATTTTTCAAAGAAAATTTAAAAATAAATTGAGTTAACTAAATGTTATTAACGGTCTATTAAATATGCCAAAGTCCTCATATTAAAAGTATGGTTTCCGAAAAAGTTCTGAAATTATTTCCAACTTTGACATTGTCATTGATGTTCTTTTGAGTCCGAGTCAAAATTTTAAATCTGGAGTCTATTGCAAATTCTCACTGAATGCCCTTGTTTCTGTCTATTATTTCTCGCAATTGAGTGTATGTGCATTTTTGTTACCTGATGCTTAGTATGAATGAAAAAAAAACTTTCTCTCCTTTCCACTAACCAATACAATTGAGTTCGTAGTTATCAAATATCAAGCATTTTTTTACCTTGCCAGGTATTTAGTAACGAGAACCTATTTAGTGTTTAAAAAGAACAAGCAAAAAGCACTTGCAAATTCTGTACAACAAGTATCAAAGCACTTCCGCATGAGTTCAAACCCCCTAGCAGTTCAGGAGTTTGACCCGTTTGCAGATGCAAGCAACGTCAACGACTCGAAGCAGTCCACCCAAAGTGGAGTAATACATATACGTATTCAACAGAGAAATGGTCGTAAAACGCTGACTACTGTACAGGGAATCGGAGAAGATTATGACAAGAAAAAAATTATAAAGAAATGTAAGAAAGAATTTGCTTGCAACGGAACGGTAGTTGACCATCCTGAGTATGGCGAAGTGGTCCAGTTGCAAGGTGATCAACGCTACAAGATCTCTGAGTTCCTTGTCAAAGTTGGCATTGCAAAACAGGATCAGCTGAAGCTGCATGGATTTTAGGCTTCTAATGGGAGGATTTTATCTGTATATAAACAAGCTTTTGATTTGATGTTGACATTCTTTTTTTGTCATCATGTTTTTGTGACTGAAATTTATATTGTTGAAATGAATGTATTGCTTTGCTAAACAAAAATATAGGAATTGATTTTGTAACATAAATAGAATAATGGATTTGGTGTAATAATGGTGTGTTCCATTTTTTCCATGTCGCCTTTGTGTTACTGGAATTGTCATGTTCGTTATAAAGCATATTACATGCAGCATATGTCCTAGTAGTCTCAATATTTCGAAACAACATGGGTATGGATGATAATGCACAAATGGAAAATACACAAATTTCACTTTCCCGATGTTAATTCAGGATTTCTTATGCAGTTCATGTTTTATCAATGAATTAATGGCATTCTGATTACAATTTTTGGTCCATTTCGATTCAGCCCCGACTGCCATGTGTGTGTTGCCTATACATTCAATTCATTGTACAACTCTTAATCATTATTTCAAGTTAATAAAGACAAATGTAAACATCAGTAACAAACAGCATTTCATTAATGTATTTTAGTCTATATGAGAATTTGAGTAATGTGAAGGAATACGTAATGCTTAATAGGTTGCGAACTTTGTATGAACGGGTCTTGCCCAGTCGACATTTGAGACAAGGAGTTCCATTTCTGGCGTTCCTAGTTCTTGGATGGCTCGGTATTCGAGAATTTGCTAATATACGTTATGATATAAAGAAGAAATACGGACAATCAGATGCTTTCAGGGAAAGAATGGAAAAAGGAGGAAAGAAAAAAATTAAGGAAATTGATCCTGAAGAGGAGTATAAAAAACTAGTGGAAGATGCTGATCTTGATTCCTGGTTTAACATTAGAGGTCCGAGGCCTGAGGAAGATTCGAGAGCAATACAACAGGAGCTGAGAGAGAAGCATCAGAAGTTGGACTCTGCTTCAAATTAAGTTTAAAAATATCTCATTGCTTTATTTCTATTTGATTCAATCTTTGTGTGGTGTGATACTGGGTATGGAATGCCAAATTTCAGAGACATTTGGTCAAGTGTAAAAACTATCAGAAATAAGAATAAGTGGTATGACATGTTTCTATAACCAAATAACTTCAATCTGTGGCAGTACAATTTTCGGTATGTGATTGACTTTGAATACATGTGTTTTCATTACTGAGTTAATAGCTATTTGTAAACCGCTTGGAGTCACTGGTCACTTAATAAATTTGTCTCACATTTAGGTGTAACCAATAATAAAAAAGGGATGACAGACTTGTGGTTAAAGATATTAGGCATAGTCGTCTTGCCAGTTCATAGTTCCCAACTACTCATAGTAATAAATTGGGTACGCTATATATCTTGATATCAGTCTCTCAAAAACACTTGCAGGGCCTTCTGAGTGACCAGTTGCTTGCCTCAGGTGTTGTTCAAAGTATGAAACATTGCAGAAAATTCTTTTGATACAATCGGTACTTGGGTAGCATGTTGTTACACAGCCTGTCTCCCAATATATGACCAAGACAGTAGTCTGAAAATATACTTTATTAGTGAAGAAATATGCAACAATCTAACTTGAAAGTGATGGGGTGATCAAAAGTACATTATGCCCGTTGTTAACCAATCTACATAGCTATTGCAGATATACAGAGAAAAAAACAACCAATTAGTCACTGTATTGGTCATTATTTTGAGTCACTGATTATCACTCATAACGATTTCTCCCATGACTCACTTGGTAGAAAAGAAATAGAATCCTTTATATATATATATATTCCGGTTGTAAATAAAACAGCCTAATTTTATGACGAATCACTGCCTCAATTCCTTCTATCAGATAGGGTTTGGGAGGTCATGGATACAAGAGGCTTGAGAACATTCTGAGTATATATTAACATCTTTGGGAGGTCATGGATATTCAAAATTTTGTTTATCTCCAAAAATTTTGACCTGAGAGGCACCCTTTGGTGTGCACCCAATATGGCAGTTGAAAAACTTATATGGCTATACAGTTGTAACATGAATATCATAAAAATTATGTACATAACATTATGCATATTATGAAGGTTTGGTGCCTTCGCTTGATTAAAAAAATTTAACATATGATATAAATAGTGACGGATACAATATCAATTAATAGTAAATTCACAGTAGGTTAATATCACAAATTACGAAAAGATTGTTCGAGTGCAAATAACATTAAAAACATAAATAAATATTTGGATGGAAAGTGGTGGGATGTCATGAGAATCATTTTGACAAATTATAAATAAAATTGGTGACTGTGCATAAAATAGATGTTTCTTTAGAATTATTCCAAACTTCTATATCATGATGATTGTGAGTAGTAGATACATGTATGACTACACTTGTAAGGAAGAGAACGTACTGTATAATTTCTACCTCACAAATTGGTCAGATATAAATAAAAAGCTAATAAAAAAACTTTTTTGACACAAAAAAGGCCAGAACCAATAATTTTTGATTGATATTCATAAACAAAGAGTGAAGACTACAAAAAATTCAGTACTTCCGAAGTATGTGAACCAAGATGACAGACACCGGCACATAGTATGTGTACCATGTTAAGGTTACGCCATAATTTTATTGAAGTTTGCCTTATTTGAGTTCTATTACGAATTCGGAGACTAGCCAAGTGACTCCCATAGTATTTGTACCTGAAATTATGGCCTAACCTGGTATACATACTACGATCCGGTGCCCGCAATCTTGGGTCACATACTTCGGGAGTACCAAAAATTCTGAAGCCTCGCTATTTTCTTATATCAATATTTTTAACTGCCCAAATTGTAACTGGTGATCAATGAGATATTAAATGTATACAGTGCAGAGAGACAATTCTGTTCAGAAACTGTACAAAATATAAAATTGCTTCATACAAATGAAATATTTCTCAGGAAATTCGTATAAAGACGATTGATTGTTCAAGTGAACACTGTTTCTGTTCACTTTTGCTTGAAGAGCAGTCTGAGAGTCTCTTCTTGGGCTTTCAATCCCTTCTGTTCTCTTTCATCACCTGGCAGTTGAGCAATATCAGCATCTGTCATTGCTTTTCCATAAACAGATATCTGGTAATATCCAATATATTGCAATAAATTGGGCTGTTGCAAGTCGAATGTGACAACATTGAGTTTCAGACCAAAAACTCCGTTGGCACTCTAGATATTGTGACAAGTCATAATTTGATTTATTGTGGAGAAACATTTGTTGAATACTGCGGATTACATTGAGACTTTGAAGCGTGGTAATTAAATCTCAAATCTTGGAACAAAATCTAGTGCATTTATAGTTATTTCCCTATCATACTCCAAAGCCATGATTTGTAGAACGCTTGGTGACACATCATAATACAATCTTATGCAAATCTGTATTCTCAAATTCGATCTGGGCTATTTTGTTCGTAACATTTGATGGATGTATCCATGATAACACGATCTAAATAAGCGCTGCATATTCTACGTTCACACTCAAATTAAATTTTGTGACAATACACACAATATTCATTGTAGGCATTTAATAAATGAACACTCTCCCACCTGTGCTTTCTTGAACGCGACTGTCAACTTTTGAATATCTTTCTGAGTCATTTTGTCCAAATCTCTCCTTTCCTTTTTGTCACCATGAACCACTGAGATCAATTTAATCAAAGGATATACATGTTATATTTAAATATGATTATGGGCTTCTTTTATGCTTGTATTCATTCAAAGAGACACATATAAAAGATAGGAACGTCTTTATTTGAATAGTTATATTTATAAAGTGCTTTATAGTGCTTTATTCTTTATTGCCTACACTCAAAACCAGTACCAGTATTGCTTTCAAAATGGTTGCTCTGAATATCTAAATTCTGTAGGTATATTATTTTCCCAAGAGAATTTTCCTAAATAAAGTTACAGACACTCGAAGTAAAGGAGAACACATGCATGAGCAAAGTTATGCGCAACCACTAAAAAACCGTTACTTAAAGATTTAGGGGGTGGATCACGTGCCAGCAGATGCCAATTGACACGATTCAAAGCAGGTCGAGTTGCTATGATCAGTACTTCGCAAAACATTCTGAAAGATTTCTTTAAACTTACCAAAATTTACTCCTTCCATCATCTTAAACAAGAAGTCATCAGTTGTTTTCTTGGCTTTTACTTTTTCTTGACTTTTTTCTACTTCTGGAGTTGGTGTCCTTGGTTTGGGTGTCGGGGCCTTAGGAGGTGTTTCTGGCTCGGGTGTTGGAGTCTTGACTGTTGTGAAAAATATTCATTGAATAAATCTGTATTTTATGCTCTATTCATAATATGATGTAGGAGGGGAAAAAGTCTCAGAAGATTTTATTGAAACTAAATTTTATTCTGAAGTTGGTTAATTCACTTGTCTGTGCGATAAAGAGATGTATGCACATTTGCCTATTTTCATCTAGGAAAGGATTTATATATTCATCCCAGAGTAGAGTAAAGATGATTATATGGTGAACCACAAATTTTTTATCTCACTCATACACACCCATTTAAAAAAAAGAAAATTTGCTGGAATTGGATATAAAACTTCTCACATTTTTCCGCGGATAATACTCAATTCCATGGTCATATTTTGTCTTCGGAATAAGGGGGTGCGTATTATGCATGGACATAAAAATTATTAACAGAATATTAATCTTTATTTTATGGTTAATAATTGCTGATATTAATATGGACTGATAATTTGCTCATATATTAATCTTAAGTGTCTCCATTTCATTTGACAAAGTCTGTTAGAATCAGATCATGCTTGTTTCAGTAGAAGCATACCCAACAAAAATTTAGCGTTAATGATGGTAGCAAGAGTGCCAAACAATTCATTAACTAAAGCGGCAACAGAAACAATGAAGTAAAAGTGACTGTCATTAACTGCTGTCATTGTCTCGTCTGGGTTGTTTCTCTCATTCCGCCGAATCGGCAAAACTTTAATTACCCGTATGTCACTAAAATTAGTAACTGGCGGTATCTCTCTGAAGTGCGGCGTCTGAAAACACACTCTGACGTCAGACCTTATCAGCTTTTAAAACAATCAAAGACAAATAACAGCATGGTACATCAATGTCAAGTAACATCACATCGTGATTGGCAGACACTTACACCAAAAATATATAAAACAACCTATTAATCCAAGATATAGTTAACAAAAGGCAGACAGAATGCTTAAAATTCTACCTGTGAAAAAGCACCCGCAACACAAAAAAAAAACGATGTGCGTATTATGCAAGGAGATTGAAAAATTCTTGTGACAGGTGTGCTAAATGACAGATGTATCAGACACAAGTTCAATTTACACCAAAGGCGATCATAGGTGAAAAGATGGATTGACCATTTTTCTACCAACTACGCCTATAAATCCGAAAGGTTTAACTGAATATCTACTGTCATCAGGACAGGTGACCTGACAATAGGCGAGTTGTCCAACCTACTGCTTAATACTAATGAATAATGATGTATGCATTTCCTGCCAAGGTTTTTATCAGTGATTATCAACTGGTTCCGCGGGACACTAGGGTTCGCTAGCACAGTCCAGGGGTTCCACAAGTTACCATTTAAAACCAAGAATCTATATTATTATATGTATACAATCAAATACCTCTTAAGTTTGCCAATATTGTGAAACTTGCACTTTACAAGACAGTACTAGGTTTGCTTTTATATATATTAATAATTTAATACAATTCAGTCAATTGAAATATTGCACAGGAGTTCCTCGAGCCTGTGGAATGTTTCACTGGAGTTCCGCTCCACCAAAAAAATTGTGAACCACTGATTCAGATCATAGTTTAATATTATATGTCAGTGGTTCCCAAACTTCTTGGTATTGCGACGCCCTCTGAAAAATATGATCAATGTGCGACTCCCCGTGAAAAACGTGTTGATACCTATTAATAAAAGACCGTTTTTGCATGAGTGGTGTCAATATTGAGTCGCTCGAATCAACGCGTAGACGAAGTGCTGAACTTCGCTCAACATTGCTCGATATGCCCATGTTCATGAATACCGTAGGTTAGAAATGAATGATATGCATGACTCGAGCTGAACCGACTCAGTGTTTGTGATGTCATAATTGGAACAGCATTAAATGACCCGTGACGTTAGTGAGGTCACATATAGATAAGATTGATTGTTACAATAATTAATATATTGTCATCTCCAGTTTTCAAGTGTGATTCAAACGAGGATAACAAGAATTTTGACTTTTCTACGCACCGCAGGTATAATTCCACAAAAGAAGAAAAGTTTTGCGACATCCTAGCAAAATTGAAACGACGCACTTGGGCGTCGCGACGCCCACTTTGAGAACCACGGTTATATGTATGTGAGTGTGTGATGGAAAATGTACCTGGTAACACTGGTGGCGGAGTTGCTACTTTAGGTTGACTCGGTGGACGTGATACAACCCTTTCTTTACTTGATATCACTGAAGGAGGTGGAACTCGTGGTTCTTCATCAGGTGTTTGAGTATCCTACAAATAGAATCAATGTCGCAACAATATAATCATACTAACACGACATGGAATTTCAAAATACGAGACTCAGGTATGTATTGTAAGCGAGACTGCAATACATCACCTGGAATAATGGAAAATTAAATTGTATGCATATGGTTCAAAATCGCAAATCAATTTCCTAATTTTTCATTGATAATTCATCGAAAATTTTGACCCTTTTTATATTCTTTGAATACCATAACAACCACCCATTCTTTTCGATCTTTATATACTTCACCTGTCTACGACTATTGCTTCTTTGTGCAGCATTCAATTGTCTTCTGAGTCTTTCAATCTCTTCATCTGCTTGCTGTTGCATTTCTATTCTCAATCTTCTCTCTCGTTCAACATCAGCTGCAAGCATGTCTCTTTCTTGTCTCAGTCTTTCTGCGTCATCCTCTAGTTCCAATTTCATTTGCTCCAACTGCCAGTCCTGCATTGCACCTCCATTTTCCAGATGATCCGACCTAGGGGAGTGGGATGGGTCTGGGATAATAGATAAATGTAGAGTTCAGAGGTCGATTATGATTACGAAGAGGTGGGAAAATCTCCAACTTTATTTTGGTATTATATAGAATGAAATTTTTATTTATCCTGGAGAATAGGAAAACTGATGAGATGACTTAATCATAGCGCCAACCACAGTCGCTTGTCTGGTTAAAAGCCTATGTTGGGGATGGAAATTATTAACCAATTGTTTGTTTCAGAAATAAGTATTTGATAGTGGAAAAAGGACTGCCCAGCATTACAGAACCCCCCACAATGAAGAGGAGAAGTCTTTTTGCACATAATTATCCCCCACATGATTCGAACCCGTGAACCCACTGCAAGTAATCAGGCATGACTCCCTGTGAACTAACCTTGAACAGTCATTGCACGTCTCACTGCAGTTTCATTTCTTTCATCCTGAATGTGAGAAACGAGTTTACTGCTATACCAATGTTTCCATGGAGGCAAGTTACTTTTCAATGCAGGGTGAAATACAGGAAAATGGTCCTAAAATTGAGAAGATTAAGGGAAATTCCACAAATTTATAGTTTAAATTACTATTTCTATAGTCTATGAGGGAAAAATTTGAGACGATTTTTAGGAATAATGAAAAATTGCTGCATTATAGATGGAGCGAAAATTGATATTATTTAAAGTATGTTTTCATTAATATAAAATTCCCGAAAATTAATAAATAAGGTAATATTTCAATATTAGCCTAGTGGTAAAAGTACTAGACTTAACTATGATGTCATCGCATGTTAAAATCTCGGATTTGAATCTCATGCCCACCACCCAGGGTGTATTATGTAGGGTAGGCAATGCCGACCTGGAAAGATTCCGGTCATTCCAATCATTTCCTTCCGGTCATTTTCCATGTTTTAGTTCTATCACGAGTTCGGGGACTGTTTGTATTAGCCAATTGATTATAACTCCTGCCCATGGGCTTCAGACCCTTTTCACAACTTGATGTAAAGTAGGTGGCAAAAATCAGTTACCTCCATATCGGTACACACACTTCAGGAGCGCCAAAGTCACTACTTGTGCAGAGCTTCATTCAGAGCAAAAAGGTATATAAATACATTGTATAAAAAAACCAACAAACCTCTTCTGCAATATTAAGATTTTGTTTGAGTTGTTTCTCAAAACCAAATTCTTTTAAAGCCAGAATTAATCTATCTTTTTGTAAATTTCTGCATCCTTGCATAATAATGGTCATTGCTTCTTTCTCTGATTGACATTTTGATAATTCTTTGCGGAGAAGAAGAAAAACAGATGCGCAAATAAATGGTGCTGGGTCATAGGCATCATAGTCGAAACCTAGAAACAAGAGCAAAAGTACAGTTTTTGTAATAATCTGTGCCATACAGTTATCAAATAGTAAGCAAAGAAATTCTCAAATAATAGGCCCACAGTATTTGGTGTTAACTTCAAATTGCGATTTTCGTTCTTATATCAGGCATAAGACAAGTTTACCCAAAGTAAGGTCACGATCTCTCAACTGAAAGTAATACTGATAGTTGATTACTGAGTTAGTTGCATGTGACCAATATTGCGGTAGGATTTTTAGGTTTAGCCTTGAATCAGATATATTAGTAAAAACAGCTGAAAATTATTTATAATTTTCACCAAAGTAAGTGCCATAAACTCTGCAACTAAATTGTAGGAAAGAATGAGATATTGAAAAAATACCTAGAATGACAAGATCCCATGTGTGCATCACTGTTTCCAAAGGAAAATATCCAACGAACAATGACCTAACAATGGAATGCAGTAATAGAGATAAAACAGCCTCAATTTTTGCATTAGTTACTTCCTTCTGTCCGATTTTATATTTTTCAATAGTGCGAGCCAAATTTGGATCATGCTTGCGAATCAATGAACCTGTTTTTGTTGACAAATCGTCCAAACTTCGTCCCTGTTGAAACAAAAATAATTAAAATTAAAAGTAAAAACATAAATTTTCAAAATTTTTGCTTTGTGTGAAGTGTACAAGGTTTTGTGAGAAGTGTTCCCAAATTAATCAAAATTGTCCGGTAAAAAAAAAGTAGTCATGTTGTCCGTGTCATTTATAAATTGTGCTCCCATACCACTACATTGCAAATTTTTGCACGTTAGTTATTTAAAAGCAAAAGTATGACTAAACAAAATCTGGAAATTTAGGTTTTGGTGGACAAAATCTCAAAGAGAGAATGTTCAATTCTTGAGATTAAATATCAGGGGTTATTCAGATGGAATAATATACTATTTTTCGAGATCAAAATACTTTTATATTTTACAATAGATAGGATTTTCCTATTTAATCCAGGATAGAGGAAAGCTGATTATATGGCAAACCACAGATAATTAGTGGTGCCATGACGAAAGTGTACCCATCGCTTATTATGGTAGGCAAGCGCTGTATTTTTTTGTATATAATTTTCTAGTTTAAGCCATTTTTAACAGGCAATATCGGACAAATAAAAAAGAGCTAATGTAGATGAGTTCAGAATAAATAACTTTGATTTTCAGTTTGTTCATCTAATCATTAGTCTAATGTCAAAATTCTGAAATATTCTCAAAACCAAGTAACAGCTGGATTATATCAAGAAATTTTTTTATTTTTTCAAAATATCAAATTCATTTCAGACACCCTTTCCAGACAAACCAATGATAAACTAGTAAAAAATTATTAAAAGTTGACAACAATCTCAAAATCTTCATCATAAATATAATATAAACAAGGGTACCTGTGTTGTCATCATATAATCAGGTCGTTTATTCATGAAAGCATCAAATTCTTCTATCAAAGTTGCAAATGATTCGGTTGTCAACTGCTGTGTTGCACCAGGTGATTGACGTGCTGACAATGTGCAAACAACAAAAGGAACTGCCAGAAGGTAATCTGTCTCAATCAACCCACCACGAGATTTGAGTTTGGTATGATGATAAGACAACAGGTGACGCATTACAGAGCATGCAGCTGAAAATATAAATGAAATATATATAAGAATTGCGAGATGTTTTAATTCTGCAACATTGAGTTGACAGAATTTTCAAATAGGGAAATATTGTATGTAAATTGAAAAATTTTTTTCCGTGTCAAAAATTCACATATAGCCTACATATAATTTTGTCTCTCGATTTCTAAAAAAATCCGTAAATATAACATAAATATTAAAGTTGAGACATAGAAATAAGTCTTCAATCTGAATACAACATGGCTTTCACTATTCCACATCTTTCAGTAGAGACACAGCAGATTTATTATTTTTCCACTAGAAATACAAAATCTTCGAAACAATAAAAATGCAACAAGTACTATTTTTTGCTATAGACAGAAATAGTCATTTTTTCGTTTTTATTTGAATTTTCGTATTAGTGATGACTTGGACCGTTTGAAACTACAGCAATCCCTTTTTTCTAACCTAAACAATATCAGAGAAAACATAGAGACTATATATGTCAAATATAGTGTTAAAAGCAGATTTATGTGTCCAGTGACTGTCTATTGGTCAATCTTCATTGCTTTAATATAACAGGGTTAATGATTATCATTTGGAACACCAACCGCATTACATCCTTGCTGACACAAATAAAGTAGATGGACCATGTCACGACCCGCCCAAAAGCAAACAGGTCCAGCGCGCGCTCGTGTAGAGGAAAGACGTGTGGGTTGAAATATTGCTATTCTTTTATATCGCATCGCTCTTTGGCCTTGCCTTGCCGCCAATTCAACGCCTGTTAAAATGTGTGAAGGTCGATGACTCAACATTGATAAGGAAATTATATATATACAGTAGTGAACGTTTGAATTCAGATCAGCGAGTGTGTATATTATTTTTGTCTGATATTAAAAGAAGGTTCGGTTCTCAATCGAATAATGAATTCACCGAAGTGTTATTATATGCATACAGTAATCTGAAACTAGGCTATTAACGATATACCGTAGATCGCACATGCGTAGTATCGTATGAGCGCAATTTGTAACTTCAACTCATTTACGACCTTTGCAAATGGTTTATATAAAATGTAGATACAAAATGTGCGAATAGCAATGAACGTCCACTTGAACAATGTCGCGGGCAATGAACGAGTGTAAAATTCGCAAATGTGATATTAGCATCGCGAGTGACGTTGGATAATGTCGATATGAGACCCTTTGTTAGGTAATAATAGGCACTCGTGCTTGACAGCGTTCGGTGGCAAGATATTCTGATTTATCGACAATTTAGTAACCTAGTTGAGACATGGATTATCTAAGAGCAATGCTTGGCGATATATATTTGCAATCTGGGGCAAGGGGAGAAAAGGCCACTTCTAAAATGTCAGAGTGCTTAGGAATTCGCTAACGGCAATAAAACAAGTCCGACAATCGAAACGAGATTCAGAGTGTCACTATATATATAGGCTCTATGCGTGGGTAGTTTCATGTCGAAGGTCTATAGTTTTATGTTTCCTCGACAACAAGTGTCGTTTTTTTTTTCACAATAAATGAATACACGTGAGAGTGTTGATGGAAATGAACGTCAAACGGTAATAGAAGTCATTCCCTGGGGGTATAGCATCTATATACCGGTAATACCGCAGACTATACATTATACAGTTCATTTAATTAAATCGTGATATGTATTGATAAACTAGCGAGGTTGATTCAATTAACATGATCAAACTAGATCAGGTATTGGTCAGCCACCAAAACTTGCATTTTATCCACCCGGCGTACTTGGCCACGGATCTACTGTGTTTCGTTTGAAAAGGAATCTGGTAAGCGACATAAATTGATAACCTTATTAATTTTTGTGGGCTAAGTATCGATAATGCTTATCATTTTATGTTCGTTTGCCTCATTCGAAGATTTTATATCACGGAAATGCCCGTTTGCAGCCAACAATGTTTTATAAATTCTCGCGCTATTCGATTACGTCATACACCGATCGATTTGAATGGCATAAATATTTTATTGCATTCTAATAGTCGAGCCGTCTGAATGAGGGCGCGGATTTGAAACTATTTCTTTACGTGTAAATGTGGCAGCAAGAGTAATGAGGACATTATGTACGGTATTAGTTTTGTTAAGTACAGATGGAAAATGCTGTGGTGGTTGTTTCTATGCAAACTTTCCTGCTACAAGCTAGAATACTAACATTGTAGCTGGGGATTACAACCGGAACTCTTACGCATCGACTTCCTGTCTCAGTGTAGACTGATTAACCCTTTCTGCACCGCTACATTCATGGCAACTGACAAGGATATTGAACGGGGAATAAACTGCATATCAAGGGTTGTGGATAGTTCAGAAGTCACCAGTGATTCATGGTGTCATATTACAGTATTACTACTTACAGAGTGAAGTATATTATGTTTCTGAGTTTATTCAGCAATGGTAATAATAGTGTAAACATTATTGAATGTTCTGGGATTATATTTTGTAGAACATATAATTACTCAGTAAAGAATTGCAATAAAAGTATAATGGATGCAAATAAGTACATGATTGCAACAGGTGGCTTGTCTGGAGTAAGTGTTTTTCTTCATTTGATTTCTGCTGGAAACTTTCTCCCAGATGAAGAAGTATGGCTGTTGGGGACAGTTTTTTGGTATATACATTATTGGCTCAATGTCACAGGTGAGTGCCATTTTATTGAATATATAACTGAATAAGGAATGAGTGACCCAGTTAGTTACCTATGTATATGGCTGTATTGTGTGTGTGGAAAAATACATATATGTACTTTTTTTAACTTTCGATGGCAATATTCACTGGCATGCTTGAGGGATGAGATGGATCACTGAAGCATAAATTTCAGATTATGCTGTCATAATACATTAAACTAGGAAGACATGAGAGTGTGATTCATAATGGCTCTTTGTTCATCCACCCTAGTAAATTAAAGATTCTATACATTTATACTTTCACTGTAATTCCCATTCTGTACTAATATATATTCTGACACACATAGGTATAAATCCATTTCCTTGGTATACCATATTGATAAAGGCCTATTTATTTCCAGCACGTATGTTACTTCTGAGTTCTGCTGTAATGACTGGATTGGAAATATACAAACCAAATATGATTGGAAGCTACACATCAATGAATAGTAGAATGCAGAAGAAATACGTTACAAAAATGCTGGCAGTGGCAAGTAAGTGAAGTATTAAGTATGTAAAAAGTTATCAAAAAATATATTTAAATTAAAACACAAAAAGCATTTGCCTCACTAGATCTGGAGTTAAAATAAGAAAAAGTAATAACTATATTGTATTCTGCATTTTTTTGTATCTTTCGTGCAAATTTTTTTATAAAAACACTTTTTAACAGTATGTGATCTTTTGATAGCTTCACAAAATTTACCTGACTGGTATTGTTGCAATAGTAATCGTATTATGAAGTAAGAATTGTAATTCAATGTCCATGAGACATTTTGTAAACTTTAGAATAGAATTTATCAATAATTGTCCAGCATCCAGATATAGCCTATCATTGAAGTCAGTGTTTATGTACAAGTATTAAGATGACCCCAACTTCATCTCAATAATGATGTCAAATCTCCCCCAAAATGGCTATTGCAATCAACTCTAGTTATTTGTAGTTTTAAAATTAAAACAGGTAGTTTCTATCGACTATTATACCGATGTACTAATGACAATCCTGCCTTAGGATGAAGTTATTATTGCACAGAATTAATCGCTTAAATATATTTTCAGCATTCTGCATCTTCATTCGTTTTGTGTTGCCTGGACCTGTGACAAGTTTTGGTCGCCTATACAAGCTATGTTTCATGACATCACTGTCTGCTGCTGTCATCACCGTAGTAGAAGCAAATGAAAGTGGAGGAGGCGGAGGAAGTCCATTTAAAAGAAGGTATGGACTAAAGAAAAAAGAGGCATCTGAAGATGATGCTGATGAGGATATCAAAAGAAGGTCAGAAGGGTCTAGAAAGCTTCCAAGTTTCAAAAGCCAATGAAATTACTGGCTTGATAATAATTCAGTCAATTTGCATGATTTCGCCATCCACATCTTAATCCTTACATCATACTTCACAATATGCTTAATTCATTTAATCTTCTTCAATCAAAAAATTGCACATCTTGATAATATTAACATTGAAAGCCCCTGACAAAATAGATTAGCTTAAAATATAGAAGTGTAATGTATAAAATCTGTCAGCATTAATCTGTTTTATGTGTTTATATGTCTTTCAGTGTTCCAATACTTTTTTACAGCTTGGTTTTGATCTTTATTCATTTTTTACTATTGCATTATTATATTGGATTTATTTTTGAACTAGCCTATAAACATTTTAATATAGTGTTGCAATTTCGTACTCCAAACATTAAAAATAGTCAACATGTGTTGCATTGTAAATATTACGCTATTCATTTTGTACTCACACTACATATTGCCTGAAGGTTTTATCTTACTGCCTGAAGCAGTCTTGCCATAACTGCCATCATTTTACACATTTGTAACTGAACGTACATATTCTGCATGGGAATAAAACTAAAACATACAAAAAAAGTTGAATTATATTAATATTATGAATCAGAGACACAGAGAGAAAAGTAGTAATTTAAGTAGCATAGCAAAGACAGATGATTAGAATTATCATATAACGTAGAATACCAAATTAATTAATGATGAAAGTATCCATCAATTGACTCCTTGAAAACTTATATTGCTTTAAAAAAAATTTACTGTGAAAAAAATAATCACATCAAACAGAAAAACATTGTCATAGTTATCTTTGTTTCAATTACGGTTGACAGGTTCACAGCAATATATAATGATAATTTAAGCAACTCGATCAATGGTTAATACATGTTGGTAATTACTTGGTAATTAAGTGAATATTTTATTTTTAACAATGATGTATACAAATCAATTTGTTAAAATCAATCCCTGGTGAAATAAATTTTCAAAAATCCCTATTTGAGTAAGGAAGCAATAATAGGAAGTCATGTGCATCGAAGCGCGTGTCTCAAGAAAGCAATTGTTCCACAAAGCTTGTCATGACTTAAAGATCACAAGAATGCTTAACCAGCACTTTCTTATTGAAACCTATTTGTTTTCAAATTGAATGATCTTGCATATAAGCATTGAGCGTCATGTTGGTTTTCAGTGAAAGCTAGCTTAAGGAATGAAACTTTATTTCCTGATCAATAAAGGTTTAGTCAAAATCGGACAATTCTGCAGATATGTAGGACTATTCAATACCTTTGCAAAAATTTTTATCTCAGGCAGTCAGCTTCTTTTATAATTTAACAAGAATGAATTTGATAGGAAGTCGTTAGATGCAAAAAGCCCATTAATATGAGTCAAGCCCATATGTTAGGCCAGCAATGATGCGCAATACATATCCTATAATGACGCTCAGCATGTCACATGGTTAGATTTCTTGAAGTTAAATATTAAGCAGGAGGTAGTATATTAGCTGCTAACAAGCTCATTTTTCAGGTATAGACAGTGTGATATTACTTTAGTATAGTTTAGAATGTAGAAATCGCAGTGCTTCACTTTCATATTGGCAATATGGGAAACTGCTGGAGGAAATTTGTAGACTGCTTGTGCTATTATTGCTATTCAGAGGTAAGTTGTGCTAATTTGTATTGAATACACAACCAAACTAGGTAAATTTCAAACAACTTTATACTTTTATAAAAGGATTCGGAGAAGAAACCTCTTTTGTCAAAAGATGAAGAATATGGATCAAGTGTGGATCCACCAGAAACACAAGCACTTATTTTACAATCTACAAACAACGAGAATGATACTACTGATAACACACCACTACTCAAAGAACATGATAAAAGATATACACAGTTTGGAGAGGAACGAAAAAATGTGACTGAAATGCAAAGGAGTAAATCTCATCGGGTTACATCACCATACAAAAGCCCTAAACATAAATTCAAAAGACTGGGAAGTGAGCCACAACTGATTTCAATAAGAAAAGAAGAAGAAGTCCAAGATGAAACGTACGCTGATTCATATCATATCAGAAAAGAACTGATTCATATAGAGTTTTTCATTATACGTTCAAAATATCTACAATTTTTCTTTCTGTATCTACTAATATAAATGAAATTTGCATGATGTCTTTTAATGATCACATTTCCTCATATCAATGCATTATTTTTAATATAATTATTTTATACAAATGACACATGTCCTAAAGTTTATACATTTTTCAGTGATTCAATATCAGGAGCAGCCCCCACAAAACGTCAATTGACTGCGATGGAATTACTTCAAACTGAGACCACTTACATACGAAACTTGAAAATAATTATTGAGGTTTGTTGGTCATTAACAAAACATGAAAGGGTTTTTCTGTATTAAACAACAAAACGTGGCTATTAGGATTATCATTGTTAAAACATGTTTGGTGTCATGTTTTTAATTTTTTAAGTTAACGAATTGTCATAGGGAAATACTGAATTCAGTACTACAAAAGAAATAATGTTTAATATAAAATGGAAAAGCAGTATGAATGGGAGAAAGCAAATAGCATTGTTACCATAAAAAAACAATAAGTTATACGATTTACTGGTCATGTTACACTTCATATCACATGATGTGGATATGTGCATATGATAAATACCTTATCCTTATTCTCTTATACTGCTTTACAAATGTATATTTGGATACAGTAGATAACAATCCTATTTTCTTTTATAGATCTACAAACAGCCATTGGAAAATGCAATAAAAACAGGAGAACCTATTTTGGCTGCAGAAGATATCAGAAATATATTTGGTGGGATATCTGATATACTGAAAGTTCATTCTGAGATGCATCAAGAACTGAGTGAAATGATATCAGAATGGCAAGAAGATTGCTGCATAGCTGGCATTATCACAAAATATCAAAGCCAACTCACAAAGGTACTGTATTTTAATTATTTCGGAATAATTTGGTAACATTAACAGCTGTGAACTGTGTATTCACATAAGTGATCTTGGCTTAGTAATACAAATTTATTTGTCATATCTGGTTTCTGACTTTGACCCACTAATACCAGGATTTATTAACTCGTACGTTATTAAAAAAATATTAGAGGCAACTCACTATATTTGAAAGAATTTGTAATACTGGTAACATCAATAAAGTCTATATGCACACACTACCTGTCCGACTTCGTAATTGAAATAATTATGATAGTTGATCAAGGATTTCTTATTTTCTGTATATATTTGGCATAGGATGGTGGAAATACAGACGGAACAAAAATTTCTGTCGCTTAAAATCATTGTAGTATCAATATTAACTTAATATACTATCTTTTACAAGTTCTACTCCATGATATAACGTAGAAGGGACAGTCAAGTTTATTTTTCCAGTAAAAAATTATCTAACACACACAACACTGGGGAAAGGCAATCGTAGGAATCGAAGAGAGTTATCAAACAAAGTTTTAATATCTAATTATAATCTATAAGGTCGAATATTTTAGTTTTCAGTTGATTAAAATTTCTGATAAAAATCTATATTTTAAATTGTATCTGGGACTAGTTGTTATTAAACTGTAAAAATGACCACAAACCTTAAAAAACACCATTTTTTTTCACAGGTATATCCACCATATGTAAATTACTTTGACATGGGAAAGGACATTATTTTGAAGCAGAAGAAATCAAATAATGCATTCTCAGAGTTTCTCATCAATTGTTTCAACAATCCAACATGCTTGAAACAACCGTTAGATGCTTTACTAATCCGACCGGTTCAACGTTTGCCTAGCATGTCATTGTTAATAAATGGTAGGTTTGAATATGGATGTGTGTCATCTTATGTTCAAATATTTCCTGTTTCATGACTAGATAGATGACTCTTTAAAATAAGTTATGTGAACATAACTACTAATATTCTGTAAATATTTATTGATATAATTTGAGCTTAATGCATGGAAACTTATTCATCATATGAAATCTTAATTATTGATTATTGAAATTGATTATTGTAAAACCTAATTACACTATAATTGCTTAATCCATATTACACTCAACATAATTTAGAATCATATATTTACATGTTATTCAAAATATATTCTATTTGAGAGTGCAATATGACAACTTCACAAAACTAATCTATTGGTACATAAGACTATTACTAAACCACGATATAATGTTGTTTGTTGTAGTTATATCCGATCCATACCTGTATTATTTTGTGTTCTGGAAATATATCTTCTACTTATTCATCTAATATTTATATTTTATGCCAATATCATTATATTTTTAAATATCATCAAATTTTTGTCTTGGAAAGCATGCCATTGCTTATCAACCTTTTTGAAATGGTACACTCTTTTAGCTTGCACTCGAAGCCTGATACACCCTACCCATTCCATATCGGCCATTAAAAACTAATAATAATAAGGTGATGGAAGATTGCTAAAAAAGTTATACATATATATAAAGATAAAATATTTCATTATTTGTTTAATCTGAACATTGCTCTTGAATTTCGTCCGCAAGCTTTGACAATATCCATGCTGTGGGAAATTGAGCGCAATTAAATACTGACATCTTATCTCACATGACCACAAAATGTTTATGGCCACGTTTTTGGAGTGGGATGGCTTTAAAATGACTGAGGTCTATTAGGAAAAGCATAAGATACAACTAAATCTTGTGAAACCCATGAATGGCAGAATTTAGCAAGACATTTATTCACACATATGCTTTATTTGTGACACATTGCCATTTTTCTAGAACACATGAAAAAGTTAAAATTTTATCAGCCTTATTTTATGTGGTGCATCCCAGTACGCCCTTTAAACTTTGATTCACCCTGAGGTGTACCATTTATACCCCTGGTTGAGAAACATTGGTCTTTGGTGTTATGCCATCAAAATAAGATTCCTGAACTACCCACTAGAACATAGGTTCTCAAAGTGCTCCGTACGGAGCCCCAGGGCTCCGCGAGAAAAACCCAGGGGCTCCGCGAGCTATTCAATTACTTTTCAAAATACTGACTAATTTTGTAACTGTTCAAAGACGCAATAACAGCTTTGATAAAATCTTACAATATAGCCTCGAAATATGGAAAAGTGGCGGAATTAGAAAATGGCATTATTCATAAGCAGGAGCGCAGCCAGGATTCTTAAGAGGGAGGTGGTTCAAAATTGGAATCGGAAATTTCCGCGCAACATTCTTCGCGATTAAAAAAAACGTATAACGAGATTTCTGTTGCGTAAAATATTCAATCCATGACCGATGCGAGCATTTAACGTGTCTCGTTGTATAATGTCTCACGTTTGATTCGAGATTACTATGAGGATCACTAAAATGGAAGAATACTATTCTAAAATAACATAAATATGTGATAAACCGCCAACAATAAATAAATTGGAGTCGTATTTTTGCGATCTTGGGATTTGTCAAACTTGATTTGTTCTTTCGCACTTGAGATTATTTTTAAGCAAGATATCGCCGTTCAAAAAATCACAATGTCTGGGCAAAATACGAACAATTGGAATTTATTTTATTGCATTCGGCTCGGTAGTTTCAGAATGAAAAAAGGTACATCGCGGATTGCGCGCACAATTGACTGTGTTTCGATTTCGCAGTTACTACGATGAAAACCTAACACCAAATTTTGTGATTTAGTGAGTCTGCTGAAATCAAACGTGTGATCTCCCATTTTAAGTTTCAGTTTTATTATTTTAGAATGCCGCTTTTCAATCAAGAAATTTGAGTTGCGGATTTACCTCTTTATTAAATATTATTCTTAGCATTTCGTCGCCGATGACTATAATATGGTAACATGTTTTTCACATTGAACTCATAATTCCCCACGAAAACAAAAAAGCAATTAAGGTCGTCATTGTGTAACAATTCATGTATATGCCGAGGGAAATTTTTGATTTAGCGAGAATAAACACAGGCGTAAAGATGTTTAAAGGTTCAAAAACACGCCATGCTGAGAAAAAAAATCGGCGATTGTAACAAAATGCAAGCGCGCACATTATTAGCAGCCTTTTAAGTCTACCAAAAATGTCAAGAGGAAAAAGATTCTACCCCTAATTTATTAGTATGTTTGTCAAGTGTCAAATTTACAGCTTTAGTATATACAATTTATGTTTAAAATGTAGATTTATTTATGACTTGTATTAACCCTATTAAAAAAGGTTTAGCATTTAAATTGAGTGAATAATAGTCAACCTTTTCAAGGGCTCCGCAACACCAAAAGTTTGAGAACCCCTGCACTAGAATATACCTAGATCGTTTCTATAGTTTGAATGAAAATTTACAGATATGCAGAGGCGGACACCAGAAGATTTGAAAGATCATACAGAACTTGGGAAGGCAAAAGATTCCCTGAAACAAGTACTTTCACATATCAATGAAGATAAAAGAAAAACAGAAGGAAAAATGAAAATATTTGATATCATTTATGAGGTAAGAATAAATGCAACAAAAAAGAAGCAAATTCTACGAAGGACAAATGACTCATATGGAAACAACCATGTCCACAAAATTCCAGACAATTGTTAAATAAATTGTAACGAATGTCATTGACTCATTTGTTTGTTACCTAGAAATGAAATTTTAAAAAAAATGTAGTATAAATTTGATGACCAAAATGTTCAGGAGATACACCAGCATAATATCATCGCAAGTTAGTTGATCACAACAGGTTTGGGCTCTGGCCCATTCATTATTCAGTTTCAGCCAGCATATAAGAAATCAGAGCTTGGCCCTACCAAAGACAGTATCATGTAAGCAATGTTGGAGAATTTAAACTATTATTTATTCTCCTCTCAAACCAAATCAGGTACTAGTGCTGCTACCATAATTGAGATTATTTTATTGAAGCGTTGATTTTTACGAATGTCTGTTCGCTTTATTATGCATGGAGTCGCACTTGTTAAATTGTAAAATTTAATAAATAATGAGTGAAGAAAAACAAAAAAAATGATTAATTATTTATGCGAAAAGCCGCATTTCGCAATAAATAATATTTGGGCATCACAGAAAACAATTGATCATTTGCACTTACAGTAGCTACAGCCGAAAGAGGCAAATCTTAAAGATTCTTTTCCAGTTAATGGGCTGTTGTTGTTCATTTTTCTTCTCATTTTGGGACGATAACCAAATATCAAAACTTATATTTTAGGTTGAATTTTGTCCGGTTGAAATCGTATCTTCAAATCGACTGTTCATATGCCGAGTCAATGTCACAACATCAAACGAAGGATTATATAGAACTGGAGACAGACTTGCTCTCTATTTACTTACTGATATGATTGAAGTATCCAAATTCAAACGATCACCTGGAAGGAATTCCCCTTTGCTAAAGGTAGAGAATTTGAACTGAGTAGTAGACAGATAAAGTTATCCACATATTCTGGGGAAAAGGTGACAAAACAATTGATGGTTGAAACAGACTTGTGACGCTCTCCATTCACTCTACACAGTGAAGTGCACAATCTTCTAATATATGCTTATTCCTAAAGGGTTCAAATCTGTGTTCGTTGCATAACGTACAACATTTTACTAACTGTGAAAGAAACTTTAAATAGTTGAATCAATAGTTGAATCAAAATTGTCTCATAGTTTTAAATGAGACAACATCAATCCATTCCTTTCAAATTGAAGTAGCTTCTTATGTAGCATGGATTGCTTGTACAAACCCCTTTTCAGGGTGAAAGGCATATACATATGTCATATTAAAAAAAACTCATTGAATTGAACTCAAATTCATTAATGAGAAGAGCTAGTAAGAGTTATGTTCTGAATATAAGAAATGTGTATCAAAACATAACTGTAAATAACTCAAAATTCCATGCTGTTTTAAGTTTCAATGTGATATCACCTTTCAGAGTGATTGAATATATATATGTTGATAATGTTTAGAAGATCATCATAAATTACTTTTATCTACAGCACATCAGAACGATCCCTTTGACGAGTATTAAATCAGTAATAGATATTAACGATACAGAAGAATCACAAAATATGTTCGCAATCCATCTTGAGAATGAACATTCTGATAAAATTAATGGGAATGGAAACGCCGCACACTCCAATCCAAACATGGATAAGATGTGTGTCTGTCAAGTACTTGATGATCGTACTTACAAAGAAGCATTTTTGAAGAAACTGAATGAACAAATTCTAAAAACTTCAGAAAAAGACAATAATGAGCCGTTGATGAAGAAAATGGATCCAAGTGAAGTACAGGTAAATAATAAGATATCATAATACAGATTTAAGAATTTTCTGGCATCGCTATTAAGACATGCCTATGGTAAGAATAATTTACTATGGTAGTGCAGCAAAGCGAAATGAAATATGTAGAACATTTTACCATGAGCACTCATGATCTAAATTTTTTACTCCAAGCGAGAAAGAAAGCCAATACGGTGGCTTGATCATATGGCGAACCAGGGCCGAACGTTCGGTTACCAGTCCATGTCGGGAATTGGATTACCATAGTTATTTTCAGATGCATGGACGTGGTGGTGAAGAAAGCCTTAATCGTCCAGCAGTTACGTGAACATCTAACATCTAATTATGTGATATAACATCTAATTTGTGAATATGAGTTTGTCAAAATGAGAAAATGAAGTTGTATGTAGCATTTTTGAGGGAGTTTAAAACGCACACTCACTCAGAATCATCTTTGAGCAAGCGACCACTAAAGTGTCAAGAGCAAGCGACCACTAAAGTGTCAAGAGCTACCGAAGCAATATGGATCGAACAAATTGATAATGAAGCCTCTTGTGCAGTATACAAATATAACTGACATCTACTACAATTAATATTCTGTTTGCCCTTTCTATTTTCAGCCTTTACTGAGAAAAGGAAGCCATAGAGTATTCAGAAGAACAAGGAGCAAGACAAAAAGAGATTAAAATCAAACACAGACTATTGTCGTGGTGACAAAAAACCAACGCACCATCTTCCTTGAGCAAATATTTTATGCAAAAAAAAAGAAAACATTTCGGAAGCTTAATAAATCCTCCCTTTTTGAATATTGTGTCACTGACAAGCAAAATACGAAAAAAGGCTGATCGAAGAAAATCATCAAACTGGTATTTACGTCTCAAAAATACAGTAGATTCACTGTGGCATCCATATTATTCTGAGAAATTGAGAGAACTGAGAACTTCGTAATGAAGCCACCCCGCACTCATAACATGTATATTTAAATGTACCAGTATATTGTGTACATGTCGACCTGTCTTGTTACAAAGTTTCGCCAATGCTTATTTTTCGATACTGTATTTTTGGTTGAAAGCAGGGTTTGAAATGAACCCTAACAAAGTTTCAGTAACAGAAGAAGGCTTACTAAGTCTCAAGTTGAATTATATGTAAAATGATGCATTACAACTACTAGAGCTATTAAAGCAGAATTTCATGAAAAAAATTCTTTTCATTTGTTGAGTGGCTTGCACAAATTTTTCTGCACAATTGTGCTAGCCTGTAAAGATACTGTATATTTTATATCTTTTGTCTAATTACTTGTTATTTTTGATTACTATTAATATTTGTTATCTTTTTTGATTGTTGTTCAAATCAGTCATGAAAAATAAACATTGTGATGAGGTGCATTTTGACCTAAAAATAGAACTGTTGAAAATAATCTTTGAACTTGTTAATGAATTGTTTGTGCCTGTCCTGTGAAGTTTACCCACACGCCAGGGATGTCCAAAACTAATCGAATTCATTCGAAATACATTTTGTTTAATATAGTAAATCTTTGAATTTAGGAAAAAAATTTAGAATAATTTGAGCCGTCACACGAGCGGATCTAAATGTACGATATCTCAATTGATAACAACCAACACAAAAAATAATGACCTTTTTAATTTACGCCGCTTTGGATATGATGATATTTTCCCACATGAACTTGCTCCTAATTTAGAATGTAATTGATATTCCGTTTTTGGAATTGTGAAATATTCGGTATTGGCCATCCCTGCCCACACCAACTTTAATTTCAAGATTGTATGTTAAATCAGTGGTTGCCAATTCTGTAAAAAGTCGTTGCATACTCATTGAACTATAATATTATGTTAATATTTGTTTGAAAAAAGTGATAATAACCTCGGCAATGCGTGAGAATTTTGCCATATTTTTCAAATTTTACAATTACTCTTACTCCAAGATCCACAGAACTATTGAAATATCATGAACATGAGTTTTATTACAAAATTAATTCAATTCGATAATATCATCCCTAGCTCACTTTTTACTCGACTGAACGCTGCCAGTGTGTAACCAGGTCTATTTAAAGCTTAAAACTTACTATTCAAGCTGAACCCCCAAACTCATACTGGGAACTGCTGGTCGAAGGTTAAAACACTGTAATATTATTTGAACATATGAAGAATAAGTATAATATTTGCCATACTTTTTTTGCTATCTTTACTTGAACTTCCAATAGGGTTCCACTTGAAGCAAACCCATGTTGATGCATTTTAATTGTTATTTCACGACTCACGAGCATTACTAATCTTTTTCGTATTCTTATCTTTTATGGATATCTGCCGCATCAAAGTTGATAACTGGTATTTATGGGGATTCAAGATTTGTAGATTAGCATGCATTTGATATAAAGCAAATAGTATATCAAATGTGAGAGTTGAATTATAATAACGTATTTCTTAGTGCTTCAAATTTTAGGTATATCTTATTACACACTCTGTTCTTTTTGTGTTAATTAAATTGTGATAATACAAAATTTACATATTCAAGCGCTTAATATGGATGGACTGAGCAAAATTTTTATCATGAAGTTAACATATTTTAGACCATGGTTAGTAAATCTGGTCTATTGGGAACAACAGTGTAAAAGAATTATCAGAATAACACTGAAGAAAATTTTTGGGCTCAATAAGATTTCAATTATGAAATTGCAACAGGCAGCTCAGAAAAATGAAGGAATAGCATTAGATAGTACATCAAAGGTGTATAGTATTTCATATCTCTGCATAAGAGATACACATGATATTCTCAATTGTTCTTATGCACAATGACATCAGAACATATCAACACAATCTTACATTATACCTATGTATTATGTAACACTCAGGATTCAAATCTTAGATATTCAATGCATTTACATAATAAATGTAAAAGAATTTCATTCGTGATTCAGTCTTACATGCTTGCTTTAATAAATAAAGCACTAAAATCTTCACTAACAAACAATTTTGCAACAAGGCCACTTATAACTGGCAATAGTTGGTAAATAGCCTTGAAGTCTGCAATCTTAAGCAAAATTGCAGATCTCAGCGATTGTTTATTATTAGTTGGGATTAGGAACTGAATTCTATGAGAATGTTTTCATGAGATTAAACCACAATTGGTACCACTTTAGTATGCGATTGAGATCATGTTAAGCAAGTGAGGTTGCATACCAAAGTAGCACCTTATCAGCTTATGACTTAAAAATCTTCTTTGTATTTCAACATTTACACATCAACTGCAAATCATTCAAAATCTATCCTACTACTCAATATTGTCAATAACACTGAATGAATGAAGATAAAGTCTCGATCACAAGTTATACAAAATATCAATTCTCTAAACTTTTTTGTTATCTTGTTGAAGGTTGATTGCTCCACCTTATGCTTCTGAAGCCAAATTTTTAAGCAGGTTTGTTTAAATAATCATTATTATTGTGAAATGTCACATGGTGCCAAGTCCTCTTGTCACTTTGAGCGCTTTTGAAATGATAGTCATACGATATGTTTTTCGTACTGCAACATTGTGTATAACATTCAGTATCAGACCTGAAATAATCCTAACAATATCCTTCATAAAATACAAAATTCCAGAGGATATTACTTACCTTTTCTGTTAGGAATTTGCTTCAATGTTGGATCGGATTCAAGCAGCATTTGGCATTTCTCTGATATCTCAAAGTCTTGTTTCGAAACAAGCTTCTTTGGATCTCTTGCAACTAATTTCGAATACTCTTCCCTGGCTGAAAAACACAAAGATTATGTTTTGATCTGAAAATTGACTGATCAGGTTTAGCGAATTACACTAAACCACATCTCCCAACCGGTAAAAATTTCTATCCTAGGGAGAAATTTTGCTTTGTACTCACTGTAGTATTATTACTAATATTCTTTAATATTACTATAATACTTATCTATGCACATATTACAAACTACTTAAACTGTACAAAAGCGGTACTTGCGCATAATACTAGCTCAGTGAAGGAGGAATAAAGGGTTCTAAAATAGGGGAAGGGGGGAATTTAATGAAGAAAGTTGGGAAATACTGAACTGAATCTTTAAAAAGTGCTGAAAGGTTTTTGTCCACAGCTAAAAATATGCAATATAATAAACAGATGAAGACAGAAACTAGCATGAATAACACTCGAAGGAAATCAAATAATATCCATTCAAGTATTATAATTCACAGGCAATGCAAAATGACTAACAGTAATTCATTTTCTAATCCTCAATGAATACGGAAACACTGCAATTATGTGCATCTTCTACACAGTAGTTTAGATATAAAAATATTTGGGATAGTATTTTAATATTTATCCCATGAGAAAGGAGAATCAATAAGATAGCAGGATCCAATTTTGAGTTCATGTGAGTACAGTGTAGGAGTTACTGGTCTATACAGATATTTAATAACGATTCACATATGGGAATAAAGTCTCATTCATATATCAAAAAAAATTCTCACAAAATTGTAGATGGCAGTCATGATGCAATGCGAGACTACCTCGCATATTTCTGTGCATGCAAATTTGTGTAATTATATACAAAAAAACAGATCAAGAATAAATACATGAGCGTAGATGGTGATTATTTTATGTTGCTGACCTTCTGGACTTTTAAGGAAGTTTTTCCACATGACATATCGGAGTTCAAGAGGAATATTTGCATTCAGGCATTGACGCAGTGAAGTCCTGCTGTCCGGCCATTTTTGGAGTAAAGATGTCTGTAAATATTACAGTGGTTTACTTTGATGATCTTACGTCCACAGAAACAATTTAATCAAAGGATATTTATAGACCAGAAAATATAGTCTATGTCAGACTTCCTGCATATCTCCTTGCATATCCATGGTGAGAGCCTTATCGGAGCAAAGGCATATCGACGCATGAAATCCAAATTGGGCTAAGTCCATTTTTCTAGTTTTGAGAAAAACGCAAAAAACGTTGTTTTTTTTTTATTTCTTTTTTTTATTTCTCTAATACCTTACATCGATGATGTCTAGTTTTTATGGTCCACCAAAGTTACAATGAAGGCCATATTCAGATGGTATAAAAAAAATTCCGGCCATTTTTGGAGTAAAGATGTCTGTAAATATTACAGTGGTTTACTTTGATGATCTTACGTCCACAGAAACAATTTAATCAAAGGATATTTATAGACCAGAAAATATAGTCTATGTCAGACTTCCTGCATATCTCCTTGCATATCCATGGTGAGAGCCTTATCGGAGCAAAGGCATATCGACGCATGAAATCCAAATTGGGCTAAGTCCATTTTTCTAGTTTTGAGAAAAACGCAAAAAACGTTTTTTTTTTTTATTTCTTTTTTTTATTTCTCTAATACCTTACATCGATGATGTCTAGTTTTTATGGTCGACCAAAGTTACAATGAAGGCCATATTCAGATGGTATAAAAAAAATTGTGCTCCGCCCCAATTTTTTTTGGCGGGTTTTTTTTTGGACTTAACCCTTTTTGGCTGTCAATTTTCTGGACCAGAAACAATTTTATTGGACCTAGGGCCCCTTTGTTATGTTATTATAGAGGCTGGTATGGACTTAGCGCTTTGTATTATATTTTTTGAGAAGAGCTATGTCCAAAAAACGGACTTAGCCCCAACTTACAATGCAGTTATCCAGAGCTAAGTCCACTATAGTAGACACAGCTCTGTTTAGTTCTCAAATGCCCTAAAAAAAGCAGGGTTATGTCCATAGCTGTCTTGAGATCTAGAGCACCTAGAGATAAGGCAAATAGACCCAAATGTAGAGCTAAGTCCAGGAAAATCAGCAATTGAAAAATGTCATTTTTTGGAAAAGTGTACTTAGCACTGTTTGGTTTTGAGGTGTCGATATGTTCAAACTCACCAAGGTTGGAATGGTATTAACTCTTCCAATTTCTAATTATGATAATCATAGTCAAGATTTCTGACAGAAATTCAACCAAAAAGTTGACTAAGCTTTCGAAAGACAATTTAAAAATGCTAGCATACACCAAAGTCTTTAGGTCTACTGCCTGCATGCTACCGTCAATATGCACATTTAGCGCAGTAGTACATAAAGTTTGCCAACCACTGGTCTAAATGTTGTTCTGGGGGCTTTAGAGCTCGAGTCAAGAGTTAGAATTCCCATTTTCATGAGCCAAGTAGGAGTCATTTTCTTTAATCAGGAATCTATAAATTTTGCTATACTTCACAGTCCTGCAGAGAACAACCATCAACATTCTTTCAACTAGAATATATTGTTAGAACTTACAACAGCCGTATGGCATTCATCTTGCAATATTTCCATCTTTGTTTTATTCTGTTGTTTGGTTGTTGATAGTTTGTTTGCTTCTTGGCTAATATTCTCATCTAATGATTCTGATGCAGCTTGAAGAAGTTGAAAATATGCTTCACCTGAAAGAGGTATAATTAAAATTTTATTTTATTATTATTCAATAATATTCTAAAATTGTGGAATTTAGCACCCAGCTTTAAAGATAGATTTGAAATAACAAATAAATTCAATGCAAGATAAAAATTAATAGAGATAGATTGTTGACCAGCCTTGAAAAAATGATAGTCACTTTCAACTGAAAACTCAACTTAAAACTTAGTAATACTATATAATTGTATCTTCCTGATGGGATTAGTTTGAAAGAATGATAGCTGACAACCAGTGTTGCAAATAAATGATTGAATACCTTTTTTCAGTGCTTGAAATGCCCTTTGTAGTAGGAGATTCCTTTCTGGTGGTGCTAAATCATTAAATGAACTGACTCCCATTTCATGCATTTGATGATGAACAAGATCATATAACTTCATCATATAGGTTTGCCATTCCTGTCAATGAAGAGTGTAAACAAGATTGAGAAAATATAGTTTCCAAGATATTGTAAAAGTGGTTTGAGTAGTTTAATCACAATTGAAGCGAGAAAACTTGATTCGGCGCATACTGACCTGAGTTTGTTTCAAAGACTTTTTAGATTTCTGGACCCAGTTTGGAAGTCCCGAATATTTGTCCATAGTGCAAATCTCAATCTGATCCAAATTATTCAATAAATCCTGAACTGAGCCATATAAACTGTTGAAAAGAAAAACAAGATAGGATGAACCTTAACGATGCAACATAAAGTAGATCAGTTCACAAGTGAATCTCAGAGAAAGAGTTTAATAAAATGAGAAGGCCGCAACAAGCGAAAAGAAATGGCATTAAATCGCTTTCACTATGTTGGCATAACAACCTCAAAATCTAACATATCTCTAAAATAGTAGTTCTGTATATATAGGTAGTTGTGACTTCTAGAGCTTATGTTTTTCAACTTTTTAAGAATGTCTTGGTTGAAACAATGAATATAACATAAAAAATGTTGCAAATATGAACATGCTTTCCAACAAATCCACTTGAAGAAGTTTTAATTTCTTAAATGAAAATGTAGTTAATTGCTCGCTCCAACTGTTTTAAGTATTCTATGTTGAACCTTTTTTCCAACAGAACTTGATCTAGTATAACTTCGTATTTGAATGAGTTGTGACATTGTCTATCAAAGTTGAAACAAATAAACCAATTGTAAAAAAGTTTGAAAGAAATTTAAACAGTAAATACTGATTCATAAAACATTTCTGATCTTTATCACAGATGTTGTAAATATATCATAAAAAATACTAGCTTGCCACATTCTGTTTAAATACATTGAAAAATTGAAATGAAGTTAAAATGCAAACAGAAAATTGAAACTTTGTAAACATTCATGATTTACAGACATTACAGGATTCTTAAGTCTTACAATCCAAAGCAAATAAAACTTGATGGGCAAGAACAAATATTGATTATAGACATTTAATGTTCCAAAAACTTGTAATTTTTTTTTTATATGAAGAAGTTAATAATTAAATAGAAGAAAATAGCATGATCTATCTATATAAATATTTTCTTGAAATTAGAAAATATATTTTTCGGCGTTCGATTGATAAAACAAGATACAACAAACATTACCAACAAATAATAAGCAAAGCTAGCTGGATATATCAATAAATCAACTGAATATATACATATATATATAACAGCATATAAAGAAAAGCAAGCCCGGGCAAAACATTTTAATCGGACTGATCAAAACAAAATTTCATCATTGAAAACAAAGAACAAGAATCCAATGAAATGTAAATACTACTATTTTTGCAAAGATCAGAATCGTTTCATTTTCGCTATTGCCTACCTTCTTCATTCCACATTGTGTGGGGACCTGGTTTAAAGCAAGGGGTTCAATCCACGATACCATCAATTTTGGTGTACTACCTACTACACAAATACTGAGATGAAGGAACAGTAGATAGTTACAATCATATGCCTATTGTTCACATAAAAAAATCTACAATTATGATGTCAAATATGACTAGCTTCAACACTATTATTTATTGTCTATTTTGGACTTTTAATATGTCAAGCTATGTATTAGCTACATCAACTTCATTCATAAGAGCGCTGGACAAGCAAAAAAAGAAATGAATTTGACGGGAACAAGTAAAGGCAACCCTGCCATTATACCTCATCTATTGTATACCTAACCTCATTACAGTTATTACGGCACAGTAAATGAATACATGATATTGTGTACAAATTTTACTCATATTGCACCATTGGATACATAAACAACATGCAAGGCAGTGAGGGGATTTCCATTAAACAATAACACAGAATACGTCACCAAGGCGACCGACTGCTTAAAGCAGACAGAACCACGTGACAAATACGTAGCAATTGCCAAAACTTTTGTCTTTTTTTTCAAAAGTATAATCGAAACTAGTCGTTGAGATGATACAGTAATATGAATGAAATAGCGGATGGACGTTTTTATAGTAGCCTTTATATAACATATTTATTTTACCCTTTAATGTTAGTAGTATCACCCTCTTGTTTTTAAATTAATTTTTTCGTTAATATTCCATTAAGTTACCGATATTCATTTATGTACCCCTGGTTTCAAATGATCCGTGATAAACGGTAGCTATGCGTCACTGGTTTTCGGCGCCAAATGGTGCAAATCCGTCTGTATCAGCGATACAAAGCAAGGAGCTGTCGACTCGACCACTGTGAAGCTAGCAGCCCTTTCAGCCAGAATATTTTTACACATTGAATATAGGTTCTACGCGCAAATAGTGTTCACTTATAGTTACATATAAAATTGAAAAAGTTGATCAAAATATAATTTTAGCACGGAAATACATGAAAAATCTTCAAACTGACTGAATACAATGAATTTGACAAAAAATATAGTGTTTAAGAAAAGACCAACTGAGTGAAAAATGAATTTTCAGGTATTCCGCAAATACGAAGTTTCGAAAAATTATCGTATTTAAAACGTCGATTTCTCGAAAACCGCCTATAAAGGCAGCACCACGACACATTCGGAGAAAAGCAGATTCCTTATAGATTTGATTTTGATATGTCAGAACAGTAGCAGCACGTTTTGACTTGGCCATATATAATACCAAAAATAGCGTATAATTTTCAATTTTATTAACTATGTAGATATAACATATTTAAAAACGGTTTGGTATTTCAACTGATTTTACTGGATAATTCATCAAATTCCTTTTTGTCTTGGTCATACAAGACAGTCAAAACTGTACGTTCATTAAACTTGGAATAAGTGGGCAAATCTTAGACTAACAAAAAATGATTTTACGCCCTCTTGTGGATTTTTTCCAAAATTTTTAAAAAAATATCGTTTTTGAAAAGGCGATTTCTCAAAAACCGCCAATAAAGGCAGCACTACGACACATTCGGAGAAAAGCAGATACCTTATAGATTGGATTTCATTATGTCAGAACAGTAGCAGCACGTTTTGACTTGGCCATATATAATACCAAACATAGCGCGTATTCAAAATTTTATAAACAATGCAGACGTAACATATTTAAAAACCGTGTGGTATTTCAACTAAATTTACTAGACATCTAATGGAACATCTTTGTCTCTTGGACATACATATATACCGTACGTTTATTAAACTTGGAATAAGTTGCGAAAAGTATAAAATACCAAAAAACATCTTACGTCCCCTTGTGGATTATTTCAAAATTTCAAAAAATTATCGTATTTGAAATAGCGATTTCTCGAAAACCGCCAATAAAGGCAGCACTACAACACCTTCGGAGAAAAGCAGATACCTTATAGATGCGATTTTTATATGTCAAAACAATAGCAGCACGTTTTGACTTGGCCATATATAATGCCAAAAATAGCGTATAATTTTCAATTTTATTAATTATGTAGATATAACATATTTAAAAACGGTTAGATATTTCAACTGAATTTACTTGATAATGCATCAAATACCTTTTTTTTTTTGGTCATACATCAAAACTGTACGTTCATTAAACTTGGAATAAGTGGGCAAATCTTAAAATAACAAAAAATGATTTTACGCCCTCTTTTGGATTTTTTCCGGAATTTTTAAAAAAATATCGCTTTTGAAAGGGCGATTTCTCAAAAACCGCCAATAAAGGCAGCACTACGACACATTCAGAGAAAAGAAGGTACCTTATAGATTTAATTTCATTATGTTAGAACAGTAGCAGCACGTTTTGACTTGGCCATATATAATACCAAACATAGCGTGTATTCAAAATTTTATAAACAATGCAGATGTAACATATTTGAAAACCGTTTGATATTTCAAGTAAATTTACTAGATTATTTATCGAACATTTTTTTCTCTTGGACATACATATATACTGTACGATCATTAAACTTGGAATAAGTTGCGGAAAGTATAAAATACCAAAAACCAAGTTACGTCCTCTTGTGGATTATCTTCAAAATTTCAAAAAATTATCGTATTTGCAATAGCGATTTCTCGAAAACCGCCAATAAAGGCAGCACTACGACACATTCGGAGAAAAGCAGATACCTTATAGATTCGATTTTCATATGTCAGAACAGTGGCAGCACGTTTTGACTCGGCCATATATAATACCAAACATAGCGTATAATTTTCAATTTTATTAACTATGTAGATGTAACATATTTAAAAACGGTTTGGTATTTCAACTAAATTTACTGGATAATTTATCAAATATTTTTTTCTCTTGGTCATACATCAAAACCGTACGTTCATTAAACTTGAAATAAGTGGGCGAATCTCAAAATAACAAAAAATGATTTGACGCCCTATTGTGTTGTGGATTTTTTTCGGAATTTCAAAAAATTATCGTTTTTGAAAAGGCGATTTCTCAAAAACCGCCAATAAAGGCAGCACTACGACACATTCGGAGAAAAGCAGATACCTTATAGATTCGATTTGTATATGTCAGAACAATAGCAGCACGTTTTGACTTGGCCATATATAATACCAAACATAGCGTATATTCTCAATTATTTAAATAGCGTAGATGTTCACATATTTCAAAAAGGTTTGGTATTTCAAATAAATTTACCTAATAACGTAATATTCTGTTTTCTTACTTTTTCAAACACGGATACTGTGTGTTAATTAAACTTGGAATAAGTTGCGAATTGTATAAAACAATACGAAAAAATGTCTTACGACCTATATATAATTTTTTTAATTTCCCAAACATGTCGTTTTTGGAGTGACGTTTTCTCGAAAACCGCAAATAAAGGCAGCAATATGACACTTTCGGCGTATAGCAGATACATTAAAGATTCGATTTCACTAAACCAGAACAGTAGCAGCACGTTTTGGCTAGGCCATATATAATACTGAACATAGCGTGTGTTCTAAATTCAACAAACAATGTGGGCGAAACAAATTTGAAAGGGTTTGTATTTCAATAAATTTTGCTAGAGAATTGATAAAATATCATTTTCTCTTTCTCACACATTAATACTGTACGCCTGTTAAACTTGGAATACGTTGCGGGAAGTTTAAAATACGAAAAAAAACATTTTACGCCCTCTCGGGGATTCTTTTCAAAATTTCGAAAATTATCGTTTTTTGAGTGGCGATTTCTCGGAAACCGCCAATAAAGGCAGCATCATGACACATTCGGAGAAAAGCAGATACCTTATAGATTTGACTTTACTATGCCAGAACAGTAGCAGCATGTTTTGACTTGGCCATATATAATACCAAATATAGCGTGTTTTCAAAATTTTACTTCGACATGGACGTAACAAATTTAAAAAGAGTTCGCATTTCAACTAAATTCGCTGGATAGTTGATCAAATATATTTTCTTTTTGTCACAAATGAATACTGTACGTCTACCAAACTAAGAATTAATTCGGAAAGTATGAAATACTAAAAAAAAAACATTTTACGACCTCTAGCGGATTCTTTTCGGAATTTCAAAAAATTATCGTTTTTGGAAGGGCGATTTCTCGAAAACCGCCAATAAATGCAGCACTACGACACATTCGGAGAAACGCAGATTCCTTATATATTCGATTTTAATATGTTAGAACAGTAGCAGCACGTTTTGACTTGGTCATATATAATACCAAATATAGCGCATATTCTCAATTATTTGAATAGCGTAGATGTTCACATATTTTGAAAAGGTTTGGTATTTTAAATAAATTCACCTAAAACGTAATATTCCGTTTTCTTACTTTTTCAAACACAGATATTGTGTATTAATTAGACTTGGAATAATTTGCAACTTGTATAAAACGTTAAAAAATGTCTTACTTCCTATATATCATTTTTTTAATTTCCCAAACATGCCGTTTTTGAAGTGACGATTTCTTGAAAACCGCCATTAAGGCAGCATTACGACACTTTTGGAGAATAGCAGATACATTGAAGATTCAATGTGATTGAACCAGAACAGTAGCAGCACGTTTTGATTTGGCCATATATAATACCAATGTTATGAAAGATAACAGGATAGCGATTCTAGGCTTTATTAAACATAAGAACACCACTACCACAACTTAACACTGTAAACAATAGAATAACACACAAGCAGTAAAGTATGCAGTACGACAGAGCTAGGGCAATCAAGAGTACATTGTTTATCTAATAATTACACTGTAAAGAAATACTAACACCACAACCAAACATAGCGTTTATTCGAAATTTCAAAAAACAATGCAGACATAACATATTTAAAAAGAGTTTTGTATTTCAACTAAATTTACTAGATAATTTATCAAACTTTTTTAGTCTTGCTAACACATCAATACTGTACGTACATTAAACTTGGAATAAGTTGCGGAAATTATAAAATACTAAAAAATCATTTCAAGCCCTCTTGTGGATTATTTTCAAAATTTCATAAAATTGTCGTTTTTGGAGTGGCGATTTCTCGAAAACTGCCAATAAAGGCAGGACCACGATACATTCGGAGCAAATCAGATAACTTATAGCTTCGATTTCACTATACCAGAACAGTAACAGCACACTTTGACTTGGTCATGTATAATACTAAACATAACGTTTTTTCAAAATTTTATATCAAAATGGACGTAACGAACTTAAAAAGCTTGTATTTCAACTTAATTTGCTGGATAATGGATCAAATATATTTCTCACTTTGTTCAGTATTGATGTGTGACTGGGGGGAAATTATATTTGAACAAGTATTCAGTAAATTTGTTTAAAATACGACAGCTTTATTAATTTTTAACGTCAGCATTATTTAAAAGTTGAAGAATACACGCTATGTTTGGTATTATATATGACCAAGTCAAAACGTGCTGCTACTGTTGTGACATAATAAAACCGAATCTATCAGGTATCTGCTTTTCTCCGAATGTGTCGTAGTGCTGCCTTTATTGGCGGTTTTTGAGAAATCGCCCTTCCAAAAGCGATATTTTTTTAAAAATTCCGGAAAAAATCCACAAGAGGGCGTAAAATAATTTTTTGTTATTTTAAGATTTGCCTACTTAATTCCAAGTTTAATGAACGTACAGTTTTGATTTATGACCAAGAGAAAAAAGTATTTGATGAATTATCCAGTAAATTCAGTTGAAATACCAAACCGTTTTTAAATATGTTATATCTACATAGTTAATAAAATTCAAAGTTATACGCTATTTTTGGTATTATATATGGCCAAGTCAAAACGTGCTGCTACTGTTCTGACATATTAAAATCGAATCTATAAGGAATCTGCTTTTCTCCGAATGTGTCGTATTGCTGCCTTTATTGGCGGTTTTCGAGTAATCACTATTTCAAATACGATAATTTTTTGAAATTTTGAAAATAATCCACAAGAGGATGTGAAATGTTTTTTGGTATTTTATACTTTTCGCAACTTATTCCAAGTTTAATGAACGTATAGTATATATGTATGTACAAGAGAAAAAGATGTCTCATAAGATATCTAGTAAATTTAGTTGAAATACAAAACCCCTTCTAAATATGTTACGTCTGCATTGTTTATAACATTTTTAATACACGCTATGTTTGGTATTGTATATGGCTAAGTCAAAACGTGCTGCTATTGTTCTGACATAATGAAATCAAATCTATAAGGAATCTGCATTTCTTCAAATGTGTCGTAGTGCTGCCCATATTGGCGGTTTTCGAGAAATCGCTATTTCAAATACGATAATTTTTTGAAATTTTGAAGATAATCGACAAGAGGACGTAACTTGGTTTTTGGTATTTTATACTTTCCGCAACTTAATCCAAGTTTAATGATCGTACAGTATATATGTATGTCCACGAGAAAAAAATGTTTGATAAATTATCTAGTGAATTTAGTTGAAATACCAAACGGTTTTTAAATATGTTACGTCTGCATTGTTTATAAAATTTTGAATACATGCTATGTTTGGTATTATATATGGCCAAGTCAAAACGTGCTGCTACTGTTCTGACATAATTAAATTTAATTTATCAGGTATCTGCTTTTCTCCGAATGTGTCGTAGTGCTGCCTTTATTGGTGGTTTTTGAGAAATCGCCCTTTCAAAAGCGATATTTTTTTAAAAATTCCAGAAAAAATCCACAAGAGGGCGTAAAATAATTTTTTGGTATTTTAAGATTTGCCTACTTAATTCCAAGTTTAATGAATGTACAGTTTTGATTTATGACCAAGAGAAAAAAGTATTTGATGAATTATCCAGTAAATTCAGTTGAAATTTTTTGTTATTTCAAGATTTGCCTGCTTAATTCCAAGTTTAATGAATGTACAGTTTTGATGTATGATCAAGAGAGAAAAGTATTTGATGAATTATCCAGTAAATTTAGTTGAAATACCAAACCGTTTTTAAATATGTTACATCTACATAGTTAATAAAATTGAAAATTATATGCTATGTTTGGTATCATATATGGCCAAGTTAAAACGTGCTGCTACTGTTCCGACATATTAAAATCGAATTCATAAGGAATCTGCTTTTCTCCGAATGTGTCGTTGTGCTGCCTTTATTGGCGGTTTTCGAGAAATCCCTATTTCAAATACGATAATTTTTTGAAATTTCGAAAATAATTCACAAGAGGACGTAAAATGTTTTTTGGTATTTTATACTTTTCGCAACTTAATTCAAGTTTAATGAACGTACAGTATATATGTATATCCAAGAGAAAAAAATGTTTGATAAATTATCTAGTAAATTCAGTTGAAATAGCGAACGGTTTTTAAATATGTCACGTCTGCATTGTTTATAAAATTTTGAATACACGCTATGTTTGGTATTATATATGGCCAAGACAAAACGTGCTGCTACTGTTCTGACATAATGAAACTTTTTCTATCAGGTATCTTCTTTTCTCCGAATGTGTCGTAGTGCTGCCTTTATTGGCGGTTTTTGAGAAATTGCCCTTTCAAAAACGATATTTTTTTAAAAATTCCTGAAAAAATCCACAAGAGGGCGTAAAATAATTTTTTGGTATTTTAAGATTTGCCTACTTAATTCCAAGTTTAATGAACGTACAGTTTTGATGTATGACCAGAAGAAAAAAGTATTTGATGAATTATCCAGTAAATTCAGTTGAAATACCAAACCGTTTTTAAATATGTTACATCTACATAGTTAATAAAATTGAAAATTATATGCTATGTTTGGTATCATATATGGCCAAGTTAAAACGTGCTGCTACTGTTCCGACATATTAAAATCGAATCTATAAGGAATCTGCTTTTCTCCGAATGTGTCGTAGTGCTGCCTTTATTGGCGGTTTTTGAGAAATCGCCCTTTCAAAAACGATATTTTTTTAAAATTTCGAAAAAAATCCACAAGAGGGCGTAAAATCATTTTTTGTTATATTAAGATTTGCCACTTATTCCAAGTTTAATGAACGTACAGTTTTGATGTATGACCAAGAGAGAAAAGTATTTGATGAATTATCCAGTAAATTTAGTTGAAATACCAAACCGTTTTTAAATATGTTACATCTACCTAGTTAATAAAATTGAAAATTATATGCTATGTTTGGTATCATATATGGCCAAGTTAAAACGTGCTGCTACTGTTATGACATAATGAAACCGGATCTATAAGGTATCTGCTTTTCTCCGAATGTGTCGTAGTGCTGCCTTTATTGGCGGTATTTGAGAAATCGCCATTTCAAAAACGATATTTTTTTTAAAATTCCGAAAAAAATCCACAAGAGGGCGTAAAATGATTTTTGGTTATTTCATACTTTCCGCAACTCATTCCAAGTTTACTAAACGTACAGTATATATGTATGTCCAAGAGAAAAAGATGTTTGATAAATTATCTAGTAAATTAGTTGAAATACCAAAACCGTTTTTAAATATGTCACGTCTGCATTGTTTATAAAATTTTTAATACACGCTATGTTTGGTATTATATAGGGCTAAGTAAAAACGTTCTGCTATTGTTCTGACATAATGAAATCAAATCTATAAGGTATCTGCTTTTCTCCGAATGTGTCGTAGTGCTGCCTTTATTGGCGGTTTTTGAAAAATCGACCTTTCAAAAACGATAATTTCGTAAAATTTATTAAAGAATCCACAAGAGTGCGTAATTTTTTTTTTGGTATTTTAGACTTTCCTCAACTTATTCTAAGTTTAATGAAGTGCATTATTGTTGTGTGACAAAGAGGAAAATATCTTCTTTGATTAACTATCCAGTAAATTTAGTTGAAATACAAAATCAGTTTTAAATTTGTTGTATATACATTGTGCATAAAATTGAAAATTATACGCTATGTTTAGTATTATATATGATGTATATATATTATATATAAGTCAAAACGTGCTGAGACTGTTTTGACATAATGAAATCGAATCTTTGAGGTTTCTACTTTTTACCAATGGTGTTGCAATGCTGCCTTTATTGGAGGTTTTCATGAAACGACCGTCCTAAACGACGAAAATTCAGTCATTTTTAAACAACTCTCAAAAAAGTATAAAAAATTTTTATGCACTGTAGCAGTCGCTTTAGCTTGTTTACTATGTATTAACAATACGAGGAGTGTAGTTAATGATTGTTTTGCTTTATTTGCTAATGTGAAACTAATCAAAATGTACACTTTCTTTTAAAAATCATTGGGAACATTTAATTTTACGCGTGGGTATTTTCTGCGATTCTGTCAGTCACAATTTCGTGTTTTGCTGCTAGCTTCACAGAGGTGTCGACTCGGCACCTAGTTACATTTTTTTTAAAACTGTCATAAATCGTCTGTATGAGTCTGTTTGTATTTTACCGTATCCGTGCAGTCGTCAACTGAAGCCACAGCCGCAAAGGGGTCAAGTTATTTGAACTCATTCTTATGGCCTATACCGGTACGGTACGGTACCAGTACCGGGTATTTTAGTATTTTACTCATCTATAATTTTGTAATTTGCTAGCGGTCGGACAGACTGCAGTAAATTGAATGTTCTCAAAAAACAGTGACATGCTCACATGTAACAAAATCCGAAAAAGATGATGATGTGGAATGTTGTTCAGTTCATTTTCTTACTGCCTCGCAGCCTCATGGTTATGTCAGTATGTTTTATATATACTGCAGTATGAGATTGATTCAAGCAAGGTCTTAAACCTTTGCTTATAGCTGTATTGTGGAAATATTCATGTAGCATATTACTGACAGAAGAAATATGACCTCAAAAGTACTTTATATCTGTATATACATATATAACTCTCTGAATTTCTGTTTATTGTTTAAACAGAAATTCCAGTCTGCCAATAGAATAACCAGTTTTCTGTTTTTATTTTGTTAGTGTATATCTAAGGGATTAGGGCACCATAAGGTTATATTAATCCACCTCCTCACCTCTGTCTCTTATATATTGATCCAAGTTTTTAAATTTATAGACAAGCAGCTAACATATATGTTACAATTTTTAAAAAAGATTTTAAATTTGGGAATCAGTTGAATATTTTGAAATTTTATATGATTTCCACACGAAACTGCAAAGCCCAAGTGTTATTATATTTTATAGGCGATGAACTTAAATATTACAACCAATACAGCAATATGCAGATATGGATGATTAATTACCAATTTACCATATTTCTGTTATCGTGTAATTCTTCTTTTTCATTTAAGGTATACAAATATTACTGTATTATGGTAAAACAGAATCATACTGTATAAAAGATAATAAAAAATGTCTTCAGTCATACCTAAGATTGAGCAACTGTCAAGCAGAGTTATTCGTGTTCTGGGATGCAACCCGTCTCCAATGACTTTACAGGGCACAAACACTTACATTGTTGGCACTGGCAGAAAACGTATTTTAATCGATACTGGTAATCCAAGTGTGCCTGATTACATTTCAAATTTGAATTCTACTTTGAAAAAATTTAACGTTAGTATTGAAGGAATTGTTCTTACTCATTATCATATGGATCATATCGGTGGTATAGCTGACATTGAAAGGGATGTTATTTCTAGGGGACAAAATGTTCCACTATATAAATTCAGGCGAGGTATTGATGGCTGGGAAAGTGAAACACCTCCAAACACTGATTCTAAATATTCTTTTGTTGAAAATGCTTCAACAATAAATACAGAAGGTGCAACATTGAAAGTATACCATACACCTGGCCATACAGATGACCATATTATACTTCAGTTAATTGAGGAAAATAATGTGTTTTCTGGTGATTGTGTGCTCGGTGAAGGCACTGCTGTGTTTGAAGATCTTTATGACTACATGAAGTCTCTCGATTTCATTTTGAGTCTTAAACCTGGAAAAATATACCCCGGTCATGGCCCAGTTCTTGAGAATCCAATAGAATATGTTCAATATTACATCAGCCACAGGAATGAAAGGGAAAGCCAAATAATATCAGCTCTGAAAGATTCGTCTGAGCCCCTCAAAAGCCTTGACATTGTGAAAATTATATACGATATACCAGAACATCTTTATGGCCCAGCTGATATCAATGTTAACAATCATCTGAGGAAACTGCTGAAAGAAAACAAAGTTGGCCTAAAGGAGGGTGACTTCTGGCACAACTGTCAAGCTTCTCTTTAACTATTATTGAATTCTTTTAATTTGATTCAAATATCAGTGTTATGCTTCTCATTTTTTATTCCTTTTAATTGCGATTTGAAATTTTATGGGGGCTGAGGTCACAAAAGCTAATTAAAGTGTATGATACTCATCTGAAATCCTAGTTAGGTTTAGTCCAAATTAATTGAGCTGATTTTATGAGAACTGTAAATTTATTCTTAACTTCACTCATTTTACTATATTTCTATGATATTTTTGTAGAGCACAACGTGTGCCTTGACATATACCATACTTAATGGAGAAATAAATAATTGGCAATTACGGTAGTATTCAATTTACATCATCATAAATAAAAATTAAAGGATCGTTTTAGGGTATTTTATTTTATCATGATAGTGCAATTTTTGCAATGTTCGTAAATTGCAAGCGATTAGATATATAAACAGCCCAATGTTGTCTTACATTATGCAATGATATCTTGCTCATGTGTGGTAATTTTCTTTAATTACGTTACAAAGCTTTTTGTGTTAATAATTGTTATTTATATTTAAATTAGTTAACTTTAATAATACTTGCTAATGTATGCTATATAAGAAAGTAAAAAATAATAATCAATAGAATACCACCATGCCTGCAAAAGGTAAAGGCCGTGGTAAAGCTGCAACAAACTACCAACTTGCAACGACAATAGCAAAAGGAACTGAATTAAAAGATTTGAGAAAAAAGTTATGGTATCTTGGAGAACCAATTGGTTCTGGAGGATTTGGACTCATTTACTTAGGTAATAATATCATTATAATCTATACGTGGAAAAAAATGGCGAAATGTTAGTATTGATGAAAAAAATAATATTATTTGTCGAACGTTATTTGTAATGATGTAATTTTCTCTTTTTTATATGCTCTGTTTGAAAATTGAGAAATTCAAGTAAAAAAGCTTAATTAATTTCGCATTTGTTACAGTGTAAAGGCCCTGCTGTTTAAAAATAATTAAGTTTTTTAAACAACAGAAAAGTTTCTTGTAATATTTGTTTCTATGTGATTTGAATTAAATTAGGAAGTTTCCATCTGTTGATTGCAATAAGTCCAAATATTTAATTTAAGCAATTGAATTTTTTTTTTTTTCATATTGACATACAAATACTAACTGATTATTTTTTTACAGCTGATGAAGACAAAAAATGTATTGGAAAAGATAAAGCAAACTATGTTATAAAAGTGGTATGTGGAATTTTACCTTACTTAAATTTGATTCATTAACCGAAGTATAGCCAAAAGCGTTCCTTCTGGTATTATGATAACCTAATTTGCTATGGAATGAACCATGCTCATGGAAAGTGCTCAAACTCATCTAATAATATCTTGACATCCATTCACAGCTTTCGAGTCATAGTTTTGAAGGAAAAGTATGCTTTGTGGGATTCAGTGAATTCAAGTTTTATTTAATGCAAAATTATAAATATAAATTATTGGCGGTTTTTATTGGTACCTAATCATTATCAACTGTTCAATAATTAATATTCCTTACTGTTTTGAGGGTTAGTTTTATATGTGTGTATCTCAATTTTCCAGGAACCTCACGGCAATGGTCCTTTGTATTGTGAGGTAGCATTTTATCAGAGAGCTGCTAGGCAAGAGTCCTGTAAGTATCCGTAATACATGGTGTCCATAAAGTCTTTTCACAATTTATCTTGCAATAAATTTTAAATTGCAGAGAGACTTTGGTGGTATGTGTTGTTTTAAAATGGTTAGTTTGTATTTTAAATTTGTGTTAATTGTGTGTTTTGAAAAAAATTATATTTTTGTGAATATCATCTCTGTCTGCTTCTGATCCTATTTACGTTAAACAGTGACTACTTGGAAAAACAAAGCACGCCTATCGTACGTAGGAATCCCAGCTTATGTTGCCCACGGATTACATGCAAATGGAAAGGAGAATCTAAGGTTTATGGTAATGCCAAGATATGGATGTGATCTACACAATCTTTGGCTTAAAGCTGATAAAAAGTTTTCTCGTGTTACTGTCTGTCAACTTGCTATCGAACTGGTTCGTAAGATGAATTCTTTCTGATGCATTGAGTGAATAGTTCGTACTTTTCTTTTACTAGTTTTGCATGCCTGATATAACAGCTATTGAATATTTTAGGTGGCACAGTTTTTTTTAATGGAAATTAACCTTCAAAAGCATGATTTTCAACTGAACGTGTTGAAATTACTAAATTGCCTAAGCCCATACGGCTTCAATGTTATAAATAAGATAAATTAATTTAAATATTACACAAAGAAATTAATTAGCGAGGAATTACCAATGTGGTTCACCGTATGAAAAACATTTGACATTTGAATACTGAACTGGATGCTGTAGCCTTTTTTGATGATCTTTAACAATAGAATTATTTATTTGTCTTTATATCTCACAGCTGAATTCGTTGCAATATATGCATGAAAATGAATATGTACACGCAGATGTGAAAGGTGCAAATATTTTAGTTGGTCATAAAGATCAAAATCAGGTTGGGATGATTTAAATATTTTTTCTCTATATAGGCAATCTCCCATAACCAGCTAATTTATTAATAATTATTGTACCATTTCAGATATATTTAGTAGATTTTGGTCTTGCTTTTCGATATATTGTTGATGGAAAACACAAACCATATTTGGAAGATCCTAGAAAAGCTCATGATGGAACCATTGAATATACAAGCAGAGACGCACACAGAGGTGTTGGTAAGATAAGCAGTAGCAATATCTTTATGTTTATATATATATATATATAATTCTTTTACTCATGGAAGTGTTGTAATGATTTCAAATTTTATAAGCATTCTTCAATATCAGGGATGGCGAACCACTGACCCGCCGCGTTTTATTTGTGACCCGCCAAGCGAAGGCACGAAAAAAATAAAAAAAATGCTAATATATCAGTGATAAAAATTGATAAAACCGGCCTTAAATTAATCTAACAATTACTAAACTATTATAATGTACCGTCAGTTGGACAGTCAGGGAGGGCTGCGATCGCGCATTTTCAAAATGTTGATTTTCGGGCCGGTATGGTAATTTTCAGACCCCTAATCTTGTACGCATGTATGCACCGCTGTGTACCGTTATTCAGCTATTGGACCTGACATCGTTTATGAAATAACAATACAACTGAGCGAGGTTGTTCTTTTCTCGCAACGCCTGTCTTTTTTGGAAGTGCATCTGCAGACTCTTTTAAGGGGTTATACGGGAAATAGATGCTACTTTGCATTTTATTAGTTTCTCGCCTACAATGCCGTTGTGGAAACAAAAACTTTCAGACTTGAAATAAAAATCTAGAAATTTGTTATAACAATGGGGCAGTGTGAAAGTCGCTTAATGTGGTTGGAAGCTGATCGAAAATTATAACACTATCAAAGCGGAATTACCTCCAAACACTAGAACCGTAAAATAATTTAACGCATCATCCTAAACGTTCTTGGTAATTCATATGCATTTTTTTCGTACTCCAATATCATAAAACCGAGTGCCATAAAAAGTCCCTGATAGAAGTACTGCATAAGTAAAGCCCAAAACTACACCAACACCAGCTTATAAGATTCGTTTCAGAAGTTTCTTATAGATACAAACGTGAATTAAATATCTGTGACCCACTCTCTTCTGTTCCGCGATAAAATGATAATTTTTGACCCATTCATTGAAAAAGGTTCGCCATACGTGTTCTATATTGAACGAGGACTGTGGAAACAGATTTGATATTGGAGTCAACAGCTGATACATATTTTCAAACTCTTTCAAGTCAAGAGAGTTAAAATTTGGAGTTCTCCGGTGTCAAAGTCGAATGTGAATGTAAATGCTTGTAAATGCCAAGGTTTTTGAACTGAAAAATTAAATTTGATTGAGTCAAAATTCAGTAGAACGTGCAGTCTGGAGAAAGAGTAAAATTTTCTTGTCATTCCGGTGCCAGGGTCTAGTGTAAATTTTTCCATAAGACAAACTGTGTTATCGTTTTAGCTCCCTCAAGACGATCAGATCTAGAAATACTTGGATATGTTTTACTGCACTGGGTGTCTGGAAAATTACCTTGGGAAGATAATCTGAACAACAAGAACTACGTGAGAGATGAAAAAATCAAACATATGGATAATGTAAAACAATTTGTTTTATCAGTCTATCCAGAGGCAAAATCAAAGAAAGGTATGTCCAATTGCAATGACTTTTTAATAAAGTTTCTTAAATTATTAACATTTGTTCACCTGATTTTAGAATTTAGTGAAAGAAAATTATAACTTTACCATTACAGCTTTTGTGATGTACCTTCATTTAAAAAATTTGAAAACAGCAATCAGATATTGTCGGCATGTATCAGCCTTAGTGAGGCAAATAACAAATGATCTATTATGCCAATTGCCAAATAGATTTTAAACTGACTCATACCCATTGGGCATATTTAATGAGTTTGGATTTGAAATGCATGGAAGTAAGATTAGATTGGTCTTCCATTTTCACAGTTTTTATAACTTGAATGAAGGCCTTTTTGGTCACACTCTGAAACTTTAATTGCTCAAAAATCAAAATGATAAACTTCTGAAACTATTCTGAATATTCCTTCCCAGACTCAAGAATTTAGAACAATGGTTCCCAAACCGCGGCATGTGGGCCAATTGTGGCTCCCATAACGATTTAATATGGCCCTCCAAACTTGAGTGACATAGTTTCACACTTTGTTTTCTAGATACCACCAATTGTTACATCATTATCGCAGTTTGAGCATGTGCATATTCGTAACGATTCAGTTCAGTATCTCAATTATAGGTACAGGCACTGGTATCGACCACTCTCCTCTCCTGGCCCGCAAATATCCTTCAGCTTCTAATACTGGCCCATGACTTCGAATAATAAATCTAATTATCAATTCATTTTGGACATGATGATTGTATAATAAAATATATTTGATTTCATTGCACATCTTTCTTTTCACACTATCTAGTAATTATATATATATATATATATATATGACCATTTCTAACAGCTGTTGAAATCGAAAAGTTTCTTCAATATGTTTCAAAGATGGATTATGAAGATGAACCAGATTATTCTGTGTTGAAAAAATACTTTCAAGATGCCCTTAAATCAATGGGAGTTTCACTCAAAGCAAAAATAACTTTTGAAAATGATGAGACGCCAACACCAGCCAAAAAGAAGCGAACAACACAATCACGAGCAAAGGTAAGATAATTAATAAAAAACATGGTGTTGATTTCTTCCTTTTTGAAATGCATGGACTTACAACAAAAAATATTAATCTCAAATCTGTTAGAGCTCACAGTCGGAAGAAGATGATTTACCCAACAAACGTCCTAAACGTACGCCAGCCAAGAGAAAACAATACACTACGAGCTCATCAGAGGACGATGCAATGAACATAAATTCATCCACTCCTAGCGAACCATCTCCGAAAGTTGCACCGAAGTCCAGAAAGCTGACTAAAACTTCTACCTCAGCAAGGAAACGTCCACAAAAAGTAACTAAAAAGACTGTTTTATCAAGTTCTTCTGATGAAAATGTTGTTATTAATGATGACTCTTCTGCAGATGAAGAAGCAGACAGCGCAGAAGTTTCCACCCCCAAAAAAGACAATTAAGAGGAATTCAAAAAAACAATTAAAAAAACAGACACAAAAAATAATCAAACATGACGAAAATAATTTTACAACTACGCCTTCAGAGAACTCGGATGAAGATGTAAAGGTTGTTGATTCAACTTTTGACACTACCAGCCCAAGACGTAGTCCAAGAATAAGCAGAAACCCTAAAAATTCATTGATCAAATCTCCAGCGAAAATTGCAAGCAGTTCTAAGAGGTGTGTAAAACTAAAATGAAAATTAATTTAATGCATTACGTAGTGATTGTTTTTACATTAAAAATCTATCGTTTTTCAGTTCCTCAATCGCTAAGTCTCGCTATTCCATGGCACCATTGCATACCAAGAGTGTATTGGGTAAAGAAGATACATTGAGTGGGAAGTACTCTGGGAAACATCCAGGTTTGTATATTTTTCTTTAATTGGAAAAGATATAACTTTTTGAGGAACAGTAGTATTTATGTGGTCAAGATTAGGCATGATTTTATTCTGCTCCCACCGTGGTTATTTTTATCAATTTTATGTATGAAGTAAATTGTCTTATTTTATAGTCCTAAATATAGTATGGGTATTCATTCTGTCACAGTAGACTATCAATATCGCAATGTTCACAACTTCGCCTGACCACAAGATAGCTAACACGAAGGCGGCATCGCCACAAGGAGGGCAATTTTAAAGATGATGACGTCATCCCACACAAAAAAAACCGAAAAATGTCCACTTCGTGTCTAATAAGATTGTTTTGGAAGGACAGCTCGCAAATCATTCGTTTCACCCTTAATTCATTATTAAACATGAAGTGTACATATAAATTGTTTTGTCATTATGTTCTTCATTTTCTTGTTATAAAAAAATCGCTCTCTGTACTGGAACAAACAATTGTATCTCAAATTCTGAGTGGTTAAAGATTGGATTTATTTCATTAATTTCTGTGGGCTCAATGGAATTCGTTTTTTGTTTGCTATGGCATCAAAGTTAAAAATTGCGCACCTTGTGGCGGTAGTATACTGTGACAGATTGAATACCCGTACTAGTTCATTTTGGTCTTCGTGTCCATATTTTGAGCATCACTCCACTTTTTTGCAAATTCTAATGCACATATTCTACGGTCCAAATCAGGGTGAAGGTTGCAAGACTATCCATTTTGCACGATTCGAAATTGAGGCAATAAATAAATACCAGTAAACCTTTCATTTCCAGTAATCATACGGAGAAGAAAAGTGAAGCGACCCAAGAACGATGCCACAACCCAAACAACTCCTAATCTGAAAAAGACTTTGGCCAGAGTTTAATTTAACGATGATGAAATCAATCATTCTTCTACACTGCCTGTCAATGTTTTTGTTATTGCTTTCCGTGTTAGGTTGATTTTAAATGTAAATAAATGAAATATAAGAAATATTGTCCGTTTTTACTTATTTTTCAGAATTTGTTGAAATTCGATATATTTATCCAGCTGTTGCCACTACAGGCAAAGATTCACACTCACCTTGTGTTATGCTGTTATTGATGTGCATGAGACTTCCGCCATCATTTATTTTATTCTTGTGATGACTAAATTGACCATCTCAATGTTGCGCTGTAAAACTATATCAGCCATTTTGGTAGATGGTAAACACTAAACATCAATAAATGCATCACTTGTTTAGATTTGCACAGCCATTTGCTGGTTTTAAGCAGTCTGGATAGAGAAATATATTGTATATTTGTTTCAAAACTGCAATAAGAAAAAACTTTTTCGGTATGCGTGACCGTGATAACTAAAAATTACATATTGTGGCCAAATAGTCTAAATTTATTACAGTTTGAGAGAACCGTAATCGTCAAGTACAAATGATTATAGAGGTTTTACGACTATGCTCGTATTTCAAGAACATCAGAGTGGACAGAATAGGCTGCGCATATAAAATTTACAATGTTCTTCCAATAGTAGTATTTCGATGCTTTTTATCAAAAAAATTGATCAGTCTCTTGATGCTTTCGCATACAAGTAGACTCTCAATATAGTTCTGGTACTATTACTGCCTGAATCAGAATCGAGTGAAAGTAATTGTTTATCTTTGGCATTGAACTGTGCTCAATAGTAATTGCATAAAATGGGAAGTGTCACAGCATAAAATTTGGCAGCAGCCCTTTTGCTTAAGTGAAACCACGCAACAATTTCAAAACTAGCCTATGGCCAATAAGCGCAGGGTCTCACTTTGAGTTAATTTCCGATTTCATTTTAGTAATTTTTCAGCCAGACAGTACATGCCGTTTAGTATTTGAGCATACCCTTCGGGTCACAAGGTTTTACGGAATTTATTTTTCTTCAAATTGAGTCACTTAAAAGGAAGGTTGCGAGCCACCGCACACCGAAGTACATAGTATACTTCATAAACAATATCAAAATGAATAAATGATAGTCAGTAATAAATCTTAAAACTTTTATCATTATTTTGAAAATCAAACCTCATTGAGTTCTTATTAAAGGGTATGATCGAGTCAGAGACCTCAACCATCTCGAGGGTGTGGCACATGGTGCTAAGTATTTTGCACCTCTAATTATTTTGCGTGGGTTTGCCAGTTCGAATCCCATGGGGGACAATCATGTGCAAGTGGATTGCTGGGCTCCTTACCACGGGGTGGTTCTCGTAACCAGTTGTCCCAGCTTTCTCCATCAAGCATTTGAAACAAAACTAGCTAACTAATCCCATACCCCCAATTGCCAATAAATATATCAAATACCAAAACACAAAATGATACCCTTAATAGTTTATTGCTATTGGTAAGAAACAACAATCAATAATAGTAACCAAACTTCATTTACTGCATTAGTTCAGTAAGGTGGAAAAATAAAAGTACAGATTGGGTTAAGTATTGACAAAAATAGAATTGCATGAACAATATTAAGGCACCAACATGAATGATTTAGATTAGGAAGAAAAGATAAGTACGTATTGCACATTGAACTCACTAATGCTTCTTATATTTTGCTGTTTAAACCATGATGAAAACAAAAAATACATTAATCTTATTGGCATGATAATTGCAACTAGATTGTTAATAATATATATTGATCAGCATTTATGACTTGGGTACATGTTATACTGCAGATATTTGATCATAAGAAGACATTGGCAACAAAAAGGTCTATTTCAAAAAGCTTTATAACATTGGTCATAGTGAAATAAATGAAAAGTAAAATAGTAAAATGAAAGACTGAAATGAGAACAACCAGTTGCTCTGATGCATATTGGACGTTGGACAGACTATTCGAAAAGTTATTGCTATTGCTAACAGTATAGAAGAAGAATAATACATTTAATAATTTTTAATTGCTCTGGTGGTATGTCACAAACAATCAGTTCAATTATGAGTATAAAACATTACTGGATGTTTGGGATGTCAGTACTTTGTGGATTTTCGTACAATCACACAATGCAGATGAAATGGCCGGAACCAAAATCCTCTGATTGAAAACAAAATGAGTAGTTTTAGTGGCCTTTCATAACATCTGAAATCCAAACCATTGTAAAATGTGCCGCTCCACAGAACTGGTTGACGAAAAACTTAAACAGTGTTGCTTAGAAAAGTCATATATACTATGTAATGAAATAATAATAACACTATAAAAAGAATTATAAACAACTTTCACATTACAATTATGGATAGAGTCTAGGGATGTCCAAATCATGCATAGTACAACTAAATTTGGCCTACTTGGCAATTAAAATAAATCATGTGATAAAATATAGTTCTACTTCAAATATGACAAGTTTTAAAGAGAAAACAGCAAATTTGGGTAACTGAAAACAATTTTATTCAAAAGGCATACCTTTCACATTTCCTATTTCCATAATTGGGCTATAACATGCAGCAGGAAAGAGAAAAACATGATTATTAATAAAATAGCTGACACAGGACAAAACCAGTTACCAAACATAGCATATTACATAATTGAATTGCATACTGCAGAGTAATACTAGAGATACGGAACAATAGCAAACATATTGCGCATAATGAGCAACGATTTGCTGAACCAACACATATCATTCAATGATTCTATGATATGTGACCGTGAAGTCCATGTAGAAAATATTCAATATAGTAATTCAAAATTAAAGGTTTTCTCACTTTATCACAAAAAATAAAAAATCTCATGATGATTATGTAGTAATACTATGTTAAAAAATCATTGCAGATGAATTATTTAGGCACTTATAAACAGCAAAGTATTTAGGCACTTATGAACAGTAAATTAAAAATAAATCATGAACTTCATGTATATGGTCAAATTCAAGGCGACTCAATGAATCGATCATTTCCTGTGGAAAACTTGGAAATGAGGTCATGCTTGAACATTTCCAGGTAAGGCATCTCCGGATACAATTCCTTGAGTGTCAGATGAACCAAAACCTTGATCGAATCGGCCGTATGATCTCAAAGCTATATTTCGTCGATAATGCAGAAAACCAAGCCCAGCGAGAAGAAACCATTCAAAGACACAAAACCATGATGCGGACTAAGAACAACGAATGGAAAATGGAGAATTTTATTTCAGACTGCAAATCAAGAATCTTAATAACAGCATAAATAATGATCTAAAAATACAGGGTGTTTATAAAGACCTGTATCAAATTAGGTAGAGTGCGCTTGTAATGTGCCTAGTGTATAAACGTGTATTGAATGAAACTTACATAAACACTAATTAAGATATATTGAGAACTGAATACATAATATACATAATACTTTATGAACATCCTGAATATCTTAAAATTCTTGAAATCAGAACTTAAAAAGAATAAGACACAGTTTACCCTACAGCTTCTTTACTCAATGCTACTCCAGTTATTACAATTATCAGAACAATTACTCAATACTATAAATCAAAAACGACTAAGCCAGCAAAAACCCTACAGTGAGCTTATGATAAATTATCGATGCAATATAACCAACCTGTGCTGTTGTCATGTAGGCATAATAATTTGAACTTGTTAAAGCGGTAGTTCCATAAAACCAATCTGCATCTTGGCCTCCTTGACAATTTCTAAAATATTTTATAAAAAAGTCAACCATGTAAACAAGACAGCGATAGGATAGAGCAGTGGTCGGCAACCTTTTCCCAGTGACGACCCGGTAAAGCCTGACGAAAATTTTGGCGGACCAACTTTATACAAACGAATTAATCTAATCAAATGTAATAAAATTTATGTGTTAGAAAATATATGTTGACAATACAATAAAAAACAAAAGTGATACTATTCATGTAACGTATTTCTTACGTTGAACCCACTCTGATCTTTCGTTTTTGTAATTGCAATTTTAAAAACCCAACCTCACATAAAGATAACAATGGCATTGTACGTTTCCATGTCACCTTTCTGCGCACGGGTAGTGACTTTCCCGTGGACCTGTGATGGGCCGCGGCCCGGTGGTTGCCGACCACTGGGATAGAGCACCCTTATTACATTAAATGCAATAAATTTAGATATTGTTCAAATGTTTTTTTCACAATTGTAACTCTTTATTCTTTAGAGTCATAACCCTATAAATCACGCTTGTTCTGATTGATAGCGTTTCGTTTTGATGTGACATGCCGGTCGAAAAGCACTTCGATATTGGCCATACAGGGGGAAGCCTCATCACCGGCTACATTTTAAATGCCAAACAAAAAAAATACTGATGCAGAGAGAAGAGAGATAGTATATTATATATATATATTATTCAGAGCATATATTGCATGATGGTTACTGCTAATTTATGTGCTAAAAGTATTATATGGGAGAAATATGACTTTTTTGGCTACTCCCAGAGTATGTGAACAAAGATGGACACCGGAACATGGTATGTGTACCAGGTTAGGGTTAGGCCATAATTTTATTTCAATTTTCCTTATTTTAGTTCTATTACGAGTTCCGGGACTAGCCAAAGTTTTTGTACCTGAAATTATGGCCTAACCCTAACCTGATACATATACTATGTTCCGGTGTCGGCCATCTTGGTTCACATACTACGGGAGTACCCCTTTTTGCGCTTGAAAAAATGTATCAATAAGGCATTGTAAGTTAAAATCTCACTTGATGTAAGTTCCATCAACAACTGCTTTACAAAACTGTGAGAAACCAACACTCAACACACATGAACTGATAAACTTGAGAATACAGAGCAACGAACATGCCATGATTGCAGGAAGGACCCACATATGTTGTCTGAAAAATAATAACATTACATTATAATAATAATAATTAATAACATCTGTAATTATAGTTCAATATACAATTTGTAAGTTAAGTTAAAACGTCCATACATTCCAAAAATTTTTGTTCACTCTCAATTTACAATGAGTAGGTCACATACTGTAGTTAGAAATAACAATGGCTCATGGCCTCAAGCTCCGGCTCCACCAAAATGTCACGGCATCGTTGCCCCAAGCTCCCCAACCCTGGATTTCATCATATTTTATGTTCAAAGAGTTCAATTTCTCTCCAGTTCCGATAGAATAAGGATTATTCATAACTACTAGTCTGTAGCCTTTCAGTATTCTGGGTGTTATAGTTGATTTGAGTATTGCCTGTCTATTATCTAACTTTGCCCTACCCAGACAGATCAGAAAATCAGTTGGTAGGGGTGGGAAAATAACAAGATAACACCTTGGTCCTTACACATGTCATGGTGTCAGAGCATGAGAGCAAAAGTCTAATATTTTAAAATTATGAAAGGACAAATACAAACTAACTGATTCAAGAAATGAGTGTGATTTCCACCAAAGGCAATGGCACAACACAGTATTCTGCAATATTACCATACAATAAATACACAATGTAAAATAATACTTACGCATTTTCAACAGATTTATATAGAGCATATGCAGAATAACATCCGTATCCAAGAGCATATAGCACTGTGACAGTTGTCAAATATGTGCAAAACCCACAAGCTCCCGGTGATCCAAACTGTTTGACAACCATGGTGGTGTTATGGTAAAAATAGGTCATTGATGCTGATAAGATGCAGTTGTTCCCAAAATCATCCTGAAATTAAAATACAACATACTTTGTTACAACCATGTAAAATTTCACCACATAGTTGGACTCATTATTCAGTCGACTGTCACACTGGTCTTCAAAGGAAAATAAGTTCAAGTCTTGAAGAATTGATTGTATGTGACAGTTACTAAACTGCTCTCCTCCACAGGATAATTACGCAAGCTATACTAAATGTGCCTTTCGCTCCAACAAAACTGTGTGCAGGTAAGAAGCTAAAATAGTTTGAAAGAACCGAAATCTTCCAGATTGGGCATTGCTTTCCCAATTTGAAATACAGGTAGTGGACATGGGATTGAAACCTGAGATTTTAGCCTGCGATGCCATCATAGTCAAGTTCAAATCTTACATTACTAGGCCTTCCACATTCACACAATATAAAGATTTAAAATGATCATCAATTCCCATACTAACATCTATTTTAATCTCACTAAGAAGAGTGAAAACGACTCCTCAAAAATCCCACTTCTCTCCAATTTATTAAATTGTGTCAGTTTACCTGTGTTAAGCCGACTGGCACAGATGAAACAATTTCTGTAATAGCTGTTGCAAAGTAAATGATGGTAGATGTACCAACAATCCAATCAATTTTTGCCATCTTCACATGAAATAGCTACGACTAAATATGCAGCAGCTCAACTAGCTCTCAGTAGAGCATGTACATTTAAATAATTGGCTGTAAAATTAGTATCTGATCATCATCTCTTTACTACTAACGGAAGAAATATTTTTGCAGCAATTTTTTCAAATTTGTCATACGTACAAGTTGTGAATTAAAATATTCAACAGTGAAAAATTACAATTGAAATTCCAGTAGTAGATATTTTGTGATAGGCAAGAATTCTGTTTAGCTTTGGTATTTAATATTTTTTTCGGAAATCAGCAGATCTTGCCAAGTGCTTGTATAACAAAATGAATGCTGGTTTTACCACTGGCATCACAATGTATGATGTGTCTAAATTGTTTGTAAATTGATTGTTTGTTTCACGGAGATTTGAATTTGAAAGAAAATTTGGCACACAAAGTTACGTTCGATATTATGTATCTTTGCCACTTACCAGTATTATAAGTTTCTTGAAATTTCCAGCACATTACTACAAATTTCAAACATATCATCATATTGGCACTAATGGAAATGACACATAATTGTTAAATAGGTTTTGTGCAAAGAAATTATATTAATAGCTCCTAGTGGTATATGTGTAGATGATTATGAGTTCACTCAGACAAAAATAAAACTTATAAACATCAGATACCATTAAAAAATCTAAAATATGATTGAAATTAGCAGAAACTTCCAAAAAATCCAAGCCCATGTATCGTCCAAAATATATGCAAATACGAAACTCACAAGGCTTATTGTCAAAATTTCAACATATGGTTTATTCAATTTTCAAGTTTTTGCTGACATAGGTATTTACACGGAAATCTCCAATCTAGTGCAGAACTATTATTTAGTAACTGAACATGAGAACACAAATAGCAATCTCATACTTATTATGTTGACTGTTTTTTTTTTAATTTTTTGAGGTGATTTGCAATAAATGCATACTATATGTATCACTTTCCCAAGTTGGAAGTGCATTAATCATAGTCTTCCGATTTCATCAATTTACAATGTATTAAATCCGAATCTGTTTCATTATTTGTTGAAATTGCCTGTCTGTGTAATTTTGGAAATGGCATGACTACTGTCTGTGCACCCAATGTGGATGAAAACCCAGTTATAGCCGTGGTTAAAAACAAATTTGTTATTTTTCCTGAAAATTTCATCGTTTTTGAACATTGAAGACTTGCGATATCCCAAAATTTCACTTGTCCATCTTCTGATCCTGTGACTATAGATGTCCCGTCCAATCCACATGAAATAGACGTGATTAATTTTTGATGAGCGTTTTTGATAACTGCCCTTTCATTGTCATCTGTACTTTGTAAAATAGCTGTTTGGCAATGGTGCAACAAGTTCACCCGATGCAGCGAGCCATTTGAGCATCCAACAAAAAGAAATATTTCATTAGGTGTAAAGTCAAAATACGAAACACCGAAATTAAATATGATAGATAAAATGATTTGCTTAGATGGAATATCATAAACTTTTACTGAGCAGTCAAGAGAAGAAGAATAAACTCTGTAACGTAATCCAAACTTCAGTTGAGTTGTCGCCATAGTGTGAGAAGTCCATGAATGATAAGGCTCTACGGATCCAGTTCCTGAAGCTTCTTTATCCCATATTAATGAAACATCCCAGACCGATACGATTCCATCATCTCCAGATGTTGCTAGATAAGAGTCATCATGACAGAAGGACAAGCAAGTTACATTCTGATAATGACTTGACAAAATTGACAACAAAATTCCACCAGATAATTCCCAAACAAGAACATTGTTGTTTATCCCAGCAGCTAGTAAAACACCATCATTACTAATTGTCAAACTACTTATGATTCCAGGCAATGCAACCTTTTTTGATTGCTGGCTTTTTCTACTTATTTCATATACTTGGATAACCGGTTTATTAGGTATTGCAGAAATGATGTATTCATTCTTGATTTGGCAAAGCGTCCGGGGTAGAGATGTTCCACCTTTAAACGAAGAAATGCTTTGCCCATTGCTTGCATTGTAAGTAGCTATGTTGAAACTTTGACCAGACGATTCTGATATCATTAACACTTCAAACATTCTTTTAATTTAATTGATGCAAGCTTATTTATGCAGATGTGTATGCAAATATCTGAATATATACTGAAATATTCATAAATGTGTGATAAATATAAAGATCATAAGTACAGAAGTATAGCAAGCAATATTAACATGATTTTCAGATTTAAAGTGTTACAATATTTTCAACTCTATATCCAAAGCCATGATCTACCATGCAGTAATTATTAACTGTATCCTTTCTAAGGTCGACTCAGTGATTATAGAATTACGATATACGGTAATGCAGCCAGAGTACCGTACTGTACCGTAATACCGTATTCCAATTAACTGAAGCGCTGGAATTAAATTTTTTTTTTTTTTTTAAACGCTCACAAATGTGTTAAATGTGATACAGTAATAATCATAGAAATAATGGGAAATAAAATTTTTACAATCATTATTATCTCAAATTGTAATCCATAATATCCGACGTAGTTTCCATTTTTCAGTATTCCAATGTTCAATAATCCATGTATAATCCGTAATATCAATTCAGTGATATCAAGATGTTTTCAAGTTAATAATACATTAGTTAAGCATTATTTGTTATACATAAAAATAGAAAAAAAAAAAATATATATATTAGCTACTATACATTTACTCAAAATATAATCACAGACAGTTGGTTGAAAATTCTAATTCCTTTATGAAATTTGGTAATTTTCGAACTTTTTCTATATTTCTCCGACATGTTATTGAAGTTTGTATCTGTTTTATGACTGTTTGAACGTTAGGTATCTTTTTTTGAAATATAACAGCATTTCTTTCTAACCAGATCTTATATCTTGTTATTGATATAAGTAATACTATAATGTTTTCATGAAAATCTGAAAAAAATACACTGTTCATTTGGGAAAAATCTAATAAAATGCAGGTCAAATAGTCTTCTCTTAAATTACTAATTTTCCTAATAACAGAAAAAATATAATCATATACCAGTCTGGATTTCATGGCCTTTTTGAACGAGAAATCGGGCGTGCAATCAGAAATTCCCGCGTGCAAATAAGAATTTCTGGCGTGCAATTATAGCTCACGGCGTGCAAAACAACTGCGCCGGCGTGAAACTGACTTCGACCTAAGATACCTCTCAATACATCCGCTAAAAATTACCGGTATTGGATAAAAAATATGTTAAATCATAGCAAATATGGACGTTTGACCTTTGACCCCCAAACATTATTTCTACAGTTTGTTGCTAATTTTGAGAGTGGTTGTGCGACTTTGGTTACCGGTACTGTTCAGTACATCCGTGTAAAATTATTGTATGAAAAATACGCTGAATCAAAGCCATAACTGGCCAGCGTCGGTGAGGAGGCGATCTTTCTCACGGGATTCCTATCATTCAACACGATATGGTGTTTTTTGCTTTGCATTTTCAGGCCAAACTTGCAATCTAGTATTAGTCGGCAATTGTGAAGTTATAATTTTTTGGCATCTTTATATTACTAGATAATTGATTTACAAACTATTTAAACAGATTTACATTAAGGAGCAATTGCAAATTTTCGGCGTGCAAAAATGAATTCGCTCGCGTGCATTTTTGTGGAGCGCTAGCGCCCTCGGGCGTGCATCTGCCATGGAATCCAGTCTGGATCATATATAAGTTGAGTGGATTCACATCTCAAAAATAAATGTGATATAAATTCTGGTTCTTTGCCACAGAGCACACAAATCATTTTCAGAAATCCACTTTATTCTTGCATCAGTTTTTAAAGGTAAAATTTCCCGCATAAGTTTGTAATCAAAAGTTTTCAAATAATTTGGCAGTATTTTCCTGTGAATATTTCCATTTTATTTCCATTGCAAATCACTACGGTATCTATTCTGCAGCTATGCATGTTCGACTTGCATGGGTTTTTAAAGGTAAAATTTCCCACATAAGTTTGTAATCAAAAGTTTTCAAATAATTTGGCAGTATTTTCCTGTGAATATTTCCATTTTATTTCCATTGCAAATCACTACGGTATCTATTCTGCAGCTATGCATGTTCGACTAGTTTGTAATCAAAAGTTTTCAAATAATTTGGCAGTATTTTCCTGTGAATATTTCCATTTTATTTCCATTGCAAATCACTACGGTATCTATTCTGCAGCTATGCATGTTCGACTAGTCTACTGTAGAAATTCATCTAAATTGCTCATCGCGCTGTCGCAAGAATTTAAATTGCATTGCCTGAAGTAAACACGCCGAGCACTGCACTAGCAGGCTCACGAGCTAGTCGCCTACTATTGAAGAGCGACACGGGTTTGCAGTACGCCTCGCTTTCTCGCTGCTGTTTTCAGTGGCGGAATTAGTCAATTAATAAGCATTCTAATTCTAACCGTAATAACCCACTGTATAACTAATTAACAATATAAATTATAAAAAATAGATGGTATATCCTGAACCAGGGGTGGGCAACATACGGCCCGTGACGAGATTTTGACCGGCCCATTGACTGTATCCACAATGTGGTCCGACGTGGTCTGTCAGGGGTCTTACTACTTACTGAATACAGCGCGAAACACCGCAAAGAGCGCAAAACAGCGCAAAAGCGCGCGAAACAGCGCAAAAGAGAGGAAAACAGCGCGAAACAGAAGGAAACCAGCGCGAAACAGAGGGAAACAGCGCAAAACAGGAGACGCAGTCATTACCACCTCCTGCCACGAAAGAACCACGGCGCCTCTCGCCATGGTTTTATGGCGCTATTTCCGGCATATTTACAAGGTTATGTACCGGATTATAGGTCATCATGCGAAATTTTATCTACCTTTTTGGTGCTCCAGAAGTATGTGCAGCAATATGTCGCACAACCTGAATCCGCTACACACACACACACACACACTATTTTCAGGTTGTGCGCCATCTTGGTGCACATACTTCTGGAGGTCCCTTTTTACCTAACCCTAACCCTAAAGCCAACCATATCCATATGAAAAATGTTCTAAATTATGGTACCCTAAATGTGTCACCAGCAGGGGCAGATCTGCCATTACAGCATTACTGGCTACATACGTTGGTTTGTGTTTTTAATTTGCTGCCGTGGTACTCCAACTCAAAACAAGGTGTCCCGAACTCATTGCAAAATTTTTTTCTGCTTCACACTGTTTCCCTCTGTTTTGCGCTCTTTCGCGCTGTTTTGCGCTGTTTCCACACTGTTTTGCGCTGTTTCCCTCTGTTTTGCGCTGTTTTACGCTGTTTTGCGCTGTTTCGCGCTGTTTTGCGCTCTTTGCGGTGTTTCGCGCTGTATTCAGTAAGTAGTAAGACCGGTCTGTCAGTGTCAGTGCGAGCTGGTGAAATAAACAATTGCCTTAGTGAACAAACTTGTTAAATAAACAATATAAGGTCAACGTAATGCTATATTATTGTTATTTTGTACAGCAAGCTATACGATTTGGTCGGAGCGTAATGCTGTAATATTTCAAAATCATAACCCAAGTATAAATAATGTTATTATGAAAATTAGGAACTCACTTATAATGAGAAGAAATATAGAAAAAGTGAGAAAGGAATTTTGTTATATAAAAGAACTTGCCATGATATATTATAACTTGTTACTAATTATAAAATTATGTTTTCTCATGCTAAATACTTGAAAATAAACTATGTAATTTGTATTACGAAATCAAGAATGAATTATTGGAACTCCCTGGATTATATGGAATATTACATCTGATGGAATTATCTTGATATTCAGATATTACTGATATATATGTTTGTTCACTTTTGGTACACAATGTCTTTATTTATATTTAAAAAACCTATACCGCACTATAACTAAGCTTACCATATATAGGAAACAAAAAACGGGATAGTACAAGGATTTGTTCGGAGCGAAAGGCGCTCTAAAAACTGAAAAAAGAATAGTTTTTTATTTTATTTTGGGCGCTGCTACAGTACGATTCCTTATTAAATGAAAAGAAAATAAATGAATCGGTAACTTTATGTCAGGTACAGCAGACAAAGACAGTCGAAATTGTTGAGGTCATACTGCTGTACTGGTACGCGCACTTAGGCTGGTCCATAAACAGCGCGAATCATAGTTTCTTGCTATTGCATTAGTTCAATTTTCACAATAAGCGATTATTTCATTTACGAGGTCAATGACTTATTACAAATCGATCACAAACAATAACCGACGACCATAGAAAAATAACAGACAAGTTAGAAAAAAGTAGAGACTAATGTACTTCAATGTAATGATCAACGAAAGGAAAACGTACTAAAATTTGATCGCCTCTCCCGTGCCTATTCTATGAATCAGAAATTGGTTCTGCAGAATCAAGCAATGTGATGAAAATTGTAGACAACATGGTCAGAAAAAGTGGACAAATGTGTTTCAGAATGACCTAATTTTGCTGATTACCTTTTATATTACAAAATAGGACTGTTTCACTGTAATTTGAGTGATGGATGACATACAATCTCTCAAAGATGAGATAGATAAAAGGGTTCATTTTATCAACACATATGTTGCATTGGGAGAAAGTCACATGGTTGATTTTTTTGTTCAAAATCATTGGAACACATTAGTGCACCCCGATGCTCAATCTCAACTGTTGCAATTTGATGAAGATGATTTATACTCAGTGAAAAACATAATGCAAATGGGTATGTTTCGTGACACATCACAGCAAGGGCCTGATACACATACTATTCAAAATTTGAAGGAATATTTTAGCCGAGCAAAATCATGTGCAATTGATAATTCCACATTTTGCATGGATACAAATAGTGTTGAAAGGAAACTGAAGGAACTTGCTGTTGATTGTGAAAGCAGAAATGGAGATGTGAGTGTTGTTAACCAATTGGTTAGTGCAAATGAATATATGTGTAATAAAAAATCTCATGAAGTAGAGGAGATGTCTCACCTAGTACAGAAGACATGTCAAAAACTTGGGATTAAAGATGTTTTGGATATGGGATCAGGAAAAGGGTATCTGGGAACTCACTTATCATTGAAATATGACTTGAATGTTGTGGGTGTTGACTGCTCCGAGGCCAATTCTGTAAATGCTTCATCCAGAGCTGGGAAATTTTTAAAATATTGGAATGCGCATTTAAAAAATAAAAGTGACAAACAGTTTGAAACAAGAGACATGAAATATCAACCTGTAACTGCTCTGGTTCATGCTGATAGTGATATAAACTTTCTTTTTGTCAATGATAATGAAGAAAATAGCAATTCAATTTTACATAAACAGTTAATGCTTACTGGACTACACATCTGTGGTGACCTATCATCAACCGCTTTGAGGATGTTCGTGAGCAAAAAGCAAATAAAAGCTGCCTGTTTACTAGGATGTTGTTACCATCATCTGACAAGTAAATCCACTGGAAAAGGTGAGATAGTTTTAAGTTATAGTTCAGCACATGATATAAAAACTACTTAATAAATGCTCTGTCGTAAAGCAACATATCAATGAGGAAAGTCTACTAGTGTCAGATTCCCAAATCTTCTACACAACTAACTGATAACAAACAAAATAGATTTGCCATTACTAATATTGTTATTTTCTTGAAAGAATATGGATTTCCAATGAGCAAATACCTGCAAAAAATGGACTTCTCGCTGGGAAGAAATTCAAAGATGCTGGGACTAAAAGCACTCGATAGAATGCAAGATGCTGATATTGCGGCCACTGAAAAGAAATCTACAAGGTGAAGAAATCCTATAATTTTTGACAATTATCACATAGAACAAGGCTTTAGACCAGTAGTCATGCGAAATCCCGATGAAACCCCTGTGCCTGGCTTAATTCTCTTGTCTGAATTGCATAAATTATAAATATAAATAAAAGCAAACCTAATACTGGCAAAACAAAATGATCTTTAAGGTAGCAAGGTATCAGAATTATCTTTAATCAAAATCCATATATTAATAAATACCCTCGGATTTGAATGGAAACTGTGGAACCCTTGGGCTGTATTCGTGAAGCCTAGCACCATCGACATAGTTTGGCCGAATGTTCTAATCGCTAGAGGCTAGACCAGTGGCTCTTGAACTTTTTAATATGTAACCCCTATGTCAAATTACCAATAGCTTATCTACCCTTTCATAAAAATACAGTAGTCATACTTTTTTTACTTTTTTTTTGACGAAAAATGATGGTAATACTAACAGCTATTGCATCTTATGATCCGACTTTTTGAGATGCTATACTTGCGGTAGCTCATTTTAGCCTAAAATCTGTGCAGCAAAGTATTGTTATTATATCCCTACAAAGTACGTGACCAGATGACTAGGCACACTGACTAGATGCAAGCATCACATGTCCAGCTTTTCCACAGACTGGTCAAAAGTACGGGGAATGTATTGCGAAAGAAATTGTTAAAACAGTGAACATCTAGATTATCCCATAAAAATTGCCAAATTACCCCTGTGAGGGTAATACCCCCAGTTTGGAAGCCACTAGGCTAGACAGACCATCACATTGCTAAGCAAAGAACGATACTCACCACTTAAAAGAAGAAGGGCAAACGAATATAATTATCATATTCATATATTTTTTATTATAGATCCCTGTTTTACCGTGCAGTACTTTCGGTTATATTGGAAAGGGAATTTCAATTCGGCTCTGGATTGAAAGATCTCCGAGTAGGAAAAGTATATTCAAAATCGAAGAACTTTATAGATTATGTAAGAAGAAGTCTATCAAAACTGTCCTATCCCAGATGAAACTAGTAAAATCCTAAGTGATGATGCGATTACTTCTTATATGAATGAAATGGAAAATTACAGGAAAACTCTTTTAGCATTTAATGCATTACGTGAAGCCTTCAGCCCTGCTGTTGAAGCCATAATTTTACTGGACAAATTATTGTATTTGAGGGAACATGAAATCCCACACAGTTATTTGGTTAAACTTTTTGATCCTGTGAAATCTCCACGATGCTATGCACTTGTGAGTATTAAATCAAAAGATTAATTTTATACGAATGGTTTTACAATTTTTAATATAATAAACATAATTTTAATTTTGTAGAGGGTATCTCAAAATGTTTGAAATAGTATGTAGACGAGTAACAGAAATCGGCAGTTGATGGATTTCAAGTGCAAGTCTTGGTTGTTCCACCCATGAATGGTGGAGTGAATAATTACTTTATACCGTGCCTTGTGATACATCGCATACTCATTAAATGTTTCAGTAAAGGTATTTGATTAGCAGCATCTTAAGTCATGTTAATAGTCTTATCAGGCCGGCCTGATTCGGTACCCATAAGCAGATAGGTCCCTTAAGCATTTGTACGAACAATTACACTTGCCAAAATTGGATGTATAGCATATTGGAGTTAATTTACTTAGGTAAAATTTTGTGTTTTAATTTGATCGTACATTTTTAGAATTAGAACCGAACTAAGATCGTAAATCGCAGCAATCAGTCAGCTCAGTAGCTCACCATTCCAAGTCCAATGATGTTACAGCATAATACGCTCAAAACAGGTCTATGAAATGACCAGTTTGGTTAGGAGAAGGGAAAGAACGATCTAAATGGGGGTGAACTACAACTCAGCATGCATGCAATGCAACTTGGAATTTGTCTGGCTGTTTTAAACTGTTCATTCATAATTGAGATCATATATAATTGGTTCTCAACCTTCTCCGAGCCAATTCTCAAACCTTAAAGTTGTAATGGGCCGCATAAAAACGCAAATTAAAATACCAACGAATGGGCCGCATAAAAACGCAAATTAAAATACCAACGAAATAACAACATCATCACAACTCGGGTTAAAAACCAAGTTGGCGCAAAAAGTTTGAGAAAGTGCGGCACTATCGTGATGGATGCATTCTTCAGCAGTATATATAACAATAACCAGATTCATATTTTCATGTAATCTATTTCAATTTAAAATACTTCTCCAAATCACATTGAAGCACCCGAGAGCTTTTTTGAAACTAACCTAACAAATAAATATTTTGTTTAAAAAATACTTGAACTTCGCAGTGTATGGGATATCCTGCTTGTGATTACTGGAAACAATGAAATCAATGTGCTGAATCGTAGACTAAACATTGTGTGAAAAAACACTATGACATCATAATAAAAAGTTGCACTCAATGACGACCTAACAGCAACTACTGCCTTTCATATATATGATCAATACATGTATGCAGTGTCATTTTCAGATAAAGAAATAGACAGCTAAACCAATAAAGTTTATTCTTGGTACAACCTCCAGACGCTACTACCATTGAGAATAGTATCGCTTCAAAAATACTTTTCCATAGTTCCACAAAGAAATGCAAATAACACTCACAGAATCTCGTTCAAAGTTCAGGTCTATTGCAACAAAACTCATACACAGAAAATAGGTAATTTGACAGGCAAAATGATTGGAATTTAACACAAACTGTAACTCTGCAACAATGTCATATATTTCTTACTATCAAAGTAATGTACCATATTATAAGAAGAAAGTTACTATGACCCTTTCTTCATTTCCCTTAATGGTGCAACGTACTCTTCAAAGCTCATCATGCCATCATTATCCTTGTCATGCCTTTTAAGAATCTCGCCTATTATGCTGTCCAATTGGTCATCAGAAAATGTACGTTCTCGCTTTTCCGTTTCACCAGAACCAGAGTGTTGGTGGTGGGTGATAGACATCATCAATTCATTACCATCTAAAAGTTTCAATTAGCAAACTACTTCTAAGCAAAGAACCATCTCAGTATTATTATAACAAGTTACGATACAGAAAAATCGTGCAAGTGCATCAAATATGATGAATTGTGCAAAATTAGTGAATGCAAGGAAAAACAAAGGCTATAGGTGCAAAGAATTACCCCAGACGATTAAAAGCTACACAAACAGTGGTATAGACTGAAAACGTAACAAAAAGATAAAATAAAGCTTGAAGAAATGAAGTTGAAGTACTAATGTCAAATTGCACAAAATTATATTTTAACAAGCTTCAGAATCGCAACGTATCAAATAATTATGGAAAAATTCCACTGCTTCTAAGTCATATTCAGTCTTACACTAACAATATGAACTATAGGTTATCAGTTATCACCAAGACAATAAATAACATTACTCTAAAGAAAAAACAACACATATGGTATTACCACCACCAGAACACCCTTGCAAAGATTTAAAAAGTCCTTCATTTTTTCTTTAACGATAACACCTTTTTATATTCTGCAAAATTGATAAAGCCATCTTTGTTCAGGTCAGCAGCATCAAGATAACTGTCAATACTTTTGCTGATGAATTCATCTTTAAGCTTATTGCCACCATCACCTTCATGTTGTTTATCCACTTGACTCAGTAATAATTTTGACATTAATTCAATCCCATCTGCAGGATTAGTGTGTGATAAGTGCAGTGATAAAAGTGACAAGCAATTACACTGGATAAGAAGAATCATGCAGCCAACGAAATCGAGATATAACATAAATTTACATATGCGTTCCAGCATGCATTTACGTAAACATTATTTTATGAATTACTTACGTCAATTGCAATAGACAGACTACCAACATAGAATTAACATGCAGAATCTTACAAATTTATACATCTAGTTATGATCTTAAATTTACTCATTTATATCGACCACATTTTTGATGTCTCATGGATGGTCGAGCCTAAATTCTTGGCATGATTAGCATGAAGCAAATTATTACTAAATGTGTTAATCGAATAATTTAGTTTTCCAATAAATAATGTACTCTGACAAACGTGCAATTAGAAGCCATAGTGATATAAATAATATGCCTCTTGCATGCCGTGCATAGTTCTACCACCCTTAACTTGGAGAGTAAAAATAGCACCGAAGCTGAATAAATTCATATTTTTTCCACATTTAAGCTCATTTACAATTTAGAAAAAAGTATCATGTTGTAATATTTATGTTTGAATTTGGTATTGACATTCAGAAACGTTATATTCAAACCCTGTTTAGCTTAGATGTTATTATGACCATTTTCAGGTAAGAACATAAAATGAAATTATCCCGAACTCACCTAATCTTTCATTTTTATCATAATCATGTTGTCTGAAATAGTGAAATTGCAATTCGTCTTGATTCATTTCTTCCACTTCTTATCAATGTGTCCATCTAGGTCTTCTTGCAAATGCCTTTCAAAATATAATTCAAATAATTACCAAATCAAATTTCCCGATTCTATATTCAGTCAGTTTTGTTTTATCAACCATTTTATCTCTATTATGCTGATTGTGGAGTCGAAATAAACTTATACTATATAATTATACAAAGAAAAACCATTGCTAGTGATACTTTTTATCGTGGGCCAAGCTTAATGATATTTTCCGGGGTTTAGCAGAAAAGTAAACCAGAAAATATACTCACACTTTGCTCTCATCAGAATCGGGGTCAAATTGAAATTCGTCTGCCAGCGTCCCAGCGACAACAAACGTCGCGACTACGAACGTGAAAATCGTGATCTTCATGTGCTCTTTTTCACACTACTAGTGTGCCAAAGAGAAATCTTTACAGCAATCTATGCTACGTTATGTAGAACCAAAATGAATAGTCACTTTGTATATAACCAAATTGATGGCGTCGAACCTGGTTGGGGAAGCACCTAGTTGACTGTTGACAAGACCACGACAGCACATATGTTGCCACGCATCAGTGCATCCCGACGCTTGACCTTCCTTCGTCATCAAATTGTTTTGCTAAATCAAGAAAGACTTAGATATTTTTTTGCTGTAATTGGTTCGGTATGAAAAAAACAATAAAAAAAATAAACTAATTGTTTTGCTAAATCAATGTTGTTATTGTCAGTTTTGTTGTTGTCAAGCGATTTTTTGGTGAGGAAAATAGTTTTTTTCGTAATTCAGTGGTTCCCAACCCCTTTTACCACATTTGCCTAGTTTTGGGTTTTATTTCCTTCACTGTTGCTCTGTTTGCATTCGTTATTTAACTTTAACAGAACATTTGAAGAATTTGTACTCTGACTTTTTTTTTTTCTCAATAGAAATCACATCATGTATTTTTTGCTTATATCTGCTGTGTGCGCATTCGTGGTCAGGTGACTCAGGTCTAGGGTTGCCAACCGTCTTTTATTTCAAAGGACAATCCGTTATTTGAGATTTTTGTCCTTGTCCTTTTTAAGATGATAATTGTCCTTTATTTTTTCAACGTCGTTTTGTCCGATAGTTATAGTACTGTAATTGATATCGTTTCGTTCTTAAATCACCTCCGTTTATGTATTTGCAAGCTTTTAATTATTTTTTTTAATTTCGCTTTGGTACGGCTCAAATAGCCAAAGAAATATCAATTTTATTAACAATTTCAAATATTTTAGCCTACATTAATTTTCCGAAGATGGCAAGTGGCAACACTCCAAGATTTGAGTGAATTCTAGTTCAATAACTTGAAAATTCTACGTATAATTGGTCTCTTCGATTTTAGAATATTTCTCAACTCTGCGATAACGTATTTGGAAAAAAGATTTGACTTTGATAAAAATTCAACATCTCCAAAATATCAGACACTCGTAAAAATTGTAGAGCATTTGAAACTGAAAGACAAACTTAATTTGAATATGTTTGACCTATTTGATGAAGTTGCACTCATTCAAAAAAATTGGCACGATTCAAAGCACTAAACTGTTCACAGAATGCCGCTTGATTGGGTCATTGTTAAATAAACATTAAATGAAAAACACATGAAGATTTTCCTGCAAGTTACAAAATAAATGATGACGGTAATCTATGTCCTTTATTGGGACTTTTCATAGTTGGCAACCCTACTCAGGTCTATGACATCATCGGTTATTCATAGACCAGAAATTTGATGAGACGGATTGATATTATACAAACATACAGTCTCTCGCCCGGCTATCAGCTGACGTTCAGACGTTGGGGTTAGGAAAACATAACGATACTCCCGCGGTGTGTAGGTTAGGCCATCATTTTATTCCGATTTTCTTTCAATTAGTTCTATTACGAGTTCGGATACTGTCTGTGTTAGGCGAGACAATATACCCCCCTGTCCGTATGTTTCAGTCCCTATACACAACTTGATGTGAAGTAGGCAAACAAAGTTAGTTATCTCCATATTGGTACAGTACACACTTCTGAAGCGCTCACTTAACTACATTATATCGCCAGATTATGGATACTGGAGATTATTCGATGCGCGACTCGATTTAAGCGCCGTCGAGTATCCGTTTTAACTACCAGGAGGAAGAAATAATTCAATTTAGTTAAAAATACAAACTGAGGACTCTTTAGAGGTATAAGTTTGTTGTTGCGCTCCTTCCGCAAATGACTACGATGGACGAGCGCAGCGCCCATGCACACGAAAGTGCAACGACTAACCGCAGTCGCACTGAATTCCGCTTCTAATCATTTAAAAGCTTCAAACTAAAATCGTAAATTAAGTCACACGGCCCAGCGATTCCACGTCAAATCGCATTGAAGTAGTCTACTTCTACTCTCCTATTCCTTCTACAATCGCAACAATTCAAGCAAGCTCGTCTGGTAACTCGTTTTTACAAGTGTGGCGCGTTAAAGTGTGACATAAAAGGTTTCCCAGGACTTAACCAAAATTTGGGGAAAAAAATATCGGGTGCCAGAGTGGGAATATGGATCAACATGAAAATAATGACCTTCTGGTGGCTTAATTCATCTTTTAGCGTTAGAAATTGATAGTGTCCACACCACCAACGCAGACAAGCATGGCCAAATTCCAACTAACTCGTACTGTTAAAAATAAAATAAGTTGGTCCCAAGACAAAAACTGAAACTTAATAATCTATATATACATCCAAGCAGCACAATGTGCATCTAAAACCATGGCCTGGCACAATACCTGGCCAGCTTCCCAAAATATTTATCATTAGTCACAGAATAATACAAAATAAGCCACATATTGTCAAACTGTCAATGCTCATACAGGTTCAAAAATAGCACTCCATATAGCCAGTTTAAAATTCCCAAAAAATACTTTTAATAATTTGCAACCGCCTATTGCAATACAACAGAACAAGATAAAACATCAGATGTTCTCAAAAGAGCATTGGGATGGACTCCACTTGGAGTTCTCAACTGTTCAATGTGAAATTGCAGCAAACTGTAGTCACACGCTTTGAAAACTCCTTCCACGTTCGTACTCTGGGAAAGCTGGAACGTTACTTTTTTATCTATGGCAAAATATGTACAAGCACAATTAATGAGTAAAAAAATCAGAAAAAATTAAATAAACATCAAATTAGAAATCTCCATAACAAAACGATGTTCACCAGGGCCAAAACATTGGTGGAAATAAAGGTTTAAAAATGTGCTTATATTATCCAGCCTTAGCTTAGGATTACTCTTCAGTATATTTACCATGAAAATTGAATGCATATTTTTGAAACTTTCCCAATTTTATCTGACAACAGTACCTGTCATGAATAGAAGTGATTTAAGATATCTTTCACGAAGAAAGGAACGATCAATTTGCTCTTGTGTGTCATCACTGGATTTTGCAGACATGTCAACAACAAAAATTACCTAATGAGATTTAGTTTGTCCGTACGTTAGTGGGAAGACATTCTAAAGATATGGGATAAAGTAAAAAACATTATTCGTCAAGAATTAAAACATATGCCCACTCAAAAAGAGTGTGTCAAATTTAGGATTTTAAATTTTCAAATCAAATTTATTCAGCGTAGGATAATTCATACATTTTTTAAACAATGCAAACCGAACTATTGGTCCAGACCTCAAACTTTGTAGTCTTTTGAGACTTGATAAGAAGAACAAAATGACCATCAAATCTTGCCATTGAAAAGAATTCATCCTGCAAAAGCAGAAAAAAATATTCTAAAATACTAAAATCTAAACAGTATATTGGTCAGTTTACGATGTAGATACAATCAGCATCAACGTCTTCAAGTCTTCGGTACAAGTGAAGTGTTTGTAGTTGCAGAATCTGGAAAAAGAGCATGGTAATTAACCAGGGGGACATAGGCGGCAGTGATCATCTTTCCTGCAAAATATCTTCCATGCAACGCTGCAACGGATTTTGCAGCGGAATCCAGTGTTCCACACTTAACATATACATTTCCGTCAGAATTTTTATCAACATACACATGCAAAACATTGCCATGCTTGCCACATTCTTCAATAACATCAGAGCGAATTTCTGAATCCCAATCAGGGTCAGTTTCAGTCTTTGGATCAAACATATTGGACAGCTGAAAACAAGTAGTTGCAATTGGAGGTGCAGCAGGAGCTGCATCCACCCCATCTGTGCCAACATTTACGGATCCCCGCAAGCCGAGTCCCATAGCTTGACCCATTGAAAGTGCCTGCTGGGTAATGGAGGGTACATGCAAACCTGTCCCTTCTGCAAGTTTGGCCATTAGTTGTAATCTCCCAGTTGTTCCAAGATCTATGCCAGTACGTTCAATAGCATCATTGTCCAGAAATGAAGGTCCACCCTGCCCAGCTGCAAGTGCCATTGCGGCTTGTTGATCAGCTTTATCTGTCACGTTCGCCACCTTCATTGGTTTGCCAGCAATTTCGAATCCATTTAATTGCTCAAGAGCCCGTTTGGCACAATCTGCTTCCATAAAAGTTATAAAGCCATAACCTCTAGATATGCCAGTGTCTGGGTCTTTCACAAGTTGAACTTGATCGATCTTGCCAAATGGCGAGAAAATGCCTTTCAACATGTCTTCTGTGATATTCTGATGGAGTGACCCTACATACAATTTCATAGGACCAACATTCCCCTTCTGTACAGTGGCCTGAGTTGTAGCCTGAACGACTTTGTTCTTCTCAGACTGTGAAGGTTGAACAATTATAGGTACTCCCAGAACTTTCTGCCCACTGAGTCCCAGTGCCAACGGTATAGACTCATGATCCTTGAACTCCACATAAGCAATACCTTTTGACCGTTTTGAATGTTTATCTGCTATCAATTTCACATCCCGAACAACACCAACAGATGAGAAGAATTCTTCCAAGTCTCTTGGACGTATTCTTTGAGACAACTGCATACAAAATACAGTTCGAGCATCTCGATCCCCAGGACTTGGTGATCTTTCCTTAGGAGTGTCATTAGTTTCTATCAGAGATGGTGGAAGGACTGGCTCCCTTTTTGGGCTCCTGGAACGCTTACGTTCACGTGAGCGAGAACGTCGTCGCTTTTCCTGTGAACGACTTCTTCTTTCTCTCGAACGCCTACGTTCTCTCCTTTCCCTACTCCTGTCTCTTGATCTAGATCTGTGTTTTCGATCTCGACTTCTTTTCCTTGATCTGCTACGTTTGTGCGACCTGCTTCTTTCATGTTTACGATCCCGATCCCTCTTCCTACTGGATTCTTTTTTTTTCCTGTCACGATCTACAGCGTCACCATTCTCTCCATCTTTTCGGAACGGTGCTTCAAGCATAGCTTCCACATCAATGTCGTCGGCCATATCTTTGATCTAGGTACTTGTAAAATACTCAGAAATATGTACTTCTATTCAAAATGAACTTCAATGAGATTTAGGATAAGATAAAAGAAAAATAGCAGAATATGTTATGAATTTTTAACAAAACTAATAAACCTTAGTTTACGATTCGACGGTAGATAAAAGTTCCAATTGTCTTGAGCAAGGATTCATTTCTGTGTAGTAGAAAAGAAACTTTGTAAGAGAAAGTCACATTGATATTTAATAAATGCAAAAAAATCAAATGAGAACACTAATATCTTTAACTCATATATTTCAAAATAAATCACACAAATTGGAAGGAAATAATTTTTTTTTTAATAAATCTTCTCAAATTAACCCCATGATTCAGTTATCTATCTACAGAGTCATTCGAACATATTTCTATTCTATTTCCAATACTGCAATGAAGAAATATGCTTCACCTTGAAGTTAAAATAGTTCAAAATTAAAGAAGTGGAAATCTGATTTAGCCATATCAGCATAAACCATTTGACACATATTTGTAAAGGAAATAAGATAGCATTTACTATAGTCATCACGTAATTGGGTCAAGCAATAAATTTTGCATTGGAAAAACCCATCCAACTACTCAAGACATAACTAGGCATTGTCAGTTTTGCCTGTACCTGTCGAATTGAATGTTTCGCCAATCAGATCGTTGACACTAAAAGACAATGAATAAATATTGTCAGAAAAACTGATTCCTAATATTCAATATTGTGATTTCGTTTAAAAGCATAATAGTAGTTATTTCAATGTTTTGAGAATTAACGAAAAATGCCGTAAATGCAGGTTTACCTTCTGTAATAATGATATTTATTACCGGAAAACTGAGTTAAATAAAGTTTAACAATTTTAACAAATTTTTGCCTAAGTGAGAGAATCAAGTCAAACTGATGAATTCAAAATTCGTCATCATTCAACTTCATCCAACAAAGCAGACTAAATGTTTTCTATCATTCACCAATATCAGAATGTATTGAATACCAGAATACGGAATTATACCTTCATTTACGCATCGAACACTTTGAACAGTTGGATCTTAGAGACGTTTGTACATGCATGCTCGTAGTATCGCCTATAGCAATACAAAAAATTGCATGAAATACTATTAAAAGTGTAGGTATAACATATATTTATTTGGAGTACTATAAGCAGCGCGAACTTCTCAATTACACATAAAATATACAGACAAAATCAATGCTGAAAACCGATTTATGAAATAAAATCTTTTAGGCTATAACAGTATAACATTTAATACGTTATGGTCATAATCCAACAGCCAAACCAATTCCTAGTTCAGTCTGTCAGCAGTTTGATAACCTCTTTTTTTCCTTAGTACTTAGATCTGTAGATAGATACGGCTGTAACTCCATAACAAACATAAATTAAAAATAGAGAATTCTGGAGGGCAAGCAAAACTTATGAAGTTTAAAACATGAAAAATATAGACTATCATGTGCCAGCCCACCAGCACACACACAAACCCAATTAAATTAGGCTTGGGCCAGAACTGAACAAACAAAATACTGAAATACGCGATAGTACCGGTACTTGATCGACTTAAAACCAGTAAAATTGTATTGACAACCAGTAAAGCTGTATTGACGACAGGACACCTACCGTCTCCACAATATAAAACGGGTAAGCTTATATAGACTAACTCATACAATACCCAGTACACGGAGTAAGAAAATATCAACGACGAAGGCAGAAAGATAGAGGGAACAAGCCGACGGGCTTACTATAAACGGCAAGAGAGAGTCACGAGTTCTGCTTCGAGACTATCCTTCTTTCATCACGTGCACGAAATAGAGAAATAAAGCCAATTAATTTCACAATTATAACAAACCATATAAATCTTGCGTACCAACAGGAAATGTCTTATCTGGTTCATCCTCCGGGAATTTAGTTCTCAACTGATAAGGGTAACACATAACAACATGTCAATACATTGTATTTCGTTGATTATACGTCGTAATTATGACGCAATAATTTGAAGTTGTGAAAGGTCAACAAATGTGCCACGCGCAGCGAAACGTTTCAGTAACGTCTCTTTTTATTATAAATCCAAATAGCCAACATCCAAAGGTCAATGTCGCCATATGTCGATATGTTCATGATTTCGTTTCGTTGAAGTTTTCAATCCAAGTTGTAATTTGCAGCCCATCCATCCCACCTGGTGTTTCGGGCATTCCCATGACCGACGAAGAACGATGACAGGACGTGGCGAGAAGGTTTAAAATTTATCAAGATATGATTTCATCTGTTCTGAAAGAACTATACCTAACTTCGGGTGGAATTGCATGCACTAGCATATCTACCTACTACCTCTAGCCTGTGGAAACTTGATAAACTCGGTATGTGGATACTAAACATGACGGACTGGGGCAATGTGGTAAGTTGCCAAATGCATTGATTAAAGTTAACTTTCCCTCGACAGATCCAGGCTAACGCAGCGCGACAGATGACCGGTCGTGTGTGCCGTTAACTGCTACTGGTCACCCACTGAGAAATGATCGGGGCGACAGGCTTATTGATTCCTTTTAACGCGTTATCTGGGGTCTTACTACTTACTGAAAACAGCGCGAAACACCGCAAAGAGCGCAAAACAGAGGAAAACAGCGCGAAACAGAAGGAAACCAGCGCAAAACAGAGGGAAACAGCGCAAAACAGGAGACGCTGTCATTACCACCTCCTGCCACGAAAGAACCATGGCGACTCGCGACATGGTTTTATGGCACTATTTCCGGCATATTTACAAGGTTATGTACCAGATTATAGGTCATCATGCGAAATTTTATCTACCTTTTTGGTGCTCCAGAAGTATGTGCAGCAATATGTCGCACAACCTGAATCCGCTACACACACACACACGTACCGGTACTATTTTCAGGTTGTGCGCCATCTTGGTGCACATACTTCTGGAGGTCCCGTTTTACCTAACCCTAAAGCCAGCCATATCCATATGGAAAATGTTCTAAATTATGGTACCCAAAATGTGTTACCAGCAGGGGCAGACCTGCCATTACAGCTTTTCTGGCTACATACGTTGGTTTGTGTTTTTAATTTGCTGCCGTGGTATTCCAACTCAAAACAAGGTGCCCCGAACTCGTTGCAAAATTTTTTTTCCGCTTCACACTGTTTCCCTCTGTTTTGCGCTCTTTCGCGCTGTTTTGCGCTATTTCCACACTGTTTTGCGCTCTTTACGGTGTTTCGCGCTGTATTCAGTAAGTAGTAAGACCGCGTTATCTGTGATATGAAGGTGTTGTCGTTGGGCAAGCCCACATTCGCGAATCTTTTGGTTGGAAAATTCATGCACTCACGTCCTATGTACGCATTTATGATGTATGATATGCTCCACTAACATTGTCGGCTCGGATCCCAAATAAAAAAATACCGAAATAGTAAATGAAGATTCTTAGGGATGGGTATTTTGGAAATGAATTTGAGCTAAAGTAGTAATAACATTCCAATGAAGTAATTTGCAACGTTTAAGTCGGTGCAAGGGGAAAACATTGTTGTAATACAGGAAGCTATATCGAAAGCCGACTTCTGAGACATTATGAACTTCGTTCTAACATTACGCAACAAAAACGATAGATGGAAAACGCTTACTTCGCACCCAATGTTCCCTTTCACCTATTGTAAGGTATAAACAAACTCTGTTAAATTATTCGCCACGATTTAATTCCGGATCATGATGAAATGCAATCTACATTATAATGTATATGTAATGAATTTTATATTCTATCTATCCGAATGAATTGTATTCCTCGGGATCGTAGATGGGATAAAATCGTTATATATTAGCGTCGTCGATCATTTACGTTGAATGCGATTAATATGGCAAGACATTTTAGAAGTTATTACCGCCCGTGGATTTTACATTTTCAAAAGCAAGAAAAACGCGACCATTTTCAACGAGCGTTTCAATCGCGGCGAATGCTTCAAAGGCCACAGCAGAAACTTTCCTAGCCGCGGTATAGTAATTTTTAAAATCCTCCATTTTAGACGCCCTGTATGTCGACATGAAAATCTTCTTTGAGGAGGCTAGCAAAAATGCAGTTACATCGTTTATGACATAACAATACAGTCGACCTATTCATATCTTGCAACGTCTTGTACTGGGTTTCGTTTTGGGAGTGTATGAAACACGAGATGCGAGAATTAGATGCTACTTTGCAGTTTATTATTATCCCGCACGCAATGCCCCTCCGGAAACAAATTTTATAGACTCAAGTCAACTATCTCTGAGTATAATTCCCTTTCGAACTCTTTAATAATCATTAAAACAAATTTGCCGCAGCATCATTAACGGCTTTCAGTAACTCATGGGTATGCGAAACCATGATTTTAAATTTTGCACATGAACATGATATTCTAAAAATCGAGTACCGGAAATTGCCTCAATCCTGATATAAATGCTGTATGCCAACACAACACCATACCAACCGTGGATTATAAAATTTGCGAGATGAATTGCAACATCAAGTTTCTTACCATTTAAATATCTATGACCGACTGACCTATTCATTTAGAAAGGTTCGTCACCTCCGTTTATAGTATAAATATATATATATATATATGGAACTGGGCCATAACTGGGCTTAACACAAGTTATCAAAGTGTCAGTCACTGAATTCAACACTATCCAATACAAATAGTTGCAATATAATTATTTATTAGCCACAAAAAAAAAATGATAAATAATAGTTTGATACAATTGTAAGTCAGTTCAAAAATCAAAAATAAAAGGAACAAGGTATGAATCGTCTAACAACATTATGTATTTCCCAAAGTCTGGAATTGAACAGAATATAAAACCAAAAATGTGACTTTATTTAATATTATCCACATTGCTATTTTAACGAATAATGTCCATATCAAATGAAAAGTAGACGTGCATTTTGTTATGTACAAGGAAATATGTGTGATAATGAATTAATAAGTACAACTGTAATTGAGTTTCAAATATAAGCATATTTAAAATTTTGAGTCTGTTTAAAAAGTGAAAAAGGATCTTACAAATTTGCGTGACAATAATTTATTTTTGCCAACGACAATAGCAACCAGTCATTACGTTACATCAACACCACGAGTCTGCTCAGCTAGGCTAGCGCTTGAATCTCTTTATCAAAATTGCGGAAAATATTACTTATATTTTGTAGTGGATGAATGTCATGTTATTAGAAAAAAGAATTGTAACGCCTGGATCAAAATCTCGCACTGTACGTATATATATATATGGCTTTCATGAATAGCAACATAGTTGGAAACTCGACATTATTTATAAGTTCGTGAGATCAGAAACTCGCTTTATTGGAACAGCAAAAAACATTATTTTGATTGAACAAGATTGCTGTCATTTTAGTATGTATACTCTTCGCATCGGCTGTACAGATGTTACAGACCTTGCAATGTCTGTCTCATATATTTCCCATGTCATGTTTGCTTGACAGAGAAAAGAGTCTTCAGTTGACCGTAAGGGAATTACAGTGACGGCCCAAAAGTGTGTCGCAGTCACAGTACCGCGCCGCTCAAGGTCATCTCGCGCTTAAAGCAAGAGGCAAAACGAAAACTACGCCGAGGAAAACAAAAACGTTGACAGTCTTTTATTGAAAAGTTTTCAATGAGCCGTTGCTTACAGTGTCCTCGTCATTGCTTTTGCTACTACTACCTGTGGTATTTATGCTGCTGCTTGAACTTCCTCTTCTTATTGGAGGGACTGGTGGAACTTTAAAGGAACTTTTTCTGTTGGCTTGTTGCCTTCCACGAGTTTGCTGATATCCATTCATTAATTGAGGAGGTTTCCGTTTGATTGCCGGCTTTACAAGCTTTTTCTCTACGACATTATTTGTTTCTGAATTCTGTTCCGCGATGCTGGGTTGCTTTTCTAATGTGTGAAAATTCCTTTCGGGAGCTTTCATTTTAACAACGGGTTGAGATGGCAAGGAATTGTACAATCTTTGATGGGGCTGCTGTTGTCCTTTTAGATCCCCACTGCTTTGACTTCGCTTCTGCAAGGTTGATGTTGGGGAATTTGATGCTTTGCTGTTTCTCAACGAGTCATTTTCGGCATTTGTACAAATCGAATGATTCCCGACCATCCTGGTTTTGTACGGATTCGATCTGGTAGGACCAGTGAAACTCTTACTGTGATATAAAGCTGGTCTTGGTTGTGTTGGGTGGTGTTGACCTGTCCAAAGAGTCAGCTGTGCATGTCTGTCAAGACTAGCTGCCGGAAAGAACACTCGCGTTTTAGGTCTGTTAGTTTTAGGATCAACAAGTTCGTCTTCCAAAGAGATTGAAACCCCTCGTTGTTTCTGGTCGACGTAAAAAGTTAACAATTGTTTGTCCAAATCCAACAAAACTCCGAGTCGTGATCCAACATCAATTCCTCCTTCACATCTAAAAGCAATTAACATTTATGTTATATCAATACCTAAGCGACTAACACCACAACACAAAAAAATCCAATTTAACTCAAGACATACCTATTTGTATGCTCTCCCTTATGAAGAAACCACGTTCTTGTTGCATCTATGTACATTGACCAAGCGTTCTTGTCTTTTCCCAATATGCAATTTTTATCCACTTTCGCATACGCAATTCCGACAACAACATCTGGGTTCGAGCTGTCATATCTGTCGACTGAGTACTCCCAATAATGCACACCCTTTTAAACAAAAATACATTGAAAAACCCTTATAACTCATGGTAATATCAAGGGAGAAATTAGGACTCATCTTTATTTGTTATAAAACATGAATGAATAGTCGAAAAAAAATTGTCACACATATTTGTCGATTTGACAATTTTTTGCGGTGCTTCCGAAGTATGTGCACCAAGATGGCGCACAACCTGAACATAGTATGTGTACCAGGTTAGGGTTATCAGGTTGTGCGCCATCTTGGTGCACATACTTCTGGAGCGCCTTTTTGCAAGCTTAGTTTTTGGATTGTAGTTGTTCGAACTTGACATAGCAACGTACCTTTGAAAAACCTATGTTAGCCAAGGATGCTTTGTTCTCCATATTGGTACAATTGAGGGTGCAATAATTATTCGTGAACTTGAAATCTTGATGTGAATGTCCCGGATCCATATGGAAAATGGCAACTGGAAACAAACGAAAAACATAAAATATTTCAAACATTAATTATTGGAATAAAAAATGAAAAATTATAACATTTCACGAATACAATTAGGCGGCAATTATATGATTTATAGGAGCATTTGGTAAAGAGCTTCTTATTATTATAATACAAGCAAAATATACCAAACCCCTATACCTTCTGATGTTTGAAGTTGAACAACGTCGCTGCAAGGGCTCCGACCAGCTCTATTGTACGCACTGACACGGGCGCGATAAATGCTGTTGAAATGGAGTCCGTCGATTGTACACGCGGTTTGTTTTCCGTGATATACATCCTGAAGAATAATATACATTTTAATTTCTTGCTGGAGACTATTCGCGAACAGCGGTACTTTTTGATCTAAAAACTTACTCGAAATGGTCCCCTTGCTCCATCATCTAATTCCAAAACAAAGGCTTCCACACTGCTTGTCGGGTGAATTCCCCACGATAATGTAACTGTGTTGTTATTGGATGCACATTCCGCTACTTTGATGATGGGTTTTTCAGGCACTGAAAATAGTATTTATATATATATATATATATATACAATGAAAATGAAATGTCCACCATAAAATTTTTATATTTCCAAAGACCAGGTGAACGATATTACTTATCACATGCACATGTTTATCCATAAAAACACAATTGAGTTTCAATTGTTCTTTCGCACCTTGCTTTCCTATTTAATTATTATTATTCTTGAATACTTGTATATAGTTGCTGCCCTGCATCTATTTCTTTTATGAAACGCACCAGAAATACAATGAATAAAAACTTGCGTGATTGGTGTATTCTTACCTCGCCTATGTGTAACGCTGAAAGCCTCAATAGCTTGCAACAATGGTGAGGCGTCCAAATCAAAATCGAATTCACTTTTTGTTCTGGGAGCCAAATGGTGTTCTGTCCATTGTTGTTCAGTTGCCGAAACTCGCTTGATTAAACCGGATGAAACCTGAACAAACAGATATGATTATGAGAGTAGAAGATTTTAATTCGCCGAAATGCACTGTGGTATTAAAATCGGCACTGAGTAGTAGTAATCTCAATATCGTGACTTTATATTATGGAAATTAAAACATTTAGCTTGCATCCTTATATCTGTGAAATGAGGTAACTCGATTTAATTTTACAGGGAAATATTGAAAAAGAGACAGGCAATTCTCTTTTTCATTATGAATGCACTTGATGTCGCTAGGGATCCAAAATTTTCCTTGGTATCCAATCTTGTTATTTTGTCGTCAACGACAATCGTAGATGCCATTTCCATATATATATTGGAAACGGGATGAACTATATACCCAAATATGTACCGATACGAATGCGGAAATAAAATCGATAAGCATTAGTAAATTATCCTTAATCCAATTAATATTATTAGTTCTAGCTTGGAAAAGTTATCGATTCATATGACCCACAAGGAAAACAGTAAAGTTTGCGATTCTCGATCAAATGATTGCGTAACTGCCTTTGAGAATAACACGGAGCACAACATGACGTAACAAACCTGCAAAAACGGGGCTGGATCATTGTCCTTCATGACTTCAATGCAATATTCTAATAATCCTGTCGTCTGTTTCAACTTCATTGTGCATTGCTGAAGTTGTTCGCGAACGATCTGAAATGATAAAGATAAGTATAATAAATAAACAATAACTTCATAAACCATTTTTGTAAATATGAAATCACAGCAGAAACAGCGAAGATGCGCCAAACCGCACAAGTGCATTTGTAAGAGTGTAAATTATCTGTGCCCACAGTCAATTATATGCACGGGAATAACCGCGATAAAAAGGCCAACCATTTCAATAAAAATCATTTTCACACACAAAAGAGCACTGTGAACAAGATCGAATTTCTCACAAATATATCATATAGATGATGGGATTTAGTTGTCAAGATCTCAATAGACTTATTCTCTCTACGAGACAGAACAAGTGCTTGACTTCTTAATAGTATATAGAACAACACAAACGGCAAAGTCCTCATTGGGTCGCTGATAAATTGAGAATCACTTATATTCGATAAGACTGGTACTTGACCAGGAATGAAATGAAATATAATTTAATTATATTTAGATCATTCATTCAGTGGCCATACTTGGACTAGTGTAGATAAGAAGGGAAATTTACTTCCAGATGTCGTACGCTAAAATCTGTACTTACGCAGTCAACGGGACGGAACGGTAAATAAGACGTCGTGGTGAAGAGTAGTACGAGATGTTATTCATTTTTTTTTGTTAAAATGTTTTATGAAAGCAGATTAATGGGAAGATTTATCGACCAGGTGTCGATTCTGAACAATATAGTACATCTCATCCAAAAAGCAAACATCTGCGAGTAGGTGAAATGACTACATCTGTGTGTCACCAGAAATATGACAAGTTAACTAGGCCAGTTTATGAAACTTCATTTGCCTTCAGGCGATTACAAAGTGACAAACTCCTTTGCTAATGAATAAAATGAGACATAATTTAACACCATATTAGTAAGTGGATATTTTTTACTCCTTATTTGGACAATTGAGTCATTATAAAATTAGTACGACATTTTCGTACAACCACCGTTTTCTTATTCGATGGCACTCCGTGAATGCCTATATTTGGGTAAAATTACCAAAATTAAATTTCAATAATTGTGAAACATAGATATTTTTTTTGCAAAATTTGTATAACATGAAATAATATTTTCGTAATGTTTACCTGAATGTCAGACAAGTGTTATACGTGTTACTTATAAAGCGACATTCGCCAGCGGTTAAAATGAACTAGCGTTCATGTCATACGATATCACCCAGGGCGTCAATTTGTATTATATCTTAATAATCTATGGCCATATTTCATCGATTGACAATATATATTTCGTTATTGAGAATCGTTATCCACGCATGTTACTATTAGTGACGCACACTTTCTTTATATTTTTCTACCAATAATACCAACGTATATTATTAGTTAACGATTCGTGTAGTCAGACAAGTAAAACATGGAATTATCGTTCATATCTAGGGTCATATTATGACTAATGTATGGATGTTTTCCTTTCTGTTGGGATTTATAAGATTATAATGGATCGGTGGAGTCTAGTGTTAGTAGGAGAGTGCTCGAGATCGATCGTGGACTGAAGAGGCACTTAATAATAAGGGTGACTCACATTTCTGTGTATATTTCTATTTTCACTAATTTTTTTGTTTCTCATAGTTCGTTTTTATCCTCAAATCATGTCTGGTCAAGATAATCGCCGGCAAATAGAACTGATGAACAAATTTCTGCAAGATATCCAATCACTGAAAAGTACTTGCGGCTACCGAAAACAAAACTTTGCGGCAATCGTAAACCTCTCAAAATGTATTCATTATGTACGTAAAAGTTTGTAGAGCGCATCGTCATGGCTCTTACTTTTATAAATAAACATTTTCAACCTAAGAAGTGGGTCGGGACTTTCTCATTTTGTACAAAAGTGTGTTTCTACTACGCGAATAGCAAACTTAGTCACACTCTTCAAATGACTGGGTGGTAACGAGTTACACCCTCGTATAAAACTATTACGCTTCATCGCTACATTTGACAAAAATGCAAAATGGGTTTCATCACCTGCTCAAAGAGGTCGACATAGGCTAACCGATTTACCACGGTGGTAAAATTCTACAACAAATATTGTACAGACGCTATAAAAACTTAAGCAATATGAAGTGAAAACCAGACAATACGGAATAATGAGGCCTAAAGACGTTTCTAACTTTGACACCAAGTAATAGGCTAGTTAGATGTACAGATGATATGAATGGTCTCTGATTAGCTTCAACAATATTATGAATGGAGATAACTAGCCAACGATATCTAGTCAAATACGGGCATATTGCACATAATTAATAGCAGCAAATCAGCTGTTTGCAAATGATATATTTACTCGTGAATATGTAATATAATATGACTATATAAATCCTTATGGGTCAAAGGTTATTTGATAGAGGATCATCTTCTCGAATTTCAGCCAGTGCATGGCGTGGAACATAAAATCCCGTTTCGGGTCGGTGTTAACGCTATTTCCACAACATGGATAATTTTTGCACGCCTAAATGAATATTTTAACCCATACCGTATGAGTGTTTGGGCATTGGAGTTAGTTGAATCAGCTGGTTTTCACTCGCGGGTCTAATAAGAATAACGTACTTCATGTTAATGTAATGTTTTGATGCTTCAAGCACAGCGAGATTGTCTCCGAACCATCAAAATAAATTGAACAACCCGTCCGTACGATAAGATTCGTTGAGGCCGCCTAATTGGGGTTTTCATTTGCACGAAAGCGTGGATAAACCATTAGTGCCAGACCAAACAATTCAAATTTAAATGTAAGCTGAACATTGGGTTGGTAACGAATAAAGCTTTTAGAAAAATAAACACTTTCACGATGGCCTTTTAGACGTTGTCCGTTTGCCATTTTGAACCTATCAAGCGCAACGTCTTTCAGGGTATAATATGGGTCTTTATTCGTGTGAGGTGGTTAGGGTGGGGCGAACTTTACCTAGCCTTCCTTCACCTATGATGTACTCAAACTGGAAATTGTAATAAGATATGCAATAAGCGCTTGGTTATTAAAAAGTGCGGATTCAGTGTTTAAAATATAAGTAATACTTCCATGAATATGAAATTGTAATTCGTGGTTTAAAAAACTCCTTTCTCTTGAAATAAATATCACTTGCCCGCAAAAATACATTTCCTATAGGAGTTGCCACTCACCGCGACCGCTTAAATTTGAAACGTGAGTAAGTACCTTCCCGCTGTGACCGATTTGGCCACCAAGTTCATGGGAACGCGACTCGTGTAATGGAAACTTAATCTAAAAAATAGTTTATTTAGTGTTGTGGATACACGGAGGTCATGTAAACCAGACATGATGTAAAACATATGGTGTAGTAACGTCAAGTCATAAGTAAAGTACATGATACATATGTGAGTAGTTGATTGAAATGTGAACCTATCTAGTCAGCCAGTAACCGTAATGGTTGCTGGTAAACCTGGTGCATATGCTTAGTCTGTCCGGGTAGCGTGTTTCGAATCGTTGTATAATATTTGATTTCGAAATGTATCAAGTTGAAATTAGGATGAATGTATTGGATGACATATAGACAACATGTTTGATTTTTAGGATGCCAAAAATATTATTATATTATATTTCGACTTTATTCGAAAGGCTAAATGAAACCTAAATGAAAATGGTGATGTGCCAAGATCTGGTGCAATATTTCACAACGTTGTTTATGACACAATCGTACTTAACGTACTTAAGAAACGAAATCTACCATCTCTTGACGACACAGATAATTAATTACCACCCGTCCAGAATAGTAGTATTGGTGACCACTTGAACCGTTTGACTTTATTTATTGGATATCTAGTTTATAAAATTTTAGGAACTCGCTTAAAGCAACTGATGTGGTCTTCCAAAGGCCACAGTGTCACCAACTTCAAACTTTCGCAGCGAAATTCGATTCCCCCAAAGCACCGCCTCGCGTATTCGACACCAAATGAACGCTCCGAACGATCTTTTCACGCGTAGCCAACATTCCAATTCCTGGCATTCTTATTTTGCCTACAAAATTGTATTACTAAACTCTTACTTGGCAGGTACATCATCCATTTGTAACCCTACCCATGATTCTTTTAATAGTTTCTACTACGTACCTTGCATTTTACTTCTTTCTCAGCTGTGACTCTTTGTATTAATTCTTGTTTCTTGTGATTGATAGCCTCCACCAATGCGTTGCATTGAGCGACTGCTCTTGATTCAAAATCGATGCTGTTTTTCTAAATACATGTTAATGATGAATAAATTACATACAATCATAAGCGGAGAAAAATAAAGTTTGATGAAGGATAGCAAAGGAGTGTATTCAAGGAGCGTTTTTTAGATACCAAATTTGTAGAATTTGGTATTTCTTGTGTATTGTAAAACGTTTAGTGTTATTTACTGAATTGTAGTTTAATCTCACATCTTATCTTCTCCACCAATATGGCCTTAAGAAAATTGCGCAAAATACAACAGTATCAGGTACATGATAAGCACAGCATGTAATTGCCCAAAAAAATTATAGATATATTGGCAAATAGTCTCCATACATCCCTTGCAAACAACAAGCAAATGGATGAAATCTTAATATTTTCACATTTCAATTATTCTGTATTATTAATGTATTGCATGTCACTTATTTTCAATTTTCGCATAATATAATATATATATATATAAAGGCAATTTTGTCGGCCAATGTAGACCAAATCTCATAAATTTTTCAGCACGCTTCTAACGACTTAGCTGGGAAAAAAAAAACTTGTACTCGTTGAGACGCGAGAATAAATTGCACGATGCCCGACTTGTTAATATAAGCAGGGCGCCATAACAAGATACAGTTGCAGACTAAATCAAGTAGACTATAAGCATTGTCATGCAAGTTCAAATCACAAATTGTCCTATATTTCGTATTTTTGGTTTTGCTTCCAGCAGGGCATAGGACTTCAAAAAATCAATTCCTTAGTTTCTCTAATGGGATGTGATAAATGAACATCGGTCTTCCACTGCGGGTGTTTGACCTATTTCGATCGATATCAGTTATCTACGGACATTGCATACTGTACCTGTATTTCGTCTTGAACAGATCTCAAATGCATGACCAAATCTTTTGCAAGTCTTGCTTTATTAGATAATGCGCTCATCTGTCGACTTAGATCCGCCTGTAAAACAAAAATGTAATATTTTCAATTATTGAAAATATTGAGTTTGAGACGAACGGGATTTATATTACAGCAAAGGTAAATATGAATATCTAGACGCTGGCGCTATATATTGGATTATGATAGACGTGACTGAAATTACGAGCACGCATTGTGGAGTCCAAAAGGCTAGTTTTACCAATGATTGTTGGTACAGTAACTATCGCTAAATAAATACGATGCCCCAATTTCAGACAATATACTGTTCTCAGACTGTGACTCATGGTTGGCGGCAACCCATCATTACACGGTCTGCAATAGATCATAACAAAGCGACATTAACCCATGAAAAGTGTATCAAATATCTTATCTTTGAGAGATTTATTGGTTTTGGATACTAGTTTGAGACGTGGTCTGAACAGGTTGGACTGATCCTAATACTGGTTTCCCAATTTGAACTCCAAAAACCCAGTCAATACACCATAGGGCTAAATTATTTTTCATATATATATTTAAAATTCAGCATACAATATTCCTCTGTGCGTTTATAACATTTCATGCAATTTGTACCATTTATTTCATGATGGGGACACACAAAAACCTTATATTCAATGTTTACAAGAAAGTCAAACTAGAACACGAGTGCAGAACATCCATCTCCCAATACCATTACACAATTTTTATTAATTTTCTTCATTTATAGTAGTAAGTTTTGTAAATACAGCGTCTACATAAAAATTTACAACTCAAAGGCAAACAAGCTATATTTAACAACATGGGCAGTTTTAGGGGCATCAAAATGAGTAATGGGGCGTACAACACGTGTCAAACTGCGGCAGGCCGGTGAGTGGTTTTTAACGAAAGTCATAAACCGCTTTTTACACAAGCATCACGTACTGACTCATTTCGTTGCGACGACACTACAATCCCGACAGCGGCCGAGCGAATCGTCAGATGTTATCATTTGCTGCGTATAGTCAAGCCACAGAAAAAGTACACAAAGCGGCATTTAATTTGTAGCAGGTCGATTTGCTAACCAGCTGCATTAGCGTCAATGCTTCTACCATTTTTTGCCTCTCAACTTCAACAAAGTAGTATCATTTGCATAACTTACAACTTTGAAGTGTCGGATTCTAATGAATACAGCAATATGTCATATATTTACGGTCGATTTTGGTTGAAAATTTTCCATTGATTTGTCAAATTTGCTATTGATGCCCGACTTTTATCAAAGCAACACTTTGACAAAAATCTGAATCCACAGTTGAAATTATATAATATTCCTCTTATACCAATTGATATAGATAAGAGACGGTTTCCAGATTGCCATAATCTCACTTGGCTCATGAGATCCAAATTAGTCTGCACTTTGTCATCGCCAGACAGCTTTTGTATTATTGAAGAGGTATTAATCTTCAAAATTCGCTTTAACTTATTGCTTGCTATTGAGTCATATAAATATTTTATAATATTTTCATAACTAAACTGAATTGTTAATTCGACGGGAGACGATATTGATAAATTGCCTCCTTGTTTTAACAAATTATTATTAATCGGAGGTTCAATAAGAATGCACCAGAGGAAAATAATTAAGCCGTTTCAATTCCTCCCGTTCACGATTTGTTAGAAATAATATAGGGAAACATATAATGAGAATTGCGAGCCACAGTATCACCCATAGTGAAATTATACACAGATTTATAGATTAAAAGAGTTATTAAACACGACATACCGTTTTCTTTATAAATCAGTCACGAATTTCTTTACCATTTTATTGATGAGATAACAAAGCAACGCCAATATCACTAAGGTGACAAAATTGGGTACTCCCGTAGGTGTGTACCAGGTTAGGGTTAGGCCATAGTTTGATTCCGATTTTAGTACCATTACGAGTTCGGGTACTGCCTGTGTTGGTCAAGTGAATATATCCCCTGTACATAGGCTTCCGTCCCTTCACACAACTTTAAGTAAAGTAGGCGAACAAAATTAGTTACCTCCATATTGGAGGTAACTCCACGCACACTTCTAGAGCGCCCAAAATTGTGCAATTTGTATTTATATATCAACTTTGGCAGCAGAAATGAATATTTATATTTACTGCTGATATACATCATTCTATTAAAAAACTCTAAATTCTCCATTCGAAGCTTTAAATCTTAGCTCAAGAAGCGAGTTAGAACACTAGAGATTAGGATCCATTGTTTAGGGCTAATGGGGTGAGTAATTTTAAGCCAGTAATTGGAAACGCGAGACTTGTTCGCGCGCATCCTCCTGCAAAGTTTTGTCAACTTTGGATTTTACAAACGCTCAATGGCCAAAAATAGAAAATGTTCAAAATGAAAAGCCGTGATTAATCTCACTGCGATGCCAACACGATCACAATATCTCGAATATCTTACAAAATATATTGCAATCCGGACAGCATTAAGTGACTTCAAGACCAAGTAAGCAACTACCAATTTGATACTTTTATGTTGGTGTCACCTCGGTATGGAAACGTCTTTAATTTTTCTTTTTGCTATATATAATTTATGATGAGGTATAATATATCACTACAAAAATTAAGCTAAAATATTTTGTAGGTGTTAAAAAATGAAACATTGAGGCTCCCTGTACCTTTCTATTCCTTAATTAATTTGTTATCTCTCGTTTTATCAAATGCGTCAAAGACTATCCGTGGCTGTCTATGTGAAGAAATTTATCGACGAATGCTACAAAAATCAATACACACATAAATTTCGCAACGACGGTGGGGTATACATACGATATATGTTTAATACTGAATCATACCGTGTCAATGTTAAGTATTGGTTACAAAATTTAACTAGTCGGCATCTCCATACCCAAAGCTACTTATGACTGGGCTTATGACTGGAAGTGTTCGTTTGAAGTTGTGCTAATTATCTGACATTTCCTGGTGTGGTTTTTATGATGTTTGTTCTTAGAAGTGTCGTTTTCCGAAATGGCTGACAGAGAAATCCTGTTAATATCTAAATGGTAACTAGGAGGTATGAAATCATCGCCGGCTTGCTTGTTCGAAATACGTTGAATGTTTGCTGACCTCTTTACAGCGTTTAAACGGACGCACAATTCAGAACTTGCGGTACACGAAAGTCTTTTATGAGAAACAACTTTCATTTTGAACTTGACGGTTAATCCAAATTTGGTTCTAGGCTAGTTCAACTGGTGCTCATCTCTACAAACATGGAGTTCATGTGTTGCCTTTTTCGGCATTCATCTCTGTCTAAAGTTTAAACGACGTTCCTTATTTTAGGGGAAAATCAGCAAACACCTGTAATGTTTTTTTTGTTAACAAAACTCCTATTGAAAGAACGAAAATTGAATGGAAAATTGCGGGATTTTTGCGGAATTCAAAGACATATTTGTGTACATTTTTGTAACGATTTTTTTTTATGAAATTTGAATGCTGCCTACCTCAATGTGGCTGATTTATCGATACAAAAACTGTTAACTGAACATCGCAACACCGCGATGAGTAACGATCCTCAATCGGATGCCACTCAATCTAAAACTTCAAAAATTGTCTGAGCGCTGATATTTGAGAAAGCTCAAGTTATTGACGGATGATGAAATTGTGTACAAAGTAAATACCACGAGAGCATTGAGTAAGCAAATGCAAGACTAGTCAAGTAGCAGAGTGTGCAAAATGCTGCTGATCGTTAAAATAATTCATTGCTCGGAGATTAGGAAAATTGCTTTGGCAACAAGTTGTCCTCGAATACAAAGTAAACGGCGATGCTATTTTCGCCGTTCACCCACGTTCTTGTGCGTATCTGGTAGCATTGAGCTTAAGTGTTGCATATACAAACGTATTGTTAAATGAACATAGAACAATTACGATGCATAACATACAATTAAAAATAGGGAGGGATTGCTTCTAATACTGATAATTTGTTTAAAAGCGATCGGTACGGAAGTGTACCAGGAAGTCGATAATTAGCCGTAGGTGTGATTCATGCGGTTTTATTGTCAAGCTACTTTACATTGTCGTCAGAAACATACTCTGATTCATTTGCATAGAAATTTGAAGTACCACAACATTGGCCAGTGAACCCTTGACGAAGAAACAATAGTACAACAATAGGTAGTGAAAATGAAGAGCACAACACCACATCAAATATTACACATAGCAATTGAAAATATCGATAGAATAGAACTGAAAACATATTCGAGCTTGCTGTTGGGAGTCACCTTTCGACTTCTAGTATATTAACTTCCCCTTTAAACATATTATTTTCGAATCTTTTAATTCTTTTGTATTGTTGAATATATATAATAATGTTGTGTGTTGGATGACTTTTGTTTTACGGTCGACAACACAATATTTCAATTCAGACATATGGTACAGGGGATTTGAATGTATTGAGCAAGCACTGAGATCACGAACCCTAGTCTTGTCGCGAAGAAATATAAACACAGACAAAGCTATAATATTTCATAATATCGAAAGCAATATTCGGCAGTCAGGAACGACTTCTCGTAATCACAAACCGAGTAAAGACTCCGTCCCGTCTTCCAGATGGCAGAGGCGATGCCCTCGGATATATCGCATAAATAAATGACTGTGTGTGACACGTGATTAGGAAACTTTGATCTTTTAATAGTATAAAAATGGCTTGAGAGCCAGATGGAAATTAATTCAATAAATGTTTATAATATAAAATGGTTGAATTTTCGAACAAATTAGTATTAAAAGTTATCATGATATGTTTTTTGGTAAAAATATATTTAAAAAGGTTTGATTGAACATGGTCACGTCAACTGCAGCGGAAGCACCGGACAAGGAAAATCGTGGGACGGATCAAAGTAGTTACCCAATTTAGAGACAGATTCCCTTATGATGGGAAAAATAAAATAGAATTATCCATAGTCTGCCAGTGTTTTCTCGTGCGTGCAATTTTGCAAGATCATCTTCAAAGAAAACAGTCATTCATAGACAGATAGGGATACTGAGTCACCAGCAAATCACTCGCTTCGAAATTTCGTCGGTCTTATTTTAGATCGTGCAAAGAAGCAAATATTTCATCATGCTTCAGTAGAGCGGAGTCAATGTTTGAAAGCATCCTTCATCTATAATCGTTAATCATTTTCGTCCGGACTGTCCAAGTAACTACCATATAACGAACTTAGCCAGCCATGTTTCGAAGATGGGGTACTTACTATATGAAAGGCAGAAAGGGCCGAGATTTAATATGAATGATTACACGAAGAAAAACGGTACCTATTCCGATTACAGACTTAGTTTTGATAGTAATACGAACATTTATGAGAATTAGAATATTGTACCATTGTCACTTATTCCGATTTAAAATAACTGCCCATCTCTCCCGGAAAATAGAAAGTTTCGTCACGCTTTAGTGGATTATTCGCTGCATAATTAATCTGTATAATGTCATCATACGTCGTTTTCCGGGAGTCACATTAAAATTTTACCGTTTGCTATAAAATTTTCATGAGTCTTGATAGAAATTTTATATACCAGACCTACGTAAGCCGATTTGAAAATGTGAAGTGAGGAATTAGTCACATAAACGTTCATGTATAATGGGAAAACTTCATTTTGTATTTATGCTATGCGGATGGTGAGAAACTCGATTACCATAATTTACATTTCATATTACTCAATAAAATCAGTTTGAACAAACATTTCCATATCATCCCTATTCTATGCTTTCGCTTAAGAAACAAAGTGAATCAAAAGAATTGAAAGTATCTAATCTATCATAAGTTCTTCAATGCCTTTCAAAGTTAGAAACACGTAAAAATAACACCCCTTGATGCAATAGTAGTAGAGACAAGCATGAGTTTAAAAAAGGTGGAAGTATGGTCGGCAATTTCATTTTTCATTCTTACCGTAAAAGGAGATAATGGTCTGGCAAATGCCAGGTATACCCACTGAAATTTTGGTTCAGAATGCATGCATTTAACTTGCTTTACTGTTTCAACGATTTCACTTGAAAAAACATTGGTATTGTTTTTCAATCGTGCGTGTAGGTTTTTTGTTTCTGTTCAATGTATTAAAATAGAAACCACGCTAATACATGTCTAGCCCAGAGCTTTAACTCACGTCCACGTAACCACAAATCCAATTAAAACTAATCTTTTGAAACAGGCTTAATGAATGGAGAAAAGAAAAGTAAGGTGGTACGATAAAATTTTATCGCACCAATTAAGCAAAGTATATGGTTGAAGATGCAAAAAACACAATTATTTGATTGCAAACGGTGATTTCCGACTCCAAAACTTTAACAAATTTACAAACTCTTATTTGTAGAAATTTTAAACTGCTTTAAAGTATACATACAACGGTTCTGCAAACACGCTCAAATAAATTATGCTACAGCAAGTCTGCAGAGTGCGATTAGTTTCAAACCACATAAAATGATCAACTGTAACGTAGCACAGACGCAGAGCATCTAATAAAAATATACCGGTATATAAGTATAGCCGGGCTATGGGCCATGGATAGAGAATTTTGTTTCGTTGGGATGTATCCTAGGGCCATGCGAGGTCCATGATCAGAATGAGAATAACGTTCAATATCATATTATATCCCCAAGAAATATAAGTAGGCCATGAAATGACTAAATTCGTAGCCGACATTCTATATTTAGCTTTTGTTGAAATCAGCAGGTGATCACTCCCCACAGATTGAATGATTTTCAAAAGATCGTTGATTCTATGGTGCTTATTGTTTAAGTTGTAAGGAGTATTCTAAACGCGGGTCTAGACTCATACTGACGTCACTAGAGGTTTTAACTATCACTGAATCACTGTTTGTTGTTTTTATTTCCGCCAAAAGCTAGAATTTCATCATATATACAAGTAGATCACTACTTATTACATGTTATTAATCTCATTATTTTATTTTTGTTCAGTAACGTCGATATCGTAGTATTTTCGGAGAATCACAAGTCAACTGATATCTGGTCGGTTGGCTGATTTCAACGAAATTTGATAACGATAAAAAGAACTTCGAACCACGCGTGGGCCTTGTATAAATGTTTCGATATACTCTGTCTACCCACGCCAGAAACTATGATTAAAATATAGGAGAAAATCACTCCCTTCTCTCTGAGTGTATTGTGTACAATACATTCAACAACAGACTGATACGGTTCAAGCTTGATCCCATATCGTACTCTTATATAAACTTTGGCGCCTTGGGCAACGGAAGTTAGTTTTATTGACTGGCGTTGAGGAATAGATAGATGAAACACGTTGAATGTTTGATGAACATAAAAATAATTAGATTACATTACCATGATGATAATCTCAACTTTTACGACTTAATTTTACGACTATGTATGTGTTCTTTTTATGTGAAATAAATTATGTGTCCAAAATGTAAAAGTTTTGAAAAAGGTGTCATTTCCATCAGCATAATATTCATTTTATGATTGAAAATAAAAATATTTATTATACTAATAATTGTAATTGTAATAATAATTGTTAGAAATTGAGATTGATTTTTGGAATTATTGTTACTTTATTACCTACACCAAGATCGTGCAATATTTTTATGTTGATGACAAAAATCACTTGGACACAACAATCCAAAACGGCCTCGAAGATTCCATAAAATTCAAAAATTTGATTGATCGAAACTCAAAAGTGTTGGGAAAGTAGCTGGTAATTCCTAAATCAGTTTCTAGTAAACAAATGTTCTTTGACAATAACTGCGCATAGACATCAATGTCGATGGTTATTGAAATTAGGTAAATTTTCTGTCATGAATGTAAATAAAAAATCCAATATCGGACGTTTGTTTGCGAATATTTATTCAAATCAATATCTGCGATGATAGTGCGCTCGTGTCTCGAATCAATTTGACGCCTCCGGTACAGGTGTGGGCGGTTGGGTTTCAATCATTTCAATGGGACGAGTAAGCCACTGGTTTCACGCGGTTTGATGCCGAACAATTGAGGAGTGCGTCAACAAACTCGTTTAATTTGAGCTTTTCAACGAAGGTTCTAATTAACTTTCATCAATTCGTGTTTATATTGTATATAAGTTAAATATATCTACTATATTTTTATATTGCGATGTGAAGAAATCAGTAAAATTAACTGCAATATATGAATGATTCGGTCCAAATGAAGATATGTTTGCGAACTCAATTTTCATCAGCGAGGTCACATGAGTAACGATGATGTTGAGGGTTGAGGAAACCTAACCCAAAACTATCATTTGTCAAAAGTTGTCATATCCAGTAATTGGATCGGTATTGCGGTTTTAAGAAACGACGGGGTGTTGACTTTAGCGCGTTATGGGTAGACTTTAGTGGTGGAACCATTAGGTTTTCCAACGAACTCTCTGCGGGTTACCAAGAGAAAATTAATTCACATGAATAAAATTTCACCGAGTATGCGTATAAATAGACACAAAAGACGATATACGTAAAATGGTGAACCCCTGCTACGCAATAAACTCAAATCTTGCCCAAAACTACGAGATTATGTCGAGCGGACCGGGAAGGCCAATGATGTACCATGGCAGCGCAACAAGAAAAAATATAATGATAAAAACTAGGATTATGTCAGGTTTGTTGCATGATGAATGGCTTCAGAAAACTAATTTTTCCGATTAAAATAGTAAAAAGCAGGAGTGGTACAGTTTGGTACGTTGAAGACGAAACAATAAGAAATTACGTTTATGATATACCCCGATCACCGAACAGTCATTTTGTTATACCACACTGGCCAAAAACTAAATGTGAAGCACTTTCAAGTACTAGGGGTTGACTGGATATCAACAAAAATATATACGCCGTAATAATGCTTATCTTTTCAAGGACTATTATTGTTCAAATTACGAGATTATCATCGTTTCAAATGTCATTAGTAGTCTGGCATTAACGACATTAAAAGAGTTTATCTATTATTTATAAGTTTTTAATATATCGAATACTTCTCATGTGTGAGGAGAGCCACTAATTCTCGCGATCAAGTTTAAAATAGCAATATTCAGAATAAAAATCCCCGGAGGGAAAAACTAAAAATAAAAAGATATTGACCAGCTTGTCCAAATTACTGATGGCTGACAACAATTTTCCGTGTATCACACAGGTGACCGAACATGTATAATGAATATATTCCCTACCTTATGCGTCTTGTACGTAGATCCGATAGCTTTAACGTCATGTGATGGATGTCTTCCGTCTTCCAGACATTGATAGCACAGAGGAACTTGACACTCTTCACAGTACATGCTCATGTTTTCTACGACGTGAAAATGACATGGAGCAAGTTTTATTCCATTTTGCTTACCATTGGCCCCGTCAGTTTTAGGCGGAGGAACCGACTGCGACCTTTTCTTGACAGGGGAGTATGTGTCTTTCCGTTACTTGCGGATGACGATGACGAATTTTGACGCATGATTCCATTACCTTGAACAAGACGGGTAATGGTATGCGAAGCAAGAGGGCCCCGTGCAGGATGGAATCGACGTTGGCAAGTGCGCAGTAACGAACTTGGCACTGTTCACATCTAACAGACGCGGGTTGGAGAGAGTTATATCACACATTTCGCAGTGTAACTGCTCTTTATTAGGAATTATGGGAGTGTTTCCTTGAAACGTATGGCCTTGAATGGAGCCACCTTTTGGTAGCGAGTTCTGGTTTGAAGATTGCAGCGCCCATTCGGCACTGTCTTTCGTAACCCCAGACGATTCGTGCGTCCCGTTACGGGTTTCAAACTTCTTGATAATATTATGCATTAGTGTATTTTGGGTCAGGCCCTCTACTCCTCGATCATCGAGAAATACAGTTCGTTGGCAGATGGGGCAAGTTAAACAAGATATGCTTTCAGGCAGACAGGGCAGGTGTATTCCCTGACTATTGGGAGAAGCAGCGATCGGACTTGACGGCTGCTGTGGGTTATTAGTTTATGGAAGATAGTGAAATTGTTCTTCCTTGATCACTTGAGTTACTTCTCAGAGACCCGGCAGAGTAACCGCTATCGGCGTCGCTGAACACAGCTTCACTACGAGGCTCACTTTATCAAAATCCACAGAGCGACCAAACACTTCAGGAGAAAGGTCACACACAGTTCCGTTCTAAAAAAAACATATTCTGTCAAATCGTTGACAGTATCAAAACAGTATGTTATTTTGAATTACGAAGATGAACCCAAGATTTTGTTGTTAGTACGGGATTCTCAAGCTCACAGAATGCTGCGTATATATATAGCTATATTTAGTTATTTGTCACTCTGGTATTCACGAACCAAGCATTTGCGATCAATTCTTCAATGATTTAGAGTAAAATTACAATGAGAAACAGTTGAAAAATTTCAGATATTATAGAGTCTGTGTCGATAATGCGTTAACAATATGATCTTATCTTAGAACAAAGTATTCAACGAAAACATACCTTGGATTTAAGAGTTTCCGCGCACTCAGAGCACAAGTTGTGAGTGCAAGGTAAAATGACTGGATCGACAAACAGTTTATGGCATACAGGACATTTTAACTCGTCTTCCATTGCAAAATTTACCTTCATCTAATTAAAATGATTGAAGATAAAATAAAAAAATTAATTTCTAGTAAAACAGATGCTGTATAGTTTCTGCATAAAAACCAGATGAAATTCTCGCCGCTACACGCTGTAAACTCATGCCGGGTAGGCTATAAGCAAGCGAACGAAGTGAATCTATATTTCATTTCAACGGCTTTTTGTGCGCACAATACGCCTGTATCAGAACACTAATTTCTGTACGCTGCCTTCCGCCGAAGTTCTTTTGTTCGATCTATCTTTTTGTGACTGCTTACAAATACTTTACAAAGGTTACCAATGAAGACAATTGCTGACCAACTCATCTAACGAACCTAAAACGGAACAAGGTATCCGCTTACACGACGCCATAAAAACTAGGTCCCCGAACTGTTGTGAAAACACACGCCGGCGACTCTCGAAGAGACTGCCGCAGCGACGCGTTGACGAACGGTGGTGAATCGTAGGTGTCTTCTCTCGCTTTCTTTTTACACACTTCCGTTCATTCTGGTCGACTTTGTATTTCCTGCAATTCGCAGTACTCCCTTTTCATTTTAGGATATGACTTCAAATTATGGTAATTAGTCTCAGGAGGATTCTTTTGTTTGCAATTTGATATATAGTATATATATGTCCAAAATAAAGCAGCGTGACGAGATAGCGGCGCGTGCCATTGTCACAACAGGAACTAGATTAATATGTTATATTTTGTTACGAACAGCGAGTACTGGCTGAAGTTGAAACATGAAGTTCAAACGAGTATAATTAACACAAACATCTTTGTAGTATTATTATCGCCCTTGTTGTTTCCATCCGCAAGTTCTTCCGCCTACGCGAGCACTTTTATTGATAAAAACTGCTAGTTTAATTGTCGAATTTATACAAAATACATTTGCTGACGCGAATATGTGTGCAATCATCGTAGGGTGATCCAATATTTCTTCAAAATGTTGGATTCTTTCGCAGAAAGCGTAAGCCCAAGATTTGAGAAAAACACCCCAACCACGTTTTAAGTAGCCTACTGCAGATTGCACTCGTCTAAACTAATTGCGCGTTCTCTACCCTTGAATCCATCAATGAATAAAAATTGTAACTGAATAAATACAAGTTTTTTTTCATTATTTTAAGCGGTGGCTTTTTCCAGAATCTGTATTAAGTTTTGTCCATTTATCAATATTTAAGATCGGATTGTAGGAATCCCATGAGCGCTACCTCACGGACAATCCTTTACCGAAAAGTGTTTCAAACAATGAAAAATAACGTTGATGTGACAAGTTGATTCTATAGCCAGCCACAGCTTCTCGTCCGGTTGTGTAGCAGTCCAGGTCGGTTGCGGGAATGGCTAGTTGTCAGTTAACTGTTGTAGAAACGTGGATTTCCAAAGCAACGAATTTTTATCAATGACGCCATTTCGGAATTGATTCAGACGGATAAACAAAAGGGTTCATTTATACAGCCCGTTATCCATACGGTACCATCCTGATATGTTGGGAATATATGCTCCGAGAAATGTTTAAAATGCATGGGGTGGGAATTGGCCATCGCGTTTCTCATATTGGTGTTTAGTTTAATTACGCTTTACCTTTGTCAAATTCTGATCCTATTTGGCATTTTATCGCATTACGCAAAATAAGTCTTACCAGCAGAATGATGGCCTTTCACTGCCATACAATCAATTGGTTTATCGCATCTCCCATAGCACGGAAACGTATTTTTTATCTTAGTTATGTTTGTCCATTGTGTACTTTCAGCATGTAATAAAATAGACAACCGACCGACTGGTTTTCTTGACCAGTCCAAATATGAAGCAATGACGTAACGTGTCATAACTAAAATTCATCCAGAGGAGAGAAAAACCGATAGAGCGGCTTAATCATATGTAAGGCGTACCACACCCTCTCGTTCGGTTAGCAGTTAGCTCAGATAGATGCCTGAACAGGGGAGATGAGACTTTCCTATGCATACCCATAACTTATTAAAACAAACTTAATTTTCATGTAAGGAAATGAGATACAAAGATTTTGATACAATAATATAATAAACACAAACTCATAAATAAGGCGCAATTGCATTCAGTACTAGAACGTGCATCCATAAAACTCATTGCCATTACTGACAAATTCAAAACCACATCAAAATCAATTTGTTCGAATGTTGATCTGCTACTTCATTTTAGAGATGATAGGGCAGTGTTCTGTTATGGTATGCAATCGGAATTTTCCAGAAATAAATTTGATTATATTGGAGGGAAATATGAAGCAAAATTTCTTTGCATGGTCAATCAGACATAAAGTTTTATGGGTATCATTAAAATTTCTGCTTGCTAACAAACCAAATACCTTCTTGGAAACATCAGTTTCACTAACTACATCACAGCATATAAAAGTTAAAACAAATTAACTCAAAATTTAAATAATCATGGATAATTAAAACACTAACACACAAATCGATTATAAAAATCACCCTTATAAATGTATAAAACCAATCGCTACATTCTTCCACACAACTATCACAAATATGCATAGATACACAAAAATAAGATTAAACACCAACGAAACAATAAATTAGGAGAATATAGAAATGGAAAACTGAGATTTAACAGTGGGTCAGGTTGGAAATGGCGATTAGGATTGTTACTCCAAACTGTTACATTTACGTTGAGATATGAGGCAGCTATACCCATAATTATGTATCGTATGGTTGAAGATTTTCTATTAAAGAATAAGCATTAGTGAAGCTTGTTCCATTTGAATTACAACTGATTATGAGTTGATGGAAAATGAATTAAATGCTATTTTATATCTATCATTTTTTTAACAGCAATTAAATTCATGTGGCAATAAGTAAAAATATACGATGTTATTGACCTTATCAGACTAGCATAAATTGCTACAGTTTTGATAAACCTGCAGTAGGCAATCGACATGAAAATTTGAACAAAAAATGAATTTTCTAACTGCCGACACTGGCTCCTAAACATAACGGTATATTATACACAATATTAAATATGTGGTTAACTTTCAACCAAGTGAATTATTATTTATAAAATTAGGTTTCTCAACTCTTAAAAGCAATATGCTTACATTTTTAAATAAAATCTTTGAAATTTACTTAGTTTGAAAGACCATAGAATAAAATTTAAAATCATGAAGCAAAAGTTACTGGCAGTTGAGACATTGTGCTGAAAATGTGTGACATTGCTTACACCACAAATATTAAAAATAAATAATAAAACAAATCAATGGAGGTCAAAGCTGTACTAGATTATAACTTATTATTCATTTGTTGCAGTCACTTGGTCACAGAGACATTCGATTACTAATAGAAAAGTTGTATAAACATCTACGCCAGTGGTTTTCAACATTTTCAGTGGAACGAAACGCCAATGAAACATTCCAGAGATTCGGAACCCCTGTACAATATTTTAATTGTCTTAATTGTTCAAGCTATAAATATATATAAAGTCCATCCATATACTGGCAAAACAATTTGATCTGAAAGTGTGGAAAGTTTATAAATAGAAATGTAAGTGAATAGAAATGTATTGAAACAATATACCCTTCACAAATTTGAATGTAAACTTGCGGAGTCCCTGAACTGGCGGAACAATAGGGTGCCGCTGAACCCTTGTTAAAAACCATCATTTCATCTAGCAGATCTAGCAAAAATATGATTCAGGATACAAGGGGTTTCAATGTCAATAAAATTGTTCACAATGGCACAAAAATGAAATTCTTGCGAGGCAGAATTCAAATGAAAACTAAAAATGTACTATTGTTTGTATAACCCTGCAAAAACGCTGCAATCAAGTTATAGTTTTGTCAAAAGTTGAACAACTTCATCGTGAGCTTTTTGATCCTCGATGTTTACAATTTTCAACTCTTTTGCTTTTTCTAACCAATTCTTTGCCTCTTTGTACTTGCTCATTTCATAATAGCACTGTGAAGGAGAAAAATATGAAGTAAAAGAAGGTGCAAGTATTATACATACATTTTGTATGAAATAATAAAATAAGACAGAAAATTACAGAAATACAGATAAGAGAACATTTTTATAGAAAAAAAATATATATGTATCAAATATGAACCTAAAAAATAATGATCAATATTTAAAATAATCTGTCAGAATTTCGTTATGGAGACTGTAGTTAGAAAAATTTAGTCACATTCTACAATACAGCTTTGATGCAAATCATACAAGTGAAAATCAAATTTCTACGCTACAGCTAAACAAACAAACTGAGCAAACGGAAATAAGGGTCTTCTAGAGCTAGAGATCCAATACATTGCATAAATTTATTTACCTTGCCAATATAAAGTTGGTTTGATTTATAAAACCCGTGATCAAGTTCTTCTGCTTTGAGGAAACATTCTAAAGCTTCTTGAACAGATGAGGTAGGCGGTGTCGCAAATAATGTAGATGCAAGTTTACGCTCTATCCAAGTCAACATATAAATGCCTGAATAAGGAAAGAATAATATTTTTATACAGATATCAGTATTTTTTTATTTTTATGTGTACTTCGCAACGCTACTTATGTGATTTCTTCCAATACTTTTATATTTACGATAAAGGTCTTATGATTTTACAAAATTGTTTCAGCATGTACGATTTATCAGCAACATGACTTAAAACTCGGTACTGTTTTAGAGACAAATTCATATGAAATTACTATCAGAATAGCGCTTATCATTTTTAAAGATCTTTTTTATTCAAGAAGAAAATAATAGGTAAAACATTTTCATCTGCATGCCGAAGAAAATGTATATAACAATTTCCTATTCTATTATCTTATTTTATAATTTCAAAGTGTTTCACGCAGTCAAAAGCAACACAATAAGAAATGGCACTCAATAAAATGAGACTTTGTGCATTTTACTTTCCTGCTTTGCCTCAGTTCAATATTTTGTTGCCGATTCACGAGATCATTTGATATCACCTGATGTAAAAAGGCTGGAAAACTGGTCTAATCAGATAGCTTTAAATTAGAACCTTAGCTTTGGTTCTGTCAAGTCATACAAGCCACTATGTTGAGGAGACAATATGCAACAGTGACAAAATACATACTATAAATAAAGTGTCAATTACAGAGTGATCCTTTTGCTGAGGTGTTAATGTTGATAGAATTGAGTACAAAAACAAAATATCAGAAACACTCAAGGCAACTAAAATTACTGATTTTAGAACAATTTGCAATGTATCGTACCCCAGCACCATCTACCAAGCATGAAGTGCAAGGTTGCTTCTGCAGGACTTAATTCTAAAGCTCTTGATATATGTTGCTTCAATTTATAACCATTCAAAATCTTGTCTTTAGTTGAAACATAGTCCATCATTGTACCCAAAGCAATAGCATACCTGAATAGTATAAGTTGATAAAGTCAAAAACAATGAAACAGAAAAATTTTGCATTAAAATGTTATTAAATCATTGCCGCGTGCATTGAGTAAAAAAACGTAAAAAAAAGTCTGAAATAAAGTAAAGTATGTCATTGTCGGCTACTTGAATTTGGACAAAGTATAAAAATATTATTAGAACATTAGTACACAAGCTTCTGAAATGAAGCAATGACAACAAATAGGTATATACTGGAGTAAACACACATTCAATATCTTTTTTCTCAGTCAAAAAAATGAATAAAAAGTGTTGCTATGTTACCAGACTTAGAATCCCCAGTATATGCATCTAATCAAAACATATCACAAAAATATTAAAATTATATAAATGTTCATCAAAACAAAGTTTTGTTTATACCAGGGCCCTTCAAACAGGGGGTCTCGACGGCCCGATGGGTCATGGAAGGGCTCAATGGAGGACGCAGTAAAATCTTTTTCGACACTAACTCATGTTAAACAAAATATCGATCAAATTTGAACGGTCCAGAACAGTTCTGAGACCCGCCATCACCAAGTCAATATGGCCAAGATATGATTTTTTGCTCTCATTATATTTTCTTCCGTTGTTCAATTTTACATTATTTTTATTACAATTCCAGAGGGTTGCAAAAAAATTTGCTATGCCAAGTGGGTCGAGATGTATGAAAGTTTCTAAGTAATTTACTACTATTAGCCTCAGGGCAAGAGTTTGCTAATGACATACCATTAGAACAGCTGTTAGTACTATTATTGTGTTATACTGAAATAAAACAAACTCACCATTTATGCACATCTGATGAGGCTTCATAAATATCTAAAGCTCGTTCAGTATATTCATGTCCGGCCAATGCATGAACTCTTTTCTCTTCTACAAGATATCTCATTTCATGAACAGAAACATGAGACCTTCCCAACCTCCAAAGGAATTCCCAATCATCTTTATACTAAAAAACATTAAAATGAACACCTGAAACATTTTTGTTGTGGATGAGAAATAGGAAAATGACATTCGAATGAAATGATGGCCGCCCCTAGAAAAGGTGTTAAAGGTTTATCTGCATGATATGTAAACAACACTCTACAATAGAGAAAATTCACACAATATGTTATAACACACAATAATACAACGTTATGTGATTGCTTATGCTCCTTAGGTGAGATAGTAACCAGTGAGGCCAAAAAATGATTATTATTGACCTCGTAATACCCTCAATAAACAACAAATTAATTCAAGTAGATATTATTGATGTAAAAATTCCATCTGCGTTAACGATTTAGTCAAATAATCCATGATAAAAACAAGGGAGCAATGATCAAATATATGGATAAAAGGCCAAAACGAAGTAGTACAGTACATTTATGCAATTATTCACAGTGAACTACCGGTATCGCAGTGATCACCAGATAGCAGCAAATGCAGAACCGCAAAAATGTGCACAATTTTTAAAAGCGATTTTTTCATAACAGGATGAAGACTAACAAGAATAACAACAACATAATAACATAACTATCCATATGCGTGACAATATGAAGACATCATGCAAAGAAAATATTAATGAAATGTGTATCTGCTTTAACTGCTTGACATGTAAACAACACTCTACAATAAAGAAAATTTCCATAACATAATATACCATACAAGTGATACAACAACAACATAATAACAAAACGATCCATATGTCCACTTTGTGTCCAATAAAAAACTTACATTAATTTCGTTATCTTGAAGAACTCTCATTGCAGTTTCTTTATCTTCATCACTCCCTGTGTAAAGCGAATCAATTTTTGCATACAATGAACGTTTCTTTTCCTCATTGGAAACTGCGTTATTGTTTTGCAACAAAGAATCTCCACCTTCAATAGGGGATGGTACATCTTGTTTCCTAGATATTAAAAATATATATTGTTAGAAAAAAAAAAAAATTAGGTACTGGTATCTTCGACTTTCATATTATACCTTAGCAAGTAATTTTGAATTTGCCAAAAGAACAAACGATACATATGCAGAATGCAGTAATTTTTTTTTGTTTTTTGTTTTTTTGCATGCCACTACCAAAGAGGCAGAATTATATACTGCTCTTATCTTATCTTATATTTATAGTTACAACTAAGATTCATTCATATTTTTATAGCTTATAATTTTGCTTACAGCAATAAGCAATAAAATCGATTTTTAAAATAGATTCAAAATCAAATTAAAAATAGATGCAAAAAATTCACCTGGAATCTATATTTTCATTGTCATCATCACTCCATGCAGTTTTGTAACTATATACAGAAAAATTCGACTGTGATTTTGTCCTCCTGCAAAATATAAAACATATTATAAATTTAATTTATCAATCATTTCGTCTACAGACAAACGTTTTTTTTCTATTATGAATTGTGAATATAGACCAATGCTTTTCAATTTTCCAAAGAAAGCTCTTTATGGCCCTTACTCCAAACAAGTCTTGTACAATCAGCTACTGGTATGTGAAAAGGTACATTTAAAAGTATCCTTGAATCCCACTACTAGAATAGTTTGTTATTAAAATATGGAAATTTTTGAACTTTCTGTGTTACATACCTTTACTGAATGCAATTAAACAGAATAAAAAATATATAATTCTTGCTGCATTGGTACGCAATCCCAGTGATTTTAGTTCGGATTAGGAACTGAATTCTATGAGAATGTCTTTATGACATTAAACGCATACCAAAGTGGCACCACTATTTGTCCACTTTGGTATGCGATTAAGATCACTGTAAGCAAGTGAAATCACATAGGCCTACCAAAGTGGCAGCCGTATTTAGAATTTCGAGACCTCAATTTTAATTTTCCAACTACAAATTTATAGTTAAAAACAATAATGCTTTAAACTTATTACCTGTCATTGAATGCGGTTTGCAAGAGTTGTATTTCAGAATTGATATTTCCGAGTTCACATGGAATAAGTTTCTTTAATTCCTCTATTTCTATTTTTAATTCGTCAATTTTCGTTGATAGTGTTGCAATGGCTTCCTCATCTTTTCTTTGTTCAGCAGAACCAGTATATCTGTAACAAAATTGATAATTCTTGGCTATTGATGAAAATGTACTGCTGTACTGTGTGGCCAAATACGGCTGAATTAAAAACTAGCATCCCAGCTGCAGCATCGAATCCTGTGAGGCCGTCGTAGGGTGGTTCACGTAAACGCAGGTCGGTTACAGCTTCTCTGCTATCAAGTCCATGCATTTAAAACAAGTACCTATCCGGCTTACAAATCCAGACATGGACTGATAACCGTACTGCCGTAAGATAACCTGGGTTCATCAAACGACTGTAGGATTGAGCCTCGCTATTAATTTTCCTCTCCCCAGAATAAAGCAATAACTTTTATAATAAATCTAACTCATTTGAAACAACGAAATAAGGGAAAACAAAACAAAATGACCCATGAAAAAGTGCTCATTTAGCTATTAACAAACCAATACAGTAACCGGAGCTAATTCCTGGCAGCATTATAACGGAGTAAACAAATTGGACATGATGAAATAGGTACGGTAATGTTTTCATATTTTATCATACCTTAAGACTGCATAAGTTGTTACTCCCCCACCAAGGAATATAGCGATTCCAACTCCAATTTTCGAATAAGGAATTTCTTCATAAAAAGCCATCGACCATTGATTAAAAAGGGATACGAATTAAAAAAAAAAAATAAGTCCTGGAAGCTGCAAGGCTTCGCGACGCTGCGACGAGAGGGTGTCACTGAAAAGTGCGAAACAACAGGCCAGAGCACGAATCTGTAGTTCTGTTTGCATGTCCCCCGCGAGCTTCAACTTCCTTATTCATATCCGTAACATTTGCCAATCAGCAGTAGCATGATGGTGACGCACGAATTGAAATTTTTTCCATTGGAGATTTCCACGTAGGGTTAGGATTTACTTTATTACGGTACCTAGCTTAAATTAAAAAAAAATAATTTCAATTAATATAATCGGTTCACGGTTCAGATGTGGTCCTCGTCTTCATTATCTGTGGCCCGCGTCGCGTTCGAAGAGTAATTAAAAATAGGCCGCGAGCCGAGGTCATTCATCTTTCAGTTTCGTAGAGCACATAAGGTAACTACCTGAAAATGATTTTAAAATGTTTCTTAGAAATTTAATAACAAATATTGCCTTGTTTCCACTTCCAAAAGTTGCATGTTTACAGAAAAGACGCTTTTACTACAACAAATATGTGTTACCATCTGTCCTATTTTCTCTGCTTTTCCGGTATCATGGGCCAATGAACGCAGACTTCTGCATGACGTAACAAACAAATTAGTCAGCTGTAGGTGGATCCCCCGTGGTCGGGTGGATATCAGATGTACTACTACTACTGCTCGCTTTTGCGTTGAGTAGCCTTTCCATAGTTTTTTTCAGTTATTATTAGTTCAGTTATTATAAGGAGGTGTTGAAAAGTATATGTAAGATAATAAACACTTGTATATTCTTACCATAAATAGCAATTTAGTTGAGCACTAGCTCATAAGACGTTGTTAAATAGGTACGGTGCGGTAACTCCGTATGTTAGTCGTTGGGTAACTCCAAGGAAGGCTAGACCTAGAATAATATGTCACAAACAACGATATTTTCTGGCTTGCATGAAATGTCTATGAAAAATTTATGACTATTCTTGACTATTCAGCAGACTTATACTACTATATAGGCCACAGCATATTTGGAAATAGAAATTAATGGCTGTTTCTGTAATGCACGTTTGTGTGAAAGAGAAGTAAATAATCAATTTTACTAATGTCGGTTGGTCTAAATCTAAATTCATTGAGTCGACAAGAACATGGGAAGCAATGATAAGTTATGCCGGAGTGGAAAGAAAGGTAGCATTGGAAGCGATTGAGAGGTGATAAATCAAGTTGTAGACCGACAGTTGATGTTTTAAAATATAGTCTATAGTCCATACTCATACTGTCATAGGGAATTTCAAACTGGGATAGGCCTATATCAAAATTTAGTGTAGTTATATTCTAGTACTGGTATGCAAACACTGTTGGACTGTAGTACATGTAATGAGCATATATACGCTCATTGAGTACATCAGATGAAATGCATCATGTATTCAAGGTATTAGTTAGTATTTAGTGGTATTTTTACACTCATGCTGTTTGTTCCAAATATGATTTTCTTCCTCATTTCAGATACTGTACTGCAAAAGAAAACGGCAATGTTCCACCAATGTGATCTAACGCAGGCTCTAATCCCTGCTGCTATCAGTGCTATAAAATGGATTAAACAAGAAGTCTTGAAGCGTAAAGGTATATTAGAATCATAATAGTTGCAAACAGCTTAGATGGGCTATTCATATTGAAATACTTAAGCACCCCTTCGTGCAATTGGAACTGCCCATCAAACTCATGTTGGAGACTTCATTGAGGTTTTCAATTCATTTTTTTTTCTCAACTATGAAGATCTTTTGAGGCTAACGTGGCATTCGGAATAAAGCTGAGGAATTCGTTTGTTCACTGTATGAAGAGGATATGGAGAATGTAAATAATACCAGGGCACGTCTATTTAACACTGGCAAACATAAGGATTATACTCCCTCACCCAACAATGATTCACTGAAGAAGCATGTGGCCTTTAAATCAGTCCTTGAGTTGGCAAACTGCAAGCGTAAGAAAAATAGTCAAAATAATTTATGCAAGAGTGCCAAAATCAACTTAAATTGCACAGAGTTTTGTTCTTGTATTGACTGCAAAAATCACAGTAAACTTATAGAGGAAAAGTCGATTTTCGAGATAGTGGATTTCGAAAACAATTCAGAAGAAAGTGAATTAGATATTGCGGTTGATTTAATAAGTATCATTTATTTGTTTGTTTTTTGGACATTTGTTAGTGTCGTAGTCCTGTTTCTAGAAAATATATTGCCTTTGTTCAAATACATAACCACATAAACTAAAAAAAGACTAATCGTAATATTTCTGTTCACTATGTTATGTACATATTGTACATTCATTTAATTTTCTTGACTTTTCCGTTAAATTTCTAAGTGAAAAATAACTGATTTATTTGTGTTTTCGTGCTCACTATGTTAATTTGTGACTTTATTGCTTAAAAATAAATACGTTTGATAGCTTCTATAAAATGGATGTAGCTTTTTATGCTGTTCTTGTTGTAAACTGCTTGTGGTTATTACATAAAATTTATTCGCTAATGTGAATCACCCTTGCTGTTGTCGCTGCCTGAAGACCTTTCGAGGTCACTCGCGACTCCTGTCACACAATTAAAGTATATTTTGTTGTTGGTTACATGTATGCCATATTTTCGTAATCTACCTAATAAATTATGATTGACTGAGGAATTCTGATTTGGTCAGGCAAAACATTACAGGAATACATTTGTGTTAGTGTGCTGTAGGGCTCTCGAATTGCATAGTTCTTATGTATGTGTTGTAAACTTATGGTTATTGAATTTCCGGGAACCTCTTATATTCAATTTCGCATCAGGATTGTGGAACAAGCTGTAATGCGTTCAGTATGTTCGTTTTCACACAAAAACTGAAGAATTTATCTAGTTACCAGATGTGCGCTACGAAACTTATTTTCAGGGCGTTTTCAAGGCTTCGTCTCACGGCCCATATCCGCGGTAAGAATCTACAAGTGTTTAATAACCTTCTTATACTTTTTAACAACGTCTTAGCATAACTTAACTAATAATAACTAAACAGGATTATGGAAAGGCTGCCTAACTCAACGCAAGATCGAACAGTAATAACTAAGATTCATCCGCTCGCTAACAGCTGATTTGATTCAATTGTTACGTCATGCAGAAGTCATTGTTAATTGCCGGAAATGTAGAGAATATAGGACAGATCGTAGCACATATTTCTTGTAGTAAAAGCGTCTTTTCCGTAAAACATGCAACTTTTGAAGTGGGAACAAGGCAATATTTGTTACTAAATTTTTAAGTAACATTTTAAAATCATTTTCCGGTAGTTACCTGATGTACGCTACAAAACTCACTTTTTAGGCGTTTTTCAGGGCCTCGACTCGCGGCCTAAAATCGCATTTGGTATATTGTTGTATTGCATGATGGTAGCAAAATAAAATACTGATTAATGATTCTTTCCTTTTCCTCGGGATAGATAAGTGTTGTTTCATCATAAAATTAACCAGAAAAATCTTTTGGCATATTGTTACATCACTAATGTCACTGAATTGACTAATGCTGTGGCTGGCCAATGAGATATTGTTATATGCCATTGGGCTAGCTGAGGCAACCTGCGAAGTTGAATGATGTGATTGGCAGTCTACATCTTTGGTCGATAATATATGATAACAATTTTTGCATCACAAAAAATAACACCTATTTCAACACTTTTCTTGAGATGGTTTATAAATTTAACAGTAAATCAGAGATAAGACGATCATTTAGCAAAAGAGATACAATGTATAACAACGTTGTTGTGTAAAATCTATGATGTGATGAAACGTTTTCCAGTTTAAGTGTTTCTCCACTGATGGTCAGAAATTGGGTTTGCCGATTCACTACTTTTATGTGTCTTGTCGCCGATGATTGCATAAAAGGGCATTTTTTTTGTGATAAAAGTAAACTAAAATGAAACACGGTTAAAAACGTATATCCACAAATATCCACATATTCAATAGTTAAAGCAGCGTATGCGATAGTCCCACCAAAGCCCACGATGTACACCTTCCATTAGCTTACCCATATATACAGACTTTGGCCTACTTTACCGCATGAATACATCTGCTTTGAGTCGCAGTATGTTCTTTTTTTTTTATTATTATTAGTTTCCGAATTAGATCAAGATTATTAATCATTTTTTTAGAATTTTGAATATCATGGTTTTAATTACCACCATTTCAAAAAGTCATATTGTATATACGAATTATAAAATGATACAATACCAGTTCATCAATCACATATATATACATATTACATCCATGTCCATTTGAAGTTCAGTATAGTTGATCCGTGTCATTGTATTAATTTATAATTATATTACCATCAGTAATTAATTTGCATGGAAAAATAAAAGTTTTCAATAAATTAGATAGGAATAAGAAAAACTTCCATACCATGATTATAGGGTTTTTCTACTTTCTATCCATGTTGATGATATACAATAAATATGGTAGATACCGTTGAAATTTAAATGAAATAACACTATATACATCTTTAAAGCATAACAGATTTATCAAATAATACATCAATAGTTTCATCGCTTATTATTTTCAATTTTGTTCCTTCTCCCATATATTTGATGGCAGCTTTCAGCTTGCATTTGAAAATTGTTCGCATGATTGATTGGTAAGTTTGCCCTTCTTCAAATATAATATAATTTCGAAAATCCCATATTGCCCCTTTTGCACACGCAATGATCAGTCCTAATATTGGTTTTACATTTTGTAAGAAAATTATACTTTTAATATTGTACTGGGGAGGTGCAATGTTACACCATTCCCAGAATTGTCTAACATAAACGCATTCAAAAAATAAATGTTTACAAGTTTCTATGTTGTTGTTACACAGCTGGCAGTACCCATCATCACTGTCTACCCAATGCCTTATTTTATCCCCTGTTTGCAATGCCATATGTGCTATTTTCCATCCTAAAATTTGCAACTTTTTGGGAATATAATAATTCCAGATATCTATCCATTTTATATCGTCTACAGGTATATTATACCTCTGACCAATATGAAATACTTTCTTATTAATAAAATTATCATGCCAGTATTTTTTTTCATACATTATATGCAATTCTTTTGTTGTAGGAATTTCTTCAAAATCAAAAGGGTTAAGAATATCATTTTCTACACTATCATGAGAATCTGGTTGCAATAATAACAATTTCCATTCTATTGGTAACACCTCTACTATATACATTATGACAT